AGACTGAGAAGAAAGGCTAGAAAGAGACTAAAGAGACAGCCAATTATCTCTGATCCAAAAGAGTCCAATATTGACTTGCACGGCTCTAAAAACACGTTTTCTAAAAAGATGGAGGCAGCAGGTTGTGTCTGATTTGTGGAAGTGAACTGTGTGTGAGATATGAGCTCTTACTCAATATATTTACTGATAAAACTCTCAGATGGAGACGTTTTGGGGCCAGACAGAACGGCTCCAGCTCGACCTTCTCTCCATCTACAATTAATCCCACCCTTTTATATTATTATCTTCATTAATATCACATTGTTCAATATATTTTGGACACACATCTCTCACATCTTTAAAATGTTTTATATGTACAAAAAACTGAAAAGGAGAGACCAAAGGTAACAGAGAGCGCGATTAGAGACAGATAAGCAATAGAGACCATGGAGAGAAACCAGAGAGAGACCAGAAAGAGAGAGACCACAGTGCTAGATCAGAGAGAAAGACCAGAGACCTGAGAGAAAAAAGAGAGCCAGTCAAATAGCTTTCAGCCCAAAGAGTCAAATAGTGACTCCTACTCAATACATTTACTGATAAAACTCTCAGATGGAGCAGTTTCGGGGCCAGACAGAGCGGCTCCAGCTCGACCTTCTCTCAGTCTACAATTAATCCCGACCTTTACAGATGCCGTGTGTTTAAAAGCTGCAGATTAAATATTAATGCGAGGGGAGGGGAGAAGGGGGAGGCATCAATAATAAAGAAATAACATCAAACTCTGGGCTGATGAGCGGAGGCAGATAACATGAGAAACACCAGCGGCTTGTTAACCGCTCTGACAGCTGATGCGGCTGTGGCAGTGACTGAGACGCCAGCAGAAGGAGTGAGATAAGAACCGTGACTCAGGATTGGGTGAATCAGAGCTGAGGCGGCGTTGCAGAGAAACTGGAATAAGACGTCAAAACTAATACTGCTGATTTGTCAATTACATGGCTAATATCTGGAGTTACAAAAGAGAGGCAAGAGAGAAACCAGAGAGACACAAAAGAGTGAGACCAGAGAGAGAGACCATAGATTCAAGAGAAAGACCAGAAAAATAACAGAAGAGAGACAAAAGAGTGAGATCAGAGAGAAAGACCATAGAGAAAGACCATAGAGAGACAAGAGAGAAACCATAGAGACAAGAGAGAGACCAGAGAGAGACAGGAAAAATAACTGTGTCATGACTTGGGATTGGGTGAATCTGAGCTGAGGCGGTGATGCAGAGAGAGAAACTGGATTAAGACATCAAAACTAATACAGTGACAATGTGCTCTCATTCAAAATATATATAAAAACAGCTTAAATATACTTTTTTATCATAGTGTGTATGAGGAGTGGACCAGAAAGAGAAACTAGAGAGAGGGACCAGCGAGAGAACAGAAATGGTTAGCATCATCCATCTTTAAAACTGGCAACGAGTTACTGTTGTTTAAAAAGCCAGAAAACCAGTGGGACTCCTGCACTCTGACCCGCCCACACATAAACACTCATAAACATCTCTAAATTAAACATCGTTGGTCTCGAGCCAAAGCCTCTAATCGCGGCTTTCTCTTCACCTGCGGAGCGCGTCCTTAAATGACAAGACTCATCCATTTGGGAAACATGACATGTCTTTGTTTTCTGCCATTGTTAATTCATGACCAAACCACAAGACACAAAGGGGACAAAGTGCTTCAGAGAGGAGTGAGGGCCCTCATCATCTGTAACAGGATCCAGAGACCTGAACCAGGTCTGGAACAGGTCTACAGCGAGACCAGAGAAGGACTGGAGGAGTGGGCGCTCTGGTCTCTCTCCACCTCTGGTCTCTCTCCACCTCTGGTCTCTCTCCACCTCTGGTCTCCCTCCACCTCTGGTCTCCCTCGCTTCTCTCTCCCCTCGCTTCTCTGGTCTCCCCTCGCTTCTCTGGTCTCCCCTCGCTTCTCTGGTCTCCCTCGCTTCTCTGGTCTCCCCTCGCTTCTCTGGTCTCCCTCGCTTCTCTGGTCTCCCTCGCTTCTCTGGTCTCCCCTCGCTCTCTCTCGGTCTCCCTCGCTTCTCTGGTCTCCCTCGCTTCTCTGGTCTCCCTCGCTTCTCTGGTCTCCCTCGCTTCTCTGGTCTCCCTCGCTTCTCTGTCTCTGGTCTCCCTCGCGTCTCTGGTCTCCCTCGCGTCTCTGGTCTCCCTCGCGTCTCTGGTCTCCCTCGCGTCTCTGGTCTCCCTCGCGTCTCTGGTCTCCCTCGCGTCTCTGGTCTCCCTCGCGTCTCTGGTCTCCCTCGCTTCTCTGGTCTCCCTCGCTTCTCTGGTCTCCCTCGCTTCTCTGGTCTCCCTCGCTTCTCTGGTCTCCCTCGCTTCTCTGGTCTCCCTCGCTTCTCTGGTCTCCCTTCGCTTCTCTGGTCTCCCTCGCTTCTCTGGTCTCCCTCGCATCTCTGGTCTCCCTCGCTTCTCTGGTCTCCCTCGCTTCTCTGGTCTCCCTCGCTTCTCTGGTCTCCCTCGCTTCTCTGGTCTCCCTCGCTTCTCTGGTCCCCTCGCTTCTCTGGTCTCCCTCGCTTCTCTGGTCTCCCTCGCTTCTCTGGTCTCCCTCGCTTCTCTGGTCTCCCTCGCTTCTCTGGTCTCCCTCGCTTCTCTGGTCTCCCTCGCTTCTCTGGTCTCCCTCGCTTCTCTGGTCTCCCTCGCTTCTCTGGTCTCCCTCGCTTCTCTGGTCTCCCTCGCTTCTCTGGTCTCCCTCGCTTCTCTGGTCTCCCTCGCTTCTCTGGTCTCCCTCGCTTCTCTGGTCTCCCTCGCTTCTCTGGTCTCCCTCGCTTCTCTGGTCTCCCTCGCTTCTCTGGTCTCCCTCGCTTCTCTGGTCTCCCTCGCTTCTCTGGTCTCCCTCGCTTCTCTGGTCTCCCTCGCTTCTCTGGTCTCCCTCGCTTCTCTGGTCTCCCTCGCTTCTCTGGTCTCCCTCGCTTCTCTGGTCTCCCTCGCTTCTCTGGTCTCTCTCGCTCTCTGGTCTGCCACCCATGACCAAAACCACAGGACACAAAGGAAACAAAGTGCTTCAGAGAGGAGCGAGGGCCCTCATCATCCGTAACAGGATACAGAGACCTGAACCAGGTCTGGACCAGGTCTACCGTAGGTCTACAACCGGACCAGAGTGGGACCAGAGTAGGACCAGAGTAGAGGGCTCATTGAGAGGGGGTGAATAATGCATGAGGTCCCATGGCAGATGGCTCAGCGCGGTGAGAAGAGAGGTGTTCTTGTTTGGAGAGGAGAGTGATGACAAGAGCTGGACAAAAGCACTGGGGGAGATTGTGTGGTCTCTAGCGCCCCCACTGGTTCAAGAGTTAAGCCTCCAGGTTGCATTCATGTTGTGCCAATGCAACTCAATGGGAAATAAGACAGTTATAAGGTCTAGGAAAGGTCCTGTTTTATAAATCATTAGAAAGTGATATGATTGAAAAAGTTGTCGTATTATTGTTACGCTTCAAAGTCCTTTCTACTGAACAGGGACCAGAGAGAGAGAGAGCAGAGCAAGAGAAGAGAGAAACCAGAGAGAGGAGAGAGAGAGACCAGAGACCAGAGAGAAAAAGAAAGGGGGACAAGAGAGAGAGAAGAGACATCAGAGAGAGACTAGAAGGAGACCAGAGAGAGAGACCAGAGAAAGAGAAAAGAGAGCAGAGAAAGAGAAGAGAGAAACCAGAGAGAGAGACGAGAGACCAGAGAGAAAAAGAGAGGTAGACAAGAGAGAGAAGAGACATCAGAGAGAGACTAGAGGGAGACCAGAGAGAGACCAGAGAGGGAGACCTGAGCGTCTCGAGAGAGAGAGAGACCATAGTATATTCTGACAAATAGGTGGAACTAGTTGGAAAAAGGTGACATTTTTATTTCATGTTGACTGTTCCAAGAATTACAGGGAAATCAGTGCCAAACAAAGACCATACAACATTTTCCAGGAGAGAGGCTTCAGCTCAGCGCCACCACAGTAAAGCTGTGATGTTACAGGATTGAAACCTATTTATACAGGTATTTCTAATCATTTGCATTTTTGGAGATAGATTTGTTGTCTGTTTAGTCGTTAGCCTATCAGTGGAGTCTAAATGTGTGGTCTCTAGCGCCCCCAAGTGGCCTCCTCTATATGGAGCTTATCAAGGCCACATGAGCAGTGTTACAACATTGCAGGAGAGGAGGGTGGAGAGGGTAGAGGAGAGAAGAGAGAAAAGAGGAGAGAGAAGGGGAGAGAGAGGCCAGAGTGAGACCAGAGAGAGACCAGTGAGAGATGTGATGGCAAGCGGCCTAGACTCGGGGACGCCAACTCACCCCCCCTGCTGCTCTATTCAATTAACCTGAGCTAAGGAGCCGGGCTTCCCCCCGCACCTACAGACAATGACTGTCTCACCCTTGTCCCTTTTGCATCTTGCATCTGTATGTCTGCATCTCTACATCCTGCATGTCCATTGTCTCTCTGTTTGCATCTCTATGGCACGGTCTGATTGCCTCCCCACGGACTTGGCGCCTCGCCTCCGGATGCGCCTCCTGTACTGGTGACCCCCTCCCATCTTTTGTGGGCGTGACTGTCTTTCATGTGTTGTCTATGTAAACAGGAACCTGGTCTGTCCGCGTCAGAGCTTATGGACGCTGCTTTGTGTATGTGAGCTCTCCGCACGTGTGTACAATAAACTTACGCTCCTGATTAAGACAAATACCTTTGAGCTTTCTCCTTGGGGTATGTAATTCTACAACAGAGACCAGAAAGAGAGACCAGAGAGGGAAGCCAGTGAGAGAGACCAAATAGAGACCAGGGAGAGAACAGAGAGAGACGCCAGAGAGAGAAAACAAAGAGAGACCAGAGAGACAGAAGCCATAGAGAGACCAGAGAGAGAACAGAGATAGACCAGCGAGAAAAGCCAGTGAGAGAGACCAGAAAGAAAACAGAGAGACCAGAGAGAGACCAGAGAGAGACCAGAGAGAGACCAGAGAGAGACAGGGAGAAACCAGAGAGAAAGAGACCAGAGAGAGTGTTGTTGTTGACCTTGTAGGAGGGTAGGAAGCAGAGTACTCCCTTGGACACTGCCTGACACACGTGCAGCAGCAGATCTCCGACCTCGTCCTGAAAAGCGTACGTTTCCGTGTGTTGAAACGTGGCGTAGAGCTTCCTGCCCTGAGGCCCAGACCCCACGGTGCCCACCCACACCTGCAACACACACAACTTTAATACACCTTGGGGACAGCAAAAACACAGGGGACCAGTTCATTTCAGGATATGAAATCTAAGCTACAAGAAAATCCAATTATGAAAGTCCAATTATCCGGTCTTATTCTTTACACTGGGTAACAAAAAAATGTTTTTTGAAAATAGTCCAGCGTTTTCCAGCTGAATTAGACTAATTTTGATGCTCTTTTTGATTTTTTGCTACAGAAATATTTTTTTTTAACCGATTTTGCGTAAAAAACAAATTTCTGCGGATCATCAGCTGAGAAACCCTTGACATTTTTTCCGTTTTCCTCAAGAAATAAAAGTCAACGTATCCAAAGTCATGGATCTCAAAAAGTTGACCTGATAGAGCAAAATGCATGTGATATTCGGACTCAGAACACCAAAATTAGTCTAAATCAGTTGAGAAACCCCTGACCATTTTTTTGGCTGTCAACTTGTGTAATGAAACATTTTAATCCTGTAGTTTAGACATAAAAAGAATGATTATAAATGCATGTGATTCTTGAGATTAGATGCATTACTAAAAAGCTCTGGTCTCCCCCTCTGGCCTGTTTTTTTCTCTCTGGTCTGGTCTCCCTCTCTGGTCTGGTCTCTCCCTCTCTGGTCTGGTCTCTCCCTCCATGGTCTCTCCCTCCATGGTCTCTCCCTCCATGGTCTCTCCCTCCATGGTCTCTCCCTCCATGGTCTCTCCCTCCATGGTCTCTCCCTCCATGGTCTCTCCCTCCATGGTCTCTCCCTCCATGGTCTCTCCCTCCATGGTCTCTCCCTCCATGGTCTCTCCCTCCATGGTCTCTCCCTCCATGGTCTCTCCCTCCATGGTCTCTCCCTCTCTGGTCTCTCTCACCTGTGACTTGTTGATGACATGATTGGCCTCCAGTTGAATAGTAAAGTTGACTCCGAGCTCAGAGGAGAACGACCCCATGGGAGAGAGAGTCCCGGAGGTGAGGACGATGCTGTGGACGCAGCCACTCAGATCAGAGAAGGCCTGAACACAACACACACAAATTACTTTTAACATTTGCTCCATTCTATTTCATTAGTAATCTTGTCTTAATCTAGTTCATATCCAATAAATTAGTTTTTAGTACGGTGTGCAAGGTTTAGGGATAAGAACACAAGATGCAGTCTTCAAGCAAAAATAAGCCCAGAGATAGACCAGAGAGAGACCAGTGAGAAACCAGAGCGAGAGACCTGAGAAAGAGACTAGAGAGAGAGACCAGAGAGGGAGACCAGAGAGGGAGACCAGAGGGGTAGACCAGAGAGGGACCAGAGAGAGACCAGAGAGAGAGAACGAAGACAGACCAGAGAGAGACCGAAGATAGACCAGAGAGAGAACAGAGAGAAACAAGAGAGGGACCAGTGAGGAACCAGAGCGACCAGGAAGAGACAGACCAGAGAGAGACAGGAGAGAGGCCGGAGAATGAGACCAGAGTGAGACAAGTGAGATAGACCAGTGAGAAACCGGAGAAAGGAACCTGAGAAAGAGACCAGAGAGAGACCAGGAAGAGAGAGACCGAAGACAGACCAGAGAGAGACTAGAGAGAGAGAGACCAGAGTGAGACAAGTGAGAAAGACCAGTGAGAAACCAGAGAGAGACCTGAGAAAGAGACCAGAGAGAGACCAGGAAGAGAGAGGCTGAAGATAGACCAGAGAGAGACTAGAGAGAGACCAGAGAAAGAGAGACCAAAGAGAAACCAGAGAGAGACCAGAGAGAGACCAGTGAGAGACCAGTGAGAGACCACAGCGAGGCCTCACCACTAGGGGTGGGAACCTAAGGGTACCTCACGATACGATACGATACACGATACAAAGCTCACGATAATGATATTATCACGATAACGATATCATGATAACAATTTTATCACAATATGATGATTATCGATATATTGGTCAGAAATATACAATATGCCAATATATAGCATAAATAAAAGAAAGAATACACTCTATTTCACGATAAATGGAATGGAGATGCGTAATGTAGCCATATATGAAGGTAAATTTAAAAAAATAATTTGCAAAAAAAACCAACATTATTTTTTTTTTTTTTTCAAAATCGATCTCGATACTTGGCAAATGTATATCGATAATCGAATCGTGGGAGAAAGTATCGTGATATATCGAAAAATTGATATATCGTCACACCCCTACTCACCACAGCCGGGTTGAGGCACCAGAAGCTCAGAGTCAGAACTTCCATCTTCACTTTGGTGCTTCGCTGTCGGTGTCTCCTCACAATGAAGCCCAACGCATCTGGTACGTCCGGAGGGAACTGGTTGGACCATGTGTAGCTCCTCTGCAGAGCCACACGGTAATCGTCTGCAAACCTGGAGGAAAACAGGAGAAAACACAACATTGGAATCAGAGAGAAGAGAGGAGAGAGGAGAAAGGAGAGAGGGGAGAGGAGAGAGAGTAGAGAAGTGAGGAGAGAGGAGAGAAATAAGGAAATGTATTGATGCTGGGGTACGTAATTTTCAGATAGAAAGCAATAGAACTCTTTCCAATAATATGACAGGTCTATTTTGTTCCAATGTTAACGTGTTACTTATTAAACCCTTTAAGGCCTGACCCACCTGGTAAAACAGACCTGTAAAACCTATGGCCGACTTAAGAACCACCCTCTAAAACCTGAAGTTTTCCTAAAATTTAACTTTTACTAAATGATAAATATCTCGGCCTTTGTAGCAGATAGAAACATAATTTCAAAAGAATATGAGAGCTGACACTAGTGGCTTTCAAAAAGAATGCAGTGTATTGTTATAAACCTTCAGTAAAATACAAAAACAATAATGTGGGACTAACAAATGTTTTCTCAATACAATGGCCTCAATGGGTTAAACAGGTAGAGTAAAGTAGCTTAGAGTAGAGCAGAGCTAATGGACCCTTTGACCTGCAGTTGTCTCTGTACAGATAGTCCAGCACCATGAATACACTCTTCAGGACGGTTGCAGACACAGAGCTGATGGTGGGAAGCTCTACTGTCTCGTCCTTCACCTGCTCCTCCTTCTCCATCACAGAGGCCAGGCATTGCTGAGGAGAGAGAACAGACAACCTCAGTCCTGGATCTACAGCCTGAGTCCTTGGTCTACAGCCTCAGTCCTTGGTCTACAGCCTCAGTCCTTGGTCTACAGCCTCAGTCCTTGGTCTACAGCCTCAGTCCTTGGTCTACAGCCTCAGTCCTTGGTCTACAGCCTCAGTCCTTGGTCTACAGCCTCAGTCCTTGGTCTACAGCCTCAGTCCTTGGTCTACAGCCTCTGTCCTGGATCTACAGCTTCAGTCCTGGAGGAAGAGTTGGACCTTGAGCAGTGAGAAGGTCTCTGGTGTGATTCCCAGCATCTTGAAGATGTCAACCACTTCTGTTCCTCGCCAAACTTTGGAGGAATTCTCAAATCCACGCTCGACCATCAGGTCCTGACTGCTCTGGATCCAACTGAGAAAAAACCAAGATACAGTCTGAACGACTGGCTTTATCTGTTTAGAGATGGACCAGAGAGAGAGACCAGGGAGAAAGACCAGGGTGAAAGACCAGGATGAAAGACCAGGATGAAAGACCAGGATGAAAGACCAGGATGAAAGACCAGGATGAAAGACCAGGGAGAGGCCAGAAAGAAACCAGAGAGAGACAAGTGAGAGAGACCAGAGACAAAGAACAGAGAGGCCAGAGATCAAAGAGAAACAAGAGAGAGGCCAGAGATCAAAGAGAAACAAGAGAGAGGCCAGAGAGAGACCAAAGACAGAGACTAGAGGGAGACAAGGGAGACCAGAGACCAACGAGACACAATAGAGAGACCAGAGAGCAAACAGCTCTCTCCCTCTCCTCTATTGTTAAATGCCAGTGTGTGCGTACTTGGTGAGGCTGTAGCAGAAGTCTCTCAGAGGCTCATGTTGTGCTATTCTGATCTTCCCTCTGATCAGAGAGTCCAGCTCCTCTCTGCAGACCTTCAGACTCTGCTGGTCCAAGGAGTACGAGGCACTCTCCCGCGCACAGTCCTCAATATTGTGGGCCTCATCCAGCACCAGGATCTGCCCCTGTAGGTTAATCTCCATCTGAAACACACAGACAGAGACACAAAGATACAGAGACACACACAGAGACAGAGAGACACAAATACAAACACAGAGACAAACAGTCACAAAGAGAGACAGAGAGAAACACACACAGAAATTATACAGAGGAAGTATTATGTAAAGCAAAACATATCCAAAAGACAGAAAAACATCTCCATAGCGGTTTAGAAGGTTATCTCTCCCTCTGTTCTTTCTCCGTTCTCTAACTCTTTCTTCCTCTGGCCTCCCTCTCTGCTCTCTACCTCTGGAATCTCTCTCTCTCCCACTAGACTTTCTTCCTCTCCTCGGTCTCTCTCTGACCTCTCTCCGTCTCCCTCCTTCTCCCTCTGACCTCTCTCCGTCTCCCTCTGGCCTCTCTCCGTCTCCCTCTGGCCTCTCTCCGTCTCCCTCTGGCCTCTCTCTGCTCTCTCCCATTAGTACTCACGCTCTCTCTGATGAGTGGGTCCAGGAGGTAGTTGTAGGGACAGAAGACCACGTTTGCAGACTGCATCAGTTCTCGTGCAGCGTAGTAAGAACAGGCCCTGAGCTTCCGTCCCAGAGACACCAGCTCCTCGATGTCCCAGGCCTGGTTCAGTCCATGGTTCCTCTGCAGGTTCCATTGGCTGCTCATCTTCTGGACGTTATGGTAGAAGCGACAGTGGCCCTGAGAAAGAGACAACAAAGAATCAGAATGGAAACGTTTCCCCCTGGTCTCCCCCTCCTCTCAGTCTAACTGGCTCTGGTCTCTATCTTGCTCTCTCTCTGTGTAATGTCTCTCCCTCTGGTCTAGCAAACTCTAAATAGTCTGCCCATCTGCAAAATGTACTATTGTCGACATCGTGCCTACTTTAGCCTCAGCCGTCTTCTACCAGAAAGGAACACTTGTAGTCAAATACTATTGGAACAGATGTGTTCTGCTGCTGATCTCGCGGTGGCAGAGTGACTTGCAAAGTGACTGTAACTGACCTTTGTAGAGAGTAAAATATTACCCAGGTTTGTTTGGAATACAAGCATTACTGTGTTAAGGCAAAAAGCAACACATAACTGTCATTACGATCATTTGGAACAAGTCACTGCCAACACTAAGAGGGAATGAGGCTCGTATGACTTTAGCATGAATCTGCTAAAGCTGAGAAACTCCCCTATTCATAACCATACTACAGTGTCATGTCATCACACTAATGCTGACTTCTCGGGGCAGTTCCCAGCCTCGCCTAAAGCCGCACAAACTGACTTGTGTGGCATTATCCCAGCGTACAGTCGACATGGGTCCCACCTCTCACCTCGGTGTGGCCTCCTTTTGTCCCTGTGTCTCTGAAACTCGACTCTGCCATTAACTGTAAGCGATTATACCACTGCTGCAGCTTTTTTCCACGCAGCCAAATGTCACGGCCCCATTCAGAGACCTCTCTGCAGGACATTGGACACTTGTTTGCCCCCCACGGTGTCTCAGGGCCCAGGCGCCTGCTGTAATGAGCACAATTACCCCGTCAACCCAGGTGTTTGGGACAGTTTCACTTTGTTGTGGTCCGCTGGCCCTGCTCTCACCCACACCAGGAGACAAGGCCCCGAGGACAGAGATAGTCCGGCTTCTCTGGACTCTCGCTCTCTCTGGACTCTCGCTCTCTCTGGACTCTCGCTCTCTCGCTCTCTCTGGACTCTCGCTCTCTCTGCTCTCTCTGGACTCTCTGCTCTCTCGCTCTCTCTGGACTCTCGCTCTCTCTGGACTCTCGCTCTCTCTGGACTCTCGCTCTCTCTGGACTCTCGCTCTCTCTGGACTCTCGCTCAGTTTTTAAATACAGGTTTTCGGCCCCAGGTCAAGTATGATGAACTAAAGAGGCCCTCTTGCTAAAAAGTTTGGACACCCCAGCTCTAGACTCTTGTTTTTTCTCGGGCCCCCTTGTGTGCCGCTGCCCCCTGATTTAACCCCCCCAAAAAGGCACGTTTGAAGTAAAAGGCCCCAAGGAAAGAGATAGTCCGGTTACAGTCCGGTTATAGTGCGGTCGAGCAGAGATTTCTGCAGAGAGGGATCCATCAGTGACAGAGGAGAGGCTTTGGTCTCTCTGTGGCCTCTCTCTAGTCTCTCTCTTCCGTCTCTCTCCTCTCTGGATTTGGAGAGGGGTCGGAGCTGGAGGAGGTGAAGTTTTGAGCATGGCTGATGGTGAGAAGAGAACCTTTGAGCACGGACTTATTTATCCAATTAAATGCATTTGTGTATCGCCCTAAATCACAGAGGACTTACGCAAAGTTGTGGATTCACCAACAACAGATCAGAGAATCAAACCATTCGAAAACAAAAAAACAAACACAATTAGCCAATGCCCATACGTAGCATGTATATTCATTGACTCCTGCTCCCCCTGGCTTAATCTTTTCTGTCGTTGAAAAACAGTTTGACACTTGCGGAGTCCTCTCCTGTGACCCAGACTGTCTCAGAGTCTCCGGGGGCCTTCTAATCCCTCGCTCCTCTTACCCCCTGACAGACACGGGACCGGATCCTGCCTCTGAAGGCTCTTTATCCGCCGCCGTATTCATATAAAAGGTCACGTCACCCCGAGGTGTCGATCTGAGAGGGCGGGACCAGCGCCGGCACCTGCACTGACAGCTCAATCACCCAGAGTGCACCAGATACAGGCTTATAGAGCTCACAGAGATGGCTTTATTATGGGCTCTATGAAAGGGAGGAGACACACAGGGGATAAGCCACAATAGACAACAACTACCACAGCTCAAAGGAGAACGTATCAGAGTTTCCCAAAGACACTGAGGGTGAAGAGGCCCAGCCCTACAGCCGCTATCACACTACTAATAATCTCAAGTGGAACGTGACAAGGGCAAAGAGAGAGGGGCAAGAGAGAGACCAGAGAGTGAGAGAGAGATTGAAGAGAGATACGCCAGAGAGAGACCAGAGAAACCAAGTGGAACATAACAAGTGCAAAGAGAGAGGGGCAAGCGAGAGAGGCTAGAGAGAAAGATTAAAGAGAGGCCATAGAGAAAGAGGCCAGAGTAAGAGAGGCCTGAGAGAGAGACCACAGAGAAAGACAAGAGCAAGAGATGGACAAGAGCTAGAGAGAGAACAAAGCAAGAGAGACCAGAGGAGACACACAGGGGATAAGCCACAATAGACAACACAACCACAGCTCAAAGAAGACGGTAGAGTTTCCCAAAGACACTGAGGGTGAAGAGGCCCAGCCCTACAGCCGCTATCACACTACAAAAAATCTCAAGTGGAACATGACAAGGGCGGCTCACAGGGCTCGTTGTGTACAGCAGAGAGGGGGGGAGCATCGTGCTGTGTGTCATAATCAAAGACGAGTGTAATCTTGTGTGACACCAGAGACTCGATTGCACATCTAGGATACAGCACAATATTGATGTGATAATGGAGATGTCAGATTAACGAGTGAACAGGGAAAGCAGGACCTGAGGGAGAGTGAACAGAGAGAGACCAGAGAGAGAGGCCATAGAGAGACCAGAAAGAGGCTAGAGCAAGAGGCCAGAGAGAGGCCAAACCGAGAGAGGCCAGAGAGAGAGACGCCAGAGTGAGATACGCCAGAGAGAGAGGCCAGCGAGAGGGACCAGAGAGAGTCCAAAGAGAGAGAGACCAGAGAGAAATCACGCACGTCTTTTCCCTCGCGCAGGTCCTTGCAGCGCTCGTTGCGGTTGGCGTGTGGAGCGACCTCGGGATGCACACAGGAGTGGTCTCTGCTCGACAGGATGGTCATAGGAGCAGAGGAATACTGCGTCCGCTTCAGCTCGTGTGCGATCTGCTTGATCTGTTTGTGCGTGCGAGTCCCGAAGAAGATCTTAGGGACTTTGGGCCTTTTGACAGACGCCTCCTCAGCCGCGGGACACGAGCATTCATGGCAACACGAGTTCATCTGCAGACACACAAACAGGGAATAGTTACACACTGCAAAAAGTAGACAAAATACATCACACATAGCTTGAATTATGAACAACATCTATCGACAGCCTCAGTCTTGAATCTAAAAGCCTCAGTCCGTGGGAGCAGATCCCTTTCTCAATATGGAGAATGATGATCCGAGACATTTATTAAAATTTATGGACCATTAGCTCCTACGTGTTTGTCAAACCAGGTTTTTTAAAGCCCAAAATGAGAGTGTGAGACAAACAGTTACTGAGCTCGGAGTTTACTTTTACATGCAAGTCAATAGGAGCCAGAGAGAGGAGCGAAACTACACCATGAGCATTGTCCATCTGCGAGCGATAGAGACTAGAAAGAAAGAGGGACCTGAGAAAGACGGGAAAGAAAGAGACCAGAAAGAGAGGGACCAGAGAGAGAGACCAGAGAGGCAGGGAGCCGAGAAAGACGAGAAAGAGACCAGAGAGAGGGACCAGAGGCAGAGAGGTCTGTATACAGTATTTGCTTGAGAGAACCAAAACTTTTCGAAATGAAGCCAAATCTACAATATCGAACCTGATGCTGCTACTGACTTTAATGCGTGGTTCCTATGAGACTGGCCTCTTGCAGTACCACAATCTCACCACTAGCCTCTACTCTTCATCACAGTCTCACCCATAGTACCCTCTCCTCTTCATCAGTCTCATAATACAACAGCTCTGTGGCTCCAAAGTGTCGGTTTGAGTTTCCCCATCTCCTCTTACCTGCTGCTGCCACTTTGAACAGAAAGAGCCAAATAGTGATCACTTATTCATGGGGGGAGCAGAGGGGGGAGTAAAAGGGGGGGAGCTGGGTAAATGACTGAGGCTCCTTGTCAAAAAGCAGCGGCAGGAAACAGCTGACAACATGGGATCTTCTTACAGCGATAGCAGGCCCTGGCCCAGCCTCACGTTGCAGACACCCTTCACAAAAGAATGCAGATCAGCCGATAATGAGGAGAAATGGAGAGGGGGGAGAGGAAGGAGGGAAGAGATGAGGTTTGTGGTGGAATTTGGGAGGAAATGAACCAAAAGTGATTACAAAGCAAAGGAAGGTTTCTCACCCATCATCTGTACTTCTTAGCAAGTTTTCCCGACGTTTCGTCCTCAACCTGGGGACTTCTTCAGGGAATGAATTCTCGGACCGCGCGTTGGAGATTTATAACCTATGGGTGTGGTAAGCCACACCCTAATCCTGATACTAACTCGTAAACAATCTACGGTCTGCTTGATGTAGAAGGGAGCAGATCTAACGACCCTGCTGAGGCTAACGACCCTAACTCATTAGCATGTCACAGACCTATTGTCTGCTGGGATGCTCAAGTGGAGTGCAGGTCTCACCCCTCCTAACTCATTAGCATGTCACTGACCTTGTCCCAAGTTAGGGCGTTGTTTTTAGGATGTCGTCATAGATGCGAGGCAAAACAAATCTTAACCCTCCTCCTCTGTTAAGAGAAGGTTTTTGTTTCCTCACAAAAATGGCTTCTTTCACCCCTCTCTCAAACCAATTCTTCTCCCGAGCCAGAATTTTAACCTCTGTGTCATCCACCGTGTGGTTGGAGGCCTTGAGGTGGAGATGAACAGCCGACTGTGGCCCACTAGAGTTTTCTCTACGATGTTGGTAAAGTCGTTTCTGTAGAGTTTGTTTGGTTTCTCCAATATAGTGGTCAGTGCACTCCTCTTCACTACATTTAATTGAATACACCACATTGCTCTGTTTGTGTCTGGGTGTTTTGTCTTTGGGATGCACTAATTTCTGTCTTAACGTGTTGAAAGGTTTGAAATACACAGGGATTTTGTGTTGCCTAAAGATTCGAAACCAATGGCTTGGCGCTGTCCCTTGGTAAGAGCCCAAGGGACAGCGCCAAGCCATTGGTTTCGATATGTAGACGATACATGGGTTAAGTTAAAGAAACAGGAAGTGGAACCATTTTCAGAACACATTAACTCGGTGGACCCTTTTATAAATTTCACTCGCGAGGATGCTAAGGAGAGTGAACTCGCCTTTCTAGATTGTAAGGTCATCATACTGGAGAACGGACAATTAGAGACTGAGGTCTTCAGAAAGTCCACTCACACTGACCAGTACTTGGCCTTTGATTCAAATCATCCGCTACAACACAAACTCGGGGTCATTAGAACGCTTCAACACCGAGCCCACCAGGTCCCCACTAGCTCGGAGGGAAAGAACAGAGAAACCAAACATGTTCAGAGAGCACTTTCCAGATGTGGCTACCCCAAGTGGTCTTTTACTAAAGCCCAAAGGACGAGAAAGGCCAGAGACACAGTCCTACAGACAGAAGAAAGTAGGAGGAGAGGGGTGTCCTTACCGTATGTGGCGGGAGTTTCAGAGAAACTACAAAGAATCTTTAGGCAACACAAAATCCCTGTGTATTTCAAACCTTTCAACACGTTAAGACAGAAATTAGTGCATCCCAAAGACAAAACACCCAGACACAAACAGAGCAATGTGGTGTATTCAATTAAATGTAGTGAAGAGGAGTGCACTGACCACTATATTGGAGAAACCAAACAAACTCTACAGAAACGACTTCACCAACATCGTAGAGAAAACTCTAGTGGGCCACAGGCGGCTGTTCATCTCCACCTCAAGGCCTCCAACCACACGGTGGATGACACAGAGGTTAAAATTCTGGCTCGGGAGAAGAATTGGTTTGAGAGAGGGGTGAAAGAAGCCATTTTTGTGAGGAAACAAAAACCTTCTCTTAACAGAGGAGGAGGGTTAAGATTTGTTTTGCCTCGCATCTATGACGACATCCTAAAAACAACGCCCTAACTTGGGACAAGGTCAGTGACATGCTAATGAGTTAGGAGGGGTGAGACCTGCACTCCACTTGAGCATCCCAGCAGACAATAGGTCTGTGACATGCTAATGAGTTAGGGTCGTTAGCCTCAGCAGGGTCGTTAGATCTGCTGCCTTCTACATCAAGCAGACCGTAGATTGTTTACGAGTTAGTATCAGGATTAGGGTGTGGCTTACCACACCCATAGGTTATAAATCTCCAACGCGCGGTCCGAGAATTCATTCCCTGAAGAAGTCCCCAGGTTGAGGACGAAACGTCGGGAAAACTTGCTAAGAAGTACAGATGATGGGTGAGAAACCTTCCTTTGCTTTGACTAATCCCTGTACGACTGAGGGCTTACACAAACAAAAGTGATTACGTTATTCTGCGTTCAAATGTGTTGAGGTGAATTTAAGAGTGAGACCAAATGGCTGGAGGGTAAGAGGAGAGGAGGGTGAAGAGAAGGGAGGAGAGGAGGATGGAGAGAGAGGAGACAGGAGTGTGAGAAGAAGAGAGAGAGATGATGGTGAGGATACAGAAAGGTAAGGAGAGGAGAGAGGAGGAAAGAGATGGAGGAGACAGGAGTTTGAGAAGAGGAGAGAGATGATGAAAGAGAGATGATAGAGAGGAGACAGAAAGGTGAGAGGATAGAGAGAAAGCCATGATGGTGAAAAGACAGCGGGGTGAGGAGAGAAGATAGAGATGAGGGTGAGGAGAGAGAGAGTAGAAGAGAGAGGAGGGCGAGGACAAGGGAGGAGAGGAAAGAGAGAGAGGTGACGGGAGGGTGAGGAAAGAGATGAGGATGAGGAGAGAGTGGAGAGAGGAGACAAGGATGAGAGGATTTTTTTCTTTTGTGCTGGTGAAATGTGCATAACAAAAAACATTGACAATGGCTTCATATCATATATAATGTCAAATCCATAATGTTCCTTTGGTCTTAAATTAGGAAGAAGTAATATTGGATTGAACTCCTCTAATCGAGGTTTATCTGCTCCTTGACCACGCCTCCTCACAGGTGTCCGACAGAGACTCCAGTGTTAGAAACCTCACACTCAGGATACGCTCCAGGAGCCGCAGGGCCACAGCTCTGCACAGGAATCCACCCCAATAACCTCCAGCGCGGCCGCAAACATGACACCCAGCGAGCCGATAAGACCACACAGCTGAGGGAGGGGGAGAGGAGGGGGAGAGGGGGGGGAGGAGAGGGTGAGAAGAGGGGAAAAGAGAGAGGAGATAGAGGATGGAGAAGGGGAAGAGAGAAGACAGTGATGAAAAAAATACAAGCGCAAAAAGAGGGAAGGAGGAGAGAGAAGAAGACGAGAAAAGTGGGGAAGACTGTACAAAACCTGGCCTGCACAATTGTTCGAATCATAGTTTTGATGAACGCAATTGCAAACAACATCCAAAGTCTCATTGTGGTGGAGCAGCTGAAACATCTCTGGCCTCTCTTTCTCTCTCTGGCCTCTCTCTCTCTGGCCTCTCTCTCTCTCTCTCTCTGGCCTCTCTCTCTCTCCCTCTGGCCTCTCTCCCTCTGGCCTCTCTCCCTCTGGCCTCTCTCTCTGGCCTCTCTCTCTCTGGCCTCTCTCTCTGGCCTCTCTCTCTGGCCTCTCTCTCTGGCCTCTCTCTCTGGCCTCTCTCTCTGGCCTCTCTCTCTGGCCTCTCTCTCTGGCCTCTCTCTCTGGCCTCTCTCTCTCTCTCCCTCTCTCTCTCTAGCCTCTCTCTCTCTCTGGCCTCTCTCTTTCTCTCTCTCTTTCTCCTCCCACTGTCTCGTAGTAACCGGCGCCTGAACTACATGTAATATTCACTCTGGGGCTCACTCTCTCTCTCTGCCCAGTGGCCCGCGCCTCAGAGCCCTCTTAATTAAACCTGCAGCTCTCTTCAAAGGGCCCCATTGAGAACGTCAGTCAGCGCATAGCGGGACAATGGAGCGGGTCATGGAGATGAGAGCGGAAACCTGAGAGCTGCCTTTCTCCGCACTTTCACCGGCTTTTTCCACTCGGGGAAGCGAGAGGCGAGCCAGGCCCTCACGCCAAATGGTACACCGGGTAAACGTGTGAGGACGGAGAGAGGAGGTCACAAAGCAACGCAGGACTAACTGCATTTAACACGTACCACGTAGGAGTAATTAAGTATTTTAAAGATTCAATCCACAACAATAGAACTATTTGAAAAAATCCAAGTCTCTAGTCCCTGGCTCTAAAACAGTTTGCTTCTATCACTAGTTTTCACATGACTGTAGAGAGAGAGAGACCAGAGAGACTAGGGAGAGACCGAAGAGAGACCAATGACAGAGACCAGAGAGAAACGAGAGAGCGAGACCAATGACAGAGACCAGAGAGAAACGAGAGAGAGACCACAGAGACCAGAGAGAGACCAGAGAAAGATCAGAGACCAGAGAGAGAGACTAGAGAGGGACCAGAGAGATCAGAGAAAGAAAGATAAGATAAGATAAGATTGCTTTATTTATCTCACAGAGGAGAAATTTACATGTCACATACCACAAACCACAGAGACCAGAGAGAGACTAGAGAGATATCAGAGAGAGACCAGAGAGAGATCAGAGAAAGAGACCAGAGAAAGAGACCAGAGAAAGAGACCAGAGAAAGAGACCAGAGAGAGGCTAGAGAGAGAGCAGAGAGAGACTAGAGACAGACCAGAGAGAGAGACCAGAGAGACAAGAGAGAGATCAGAGAGAGAGAGAGACCAGAGAAAGACCCGAGAGAGAAACCAGATAGAGAGACGAGAAAGAGACTGAAGAGACCAGAGACACAAGAGAGCAAGACAAGAGACCAGAGAGATTAGAAAGAGACTAGTAAGACCAGTAGCAGCAGTAGTAGTAATAATAGTATCTTATAGTAGTAGTAGTAGTAGTATCTGTAGTAGTAACAGAAAAGGGAAACCTACAAGAACACGGACAAAAGCTGAGAAACCCTAAAAAGTCATTAAACAAATATCTGAGCCTCGATCACAGTTTGAATGAGGCTCTGGTGTGAAGAGGCCGAGGCTCCGACAGATCGCTGACCTCAGATCAGATCCACGATCCTCTGCAGATGGAGTTACAGCCTCAGTGTCACAGAGACCAGAGACGCCAAGACAAAGAAATCAGGCCACCTTCACCATAACAAGCTAGATATAAGTATGTTAGATAATTAGCTAAAATTATATATCTTTTTTCATCCTATTTTATCCAACAATGTCTCTGGTCTGTCTCTCTCTTCTCTCTAAATAAATGTTCTACATAAAATAATAAATAAAGAAAGCAATTACAAATGTTCTTAACAAAGCCTGCTGCAGCAGATCTACTCTAACTTTACTATCCATTGATAAAAACTTCGTTTGATCAAGTTGTTTTTCAGACGTGGTTCTTGGTGCAGTAGCTGAGCCTAGAGCTGGGTACTAACAGTGTATTTGGTGGGGAGCATCGCCCCCTGGTGGTCACAGAAAAGACAGTCAACTTTATCACAAACTTATTATAAAAATCCTCATTTGATGAAGACATTTAAATAGAATACAGTTTGAACTGGAGAAAAAATAAAAACCCGGAACAAGAATCCTGGTCTCTGGTCGTCTCCCTCTCTGGTCGTCTCCCTCTCTGGTCGTCTCCCTCTCTGGTCGTCTCCCTCTCTGGTCGTCTCCCTCTCTGGTCGTCTCCCTCTCTGGTCGTCTCCCTCTCTGGTCGTCTCCCTCTCTGGTCGTCTCCCTCTCTGGTCGTCTCCCTCTCTGGTCGTCTCCCTCTCTGGTCGTCTCCCTCTCTGGTCGTCTCCCTCTCTGGTCGTCTCCCTCTCTGGTCGTCTCCCTCTCTGGTCGTCTCCCTCTCTGGTCGTCTCCCTCTCTGGTCGTCTCCCTCTCTGGTCGTCTCCCTCTCTGGTCGTCTCCCTCTCTGGTCGTCTCCCTCTCTGGTCGTCTCCCTCTCTGGTCGTCTCCCTCTCTGGTCGTCTCCCTCTCTCTCTCTGGTCGTCTCCCTCTCTGGCCGTCTCCCTCTCTCTCTCTGGCCGTCTCCCTCTCTCTCTCTGGCCGTCTCCCTCTCTCTCTTGCCGTCTCCCTCTCTCTCTCTGGCCGTCTCCCTCTCTCTCTCTGGCCGTCTCCCTCTCTCTCTCTGGCCGTCTCCCTCTCTCTCTCTGGCCGTCTCCCTCTCTCTCTCTGGCCGTCTCCCTCTCTCTCTCTGGCCGTCTCCCTCTCTCTCTCTGGCCGTCTCCCTCTCTCTCTCTGGCTCTGGCCGTCTCCCTCTCTCTCTCTGGCCGTCTCCCTCCTCTCTCTGGCCGTCTCCTCTCTCTCTCTGGCCGTCTCCCTCTCTCTCTCTGGCCGTCTCCTCTCTCCCGGCCGTCTCCCTCTCTCTCTCTGGCCGTCTCCCTCTCTCTCTCTGGCCGTCTCCCTCTCTCTCTCTGGCCGTCTCCCTCTCTCTCTCTGGCCGTCTCCCTCTCTCTCGTCTCCTCTCTCTCTCTGGCCGTCTCCCTCTCTCTCTCTCTGGCCGTCTCCCTCTCTCTCTCTGGCCGTCTCCCTCTCTCTCTCTGGCCGTCTCCCTCTCTCTCTCTGGCCGTCTCCCTCTCTCTCTCTGGCCGTCTCCCTCTCTCTCTCTGGCCGTCTCCCTCTCTCTCTCTGGCCGTCTCCCTCTCTCTCTCTGGCCGTCTCCCTCTCTCTCTCTGGCCGTCTCCCTCTCTCTCTCTGGCCGTCTCCCTCTCTCTCTCTCTGGCCGTCTCCCTCTCTCTCTCTGGCCGTCTCCCTCTCTCTCTCTGGCCGTCTCCCTCTCTCTCTCTGGCCGTCTCCCTCTCTCTCTCTGGCCGTCTCCCTCTCTCTCTCCTGGCCGTCTCCCTCTCTCTCTCTGGCCGTCTCACTCTCTGGCCGTCTCACTCTCTGGCCGTCTCACTCTCTGGCCGTCTCACTCTCTGGCCGTCTCACTCTCTGGTCGTCTCACTCTCTGGCCGTCTCACTCTCTGGCCGTCTCACTCTCTGGCCGTCTCACTCTCTGGCCGTCTCACTCTCTGGCCGTCTCACTCTCTGGCCGTCTCACTCTCTGGCCGTCTCACTCTCTGGCCGTCTCACTCTCTGGTCTCACTCACAGAGGCTGGAGGAGGAGGTCTGCTCTCTGGAGGTGTGTCCAGTGGTGAAGGTTGCTTCTCAAACTCCGGTTCATCGTCGAGAAAAATCACTCCTTTCTCGGTTCGTGGTTTTTTACGAGTCTGAGGCACAAACACAGAACTGTTCAGTTGAAAAACCACAAGACAAACTTTAAATTAACATTCTAATAGATTTTTTTCACGTAAAATTAGTGCAGGTATCACAGATATTGTGTGCACAAGTTAAGGAAACAACATTTTCCTCCTCTCTCTGGCCTCTCTCTCTCTGGCCTCTCTCTCTCTGGCCTCTCTCTCTCTGGCCTCTCTCTCTCTGGCCTCTCTCTCTCTGGCCTCTCTCTCTCTGGCCTCTCTCTCTCTGGCCTCTCTCTCTCTGGTCCACACATTCAGAACCACCTTCACCTTGGTCTCTGCGCTCCGAATGCGTTTGCGGTCTGGTTTGAACTCGTCTTCCTCGTCCTCTTCTCTCTGGAGAGACGTTTGCAGTTTCTCCGACAGACGAGACGCGATGGACTTTGGCTTTGTCGTCTCTGGAGCCACTGTGAAGAAAAAACATTGGTGAAGAAGTGCTCATGGTGAAGTTTTGCTCCAACTTGCTCTGGCTCCCATTAAACTAAACACTCATTCTGATTGGCCAAAACCCAGTCTCTCAATATGACTAAATATAATGATCATTTACCCGCTGACACGGGTCCAAACAACACACCTTCCCTCCTTGTTACCTCCTCACTCACCGGTGCTTTGGGCCTGAGGGACTGGGTCTGGGGACTGAGTGAGGTCCACGAGGTTTGAGGAGCTCTGAGAAGGTTTGGTTTTGTTCTGACAGGTGCACTTCTTCTTCAAGTCTCCTCCACTTTTCTCACTCTGACTTTTCTCGTCCTGAGACTGAAACGACTGCTGGAACTTCACTGAGAGAAAACAACGACAGGGACTTAGAGGAGAGCAAGATCAAGTGAGCGATCAGCAGACAGACCAGAGAGAGAGTAGAGAAAGACCAGAAAGAGACAAGAGATATTTAGAGAGATCAGAGAGTGTGCGTGCGTGCGTCTGTACAGACTTACATATCTGTTGGTTCTGCCAGGCCAGAGTGGAGCAGAGAAGGGCCAGACTCTTCCCGCTGCCGGTGGGACTTTCCAGGAGGCAGTTCTGACCGTTATTCAGACCACGCACAATCTGACGAGAGAGACACATGTCAAAATCCAATCAAAGAACTACACAAAATAATATTGATACAATAAGAATTTACAATATAAGATCTGTACAAAATAATATAACTATACAAAACACATACATTAGAACAGCATTGGGTCCAAAACTCACCCCTGTGGTCCTCCCCAGTATACTGTACATATACCAACACACACAAAACCAGTTCCCAGATACCAATATTTTAATTCCGTCTCGCTCTCTGGTCCCTCTCGCTCTCTGGTCCCCCCATACATACATATTCTCAAATCAAAACGACATCTGTGTTTTCTACTCACCGAGTTCATCATGGCGAGCTGGGAGGGGTAGGCCTTACAGGGGAACTGGATCTTCACTCCTCCGATCGTGTAATCCACCGGGGAGGCCATGATGGGACTGGAAATACAACCAAAATAATAAAATACACACATACAAGAATGTCTGTAAGATTTTGCAAATATTAGCAGAAGTGATGCGTTCCAGCTAACTCTGGTACTCCTAGTTGTGTAGAATAGGTTGCAGGGATTCTGGTGTCCGTCTCTCTCTCTCTCTATCTGGTCTCTCTCTCTTGTCTCGGGTCTCGGTCTGTCTCTTTGGTCCCTGGTCTCTGGCCTAGCACTCTGGTCCTACTCTGTAGTCCCTCTCTGTGGTCTCTCTCTCTCTGGTCTCTCACATTTTACACAACCTGTAGCGTCATTCACCTTTCCCAGGCAAGGCTTGCTATTAGCAAAACACAACAAAAACGCAGTAAAACGTCATTAAAAACATAAATACGCATACACGTACATATATAAACAGTGACAACCTGGTGTTTTAGCGATGTTAGCTGTTTGTTTACATGTTAGCTTTAGCCTGTTCTTCAGTCATACGTTACTATTATGGGTAAAGTTATGCAGTCAGGGTGTATAATAACATATACTTTGCTCTTACCTAGTGGAGAAGGTGCAGTGTGTGTGTGAATGTGTGTTACAGAAAGCAGCGTCTGTTTACGGTCTGAAAAGTGTGTTTATTCTGTTGAAATTGGCGCATGTTTGGTTCCCGCTCAGAAAAACCAGGCAAGGAAAGTGACGGTGAAAAACAGGGAAGTGCCTCTGGCTCCTGATTGGCTGAGAGGGAGTGATTCTCGGAAGTGGCATCCAATCAGAAGATCTGTGCTCGCGTCATGACCATGGACTGTATATGTCATGACGAACCGCAACCTGCTGTCAAACCCTAAGCTTAGCAGTGTAGAACATGGTTAGTGGGTTGATGGGAGACCGCTATGATACCAGGGGCCACAGTGAGTGACCGTGTGTAATCAAATTTAAGATACCAGAGAGAGAAAGACCAGAAAGAGAGAGACTAACCTTAACCCAGAGAGAGATCCAAGAGAGACCATGGACCAGAGAAAGAGACTATGCCAGAGAGACCAGAGAGAGAACCAAGAGAGACCAGGAACCGGTGAGAAACCAGAGAGAGATAGGCCAGAGCAAGAGATACCAGAAAGAGAGAGCCAGATGGAGAAAGACCTGAAAGAGAGAGACCATGGAGAGAGATCAGAGACCAGACAGAGAATAGAGAGACCAGAGAGAGAAACCATCATTAAAGACTCCGTAAAGGACTGAGACACGTTGACAACATTTATTACAAAGCAGATTATAAAACATGACTTTAACAGTGGTATAAAAACATTTTTTCCCCCTTCACAAACGTTAGCTTAGTTATGTCCATAGCAGCAGAGTCTAAAACCAGGCTCGACACATGTGTGGACGTATACAAAAATATATCACTTTGTCATAAAAAACAAGTCCACTCAAGGTTAGAAAAGTCCAAAGAATTTACAACAACTGCTCTCCTTCCCTGCAAAAACCAAAGAGAAATAGGGCGAAAACAAGATCTTTAAAATGAGGTAAAATGGATGTTTAAGTTGCAAAAACCAACAATAATTATGAGACGAAAAGAACAAAGAATCAACATCATTTGTGGTTGTTTTTCCAAACATGTATCAGATTTTCAATCTGTTATTCCAATAAAAACTGGATTTAAAGAAGAAATATTATGCATTATTTTAGCCATTATAAATTAGACTTTTAATGGGGGCAGTATGTAAAATTCTCTTGGTCTCATGAAGTCATTACTTTAGACCAGAGTTCAGTGAGAGAGACCAAAGAGAGAGAGATCAGAGAGAAAGACCAGAAATAAATGGAGAGAGCAAAGAGACCGGAGGGAGAGACCAGAGAGAGACAAGAGAGAGAGAGGGAGGAGCAAACACAGTCAGGTGATAGTAAAGAACAAATTCGAACTTGAATTACCAAAACAAATTCAGGGGCGATACTTTTGTTTTAAAAAGGCACAAAACCGAGGCGGATTTCATAGTGATGTCATAGTGGTAAAAAGAATGGGCGGAGCTACATTCCTGATATCAGCGTGGATGGATCAAAAAGCAACTCCAGGTCTGTGGCTGATGAGGGACAATGTTGTGACATGGTTAAAAGCATAATATGTCTCCTTTAAAGTGAAATGTGGAGATGAAGGTTCTCAGCAGACGCACACAGTGGCCTTGTGGAGAAGAGAGACCGCACTCTGCTCTGTGTCCTCTGGGTGGCGCTGTGACGTGGGCGGGCTTTGGTCCTGGTCCTGTTTGGTCCGTTTGGAGGCGGGAGGGGTCCAGAGCGAGGGGGAGGCAGGGGAGGCGGGGGAGGAGGGAGGTGAGTCAGATAAGAAGAGGTCGGAATCTCCAGCGAGGCCGTCGCAGCGATCCAGCGATGGCAAGAAGAGAGACTCGTCTTCATCAGGCTATAGAGACAAGATCAGGGTCACACGTGGCTCTCTGGTTCAGTCTTGGTCTGTCTCTCTGGTCCCTCTGGTCCCTCTCTGGTCTCTCTGGTCCCTCTCTGGTCTCTCTTATCTCTCTCTCTTTCTGGTATCTCTCTCTCTTCTCTCTTTCTCTCTGGTGTGTCTCTGTTCTCTCTCTAATCTTTCTCTCTTCTCTCTCTGGTCGTTCTCTGGTCTCTCTCTCTAGCCTCTCTCTCTCTCTGGCATCTCTCTCTCTTTCTTGTCTCTCTATTCTGGTCTCTTATCTCTCTCTGCTCTCGTTTTTCTGGTCTCTCTTGTCTCGCTCTTGTCTCTCTCTCTGGTCTCTCTTTCTATGGTTTCTTACCTGTATCTGTACCTGTGCTTCCTTCTGGCTCTGGCTTAGATCCATGAGTCTCTCCTCTCGCCGCAGAGGGCAGTATTCTGTCCCAGGGCAGATGAGGCGGATCACGATGGCGCTGGTATTGTCTGCACGGAGCATCTTCTGCCTCCAGCGCACCAGCGACAGCGACACCAGCTGCCGCGCACTGGACAAGGTGCAGGACACCTGTGGGAGAGAGGGGCTTTAAAGCTGAGGTACGTAACTTTGTTTATTAAATCCAAACTTCAACCCCACAGCGTGACATCACCGCAGTGTGACATCATTGCAGTGTTAGCCTTAATGCAGCAGAGGTCAGTTTGAACATAAGACTATTTCCTTATATGGGCATTTGTTCTCTGGCATTAGCCACACGAGTTGCTAGGACTGTTGTTAAGGTGGAATTTCCCCCCCAAATGAAAGCATCTGCGTAATATGTATCTGAAAAGCAGGAAGCAGTTTGTGTGCAACAGTCAACAACAGTGAAGGTTCAGCTCTATAAATTATTGTCATGATTTTGTTTTTACGTTTTGGCTACTGTAATATGATCACAAGTTTTATTATAGGTTTTATTGCAGAGACAAAAGGTCCAAAGACACCACAACAACAGGAACAGACAACTCTAGAAATGATTTAAGCATTTAGCTTCTGTTGATGCGGGAGCAAGGCTTTTACAATTTTGTTTTATGGTTTTTCTGTCTTTATACCTCAAATCAGTTATTTTTATTTCCAGCCACTAGATGGCACTAAACTACCAGTAACGTTTCCAAACAAGAAACTGAAATGACGTTTTTTGTAACCAAACTGTAAAGCACTTTGTGTTGCATTTTATGTATGAAAAGAGCTTCAAATTAATAGTAAATATTTAACACTTAAAGGTAAAAGTTATACAAAAATAATTATCCATCCATCTATTTTCTTCCCCTTAATCCATTTCTGGGTTGGGGGGGTGGCAGTCAGAGCTGGACCCAGTACACAGAGCACCAGCCCCTCACTGATCCTCCAGCAGGTGGTGAGTCCACAGGAGCTGAGATTTTTCAGAGGGGGCTTCAGGCAAAGTGGGGTTAAGTGTCTTGCCCAAGGACACAACGACAGCAGTCATCAGTGGGAGTTGTGAAGTAGGTCTTACGGTGGGCTCGAACCCACAACCTTTAGGCCAATGCTCTACCAACTGAGCCGCTGTCGCCTTTAAAGGATTAATTAAGGTACTGTTATTTTTGTCACGCTATACTTACACATTTTTTACGTACGCTAGCATTGTGTTTTTATATTCAGTCTATGTTAGCATTGTCCATCTGTATACAGACTATGGTAGCTACACAGACCATGTGAGCTGACCTTGCTGGTGTCGTGGTTGTAGCACACATACACAGACCATGTGAGCTGACCTTGCTGGTGTCGTGGTTGTAGCACACATACACAGACCATGTGAGCTGACCTTGCTGGTGTCGTGGTTGTAGCACACATACACAGACCATGTGAGCTGACCTTGCTGGTGTCGTGGTTGTAGCACACGTTGACCGCCTCCTGTGGTGGGAGCATGTTCCAGACGCCGTCGCTCGCCAGGATGATGTAGCGATGTTTCTTTGGGTCCAGAATCACGACACTGGTGTCCGGCTCCGGAGACACCACAAACTCTCCACTGAAGAAGTCATAGCTCCACAGGTCCCCTGCAGGAAGAGGACGAAGCACTTTAGGACATCACACATGAATAGCACTTTATGGAGAGGGGTGTCAAACTCATTCTGGTCACGGCAGATAAAAAAACAGGAAGTAATTGAAGGCCAAAAGAATACAAGGGATTTCCTTTTCTTATAACATGTTTTTACATTATGACAGTGTTTTAACATGACTTTTATGTGACACAAGTTCCATTTTCTATTTTGTGTACTTTATTTTTCAAATTTCAAGTATAAAATATCAAAAACATAACAAGGCAGTGGGTTTCACCATTTTCTTGTTAATTTTTCTGAACACTAAATGTGTTTTTGTTTAAATTAAGCCAAAACTTGACCAAATATAGAATTTAACGTTTTATAATTAACTTCTACTGATGTACAGGTTATAGACCTAGTTATAGACCTGGTTCGGTCCTGGTTTAGACCTGGGAGAGACCAGAGGGAAAGACCAGAGAGAGAAAAGAGAGAGACCAGAGAGAGAGTAGAGAGAAGCTAGTAGAATAAACTAGAGCTGAAAAGATTATAGAGTATAATAGAGTACAGTAGAGTAGAGTGGAGAAGAGTCTCTGGTCTCACCCAGGGCTCTGGCCACAGCGAGGAAGGGGATCTGATCGATGACGGTGCTGCGCCGCACTGGGCCGTTGTGGGTCAGTCTGGGCCGCTTCCAGACCACGCGGTTCACTCCAGACTTCTTTATCACACTGTAACAACACATGTAGAAGTTTATTATTTATCAATGAAGCTGTTTGTCTCTCTCTGTCTGCTTTCTCTACTCTCTCTCTTCAGTCTCTTGCTGGTCTCTCTCTGGTCTCTCTCTCTGGTCTTTCTCTGATTTCTTTTTAGTCTCTCTCTGGTCTCTCTCTCTCTGGTTTCTCTCTGGTCTCTCTCTGGTCTCTCTCTGGTCTCTCTCTGGTCTCTCTCTGGTCTCTCTCTGGTCTCTCTCTGGTCTCTCTCTAGTCTCTCTCTGGTCTCTCTCTGGTCTCTCTCTGGTCTCTCTCTGGTCTCTCTCTGGTCTCTCTCTGGTCTCTCTCTGGTCTCTCTCTGGTCTCTCTCTGGTCTCTCTCTCTGGTCTCTTTCTAGTCTCTCTTTGGTCTCTCTCTCTGGTCTCTTTCTGGTCTCTCTCAAACTAGTGATTAAAGCTAACTGTTTTAGAACATTTTTCTGACATAGATGTTAGAGTTTTGTGTTTGGAAACTTAGGTACCCCAGCTTTAAGATATGTCATGTTTAGGAAGGTGCGTGTCCCACCTGCCTCCCAACCCCTCGATGCGCTGCTTTTCTCTGGGCAGCTCGGGTTTGTGGTCTTGGGTCAGCTCCAGGGCTCGGACTGAGGAGGAGGCCTGGTCCTCCACCCCCAGCACCACAGCCGAGTCCCCCACATGGGCCACGTACATGCGGTCTCCACGGATCACCACCACACTGGCCGTGGTCCCAGAGGTGCTGGGAAGACCTGTGAGCGTCCTGGGCCACTCCGCTAGAGAGGGAAAGAGGGGGATGTAAGCTCCAGTCTCAGTCCTGGGTCTACAGCCTCATTCCTGGTTTTATAGCCTCAGTCCTGGATCTACAACCTCAGTCCTGGATCTACAGCCTCAGTCCTGGTTCTACAGCCTCAGTCCTGGTTCTACAGCCTCAGTCCTGGGTCTACAGCCTCAGTCCTGGGTCTACAGCCTCAGTCCTGGGTCTACAGCCTCAGTCTTGGGTCTATAGCCTCAGTCCTTGGTGCTGGTGTCTACAGGGTTAAGAAGGTTCACATGAGGACTGTGGTGTGTGTGTGTGTGTGTGTGTGTGTATATGTGTGTGTGTGTGTTGTAACTTGGAGATAGGGACTTTACAAAGATAACAGAGTCTTCTCTCATCATATTTTAACTTGTAGCTCGTCAGAGGTCACTCAGAGCAAGATAATTTTGTCATCAGATGTCAGTGATAACAGTGTAGTGAAAATAGTTCAGAGAGAGAGACCAGCAAGAGAGAGAGAGAGAGACCAGAGAGAGAGAGAGAGAGAGAGAGAGAAAGAGACCAGAGAGAAACCAGAGAGAGACCAGAGAGAGAGACTAGCAAGAGAGCAGAGAGGGACCAGCAAGAGAGAGGTCATAGGAAGAGAAACTAGTCATAGGAAGAGAGAAAGACTAGAGGGAAACCAAAGAGAGTGAGCTGAGAGAGACCAGAGAGAGTTCCCCATGTCTCTTTCACTCACGTAGCTTCTTCCACATGGCGTGGTGACAGGCCACAAACCCTCGGCGGATGGCGTTGCAGACAGAGCGATCACAGAGAGACCAGAAGCCGCGCTGGTTCTTTATGAAGCTCCACAGATGGTCACGAGCGAAACGAGCCGCCTCAGCCCCACCGTGACCATCGAAAACTGCGAAGAAGGCCACGGATTCAGGGGGTGAGGGGGAGGAGTCTGTGGGGGAGAGGGAGGAGTCTGTGGAGGAGAGGGGAGTCACACTTACAGGAGATGTATAAATCAACTCTTTTGAAGTTATTGCCCTGGTACAACAGTGATCCTCATCAAAGGCATTCTCTACTCTACTCTTTTCTACCTTACTCTACTCTACCTGGTTGTGTTTGAATTAGACTTTAGTATCTGAAGGACCTGGTAATGGTTACACAGAACCAGTGGAGCCACTCACAATCAGGGGAGAGTTGAGAAGAGTAGAGAAGAGTAAGGTAGAGGAGAGTAGGGTATGGAAGGGCATCATACACTTATATGTCTTTTTGCACAACCTGAGTGATTCAATCTATGCCAAATGTGACATGTACATTTCTCCATTGTGAGATCAATAAAGTTTATATTATCTTATCAAAATAACAAAGGGTCTAAAACAAAGCCTTGAGGTATTCCCTGTCTGTTTCCTTGTTACAACATTGTTCCTCATCAGTCACAGACCTGGAGATGTTTTAAGATCATCACTAACATAAAAAAAATCTGGCACAAACATGTAACCATAGACTGTATAGATAACCTCGTAGGAATCATATCTGGATTTGCATCAACGGTTACTGAGCTAGAGGAGTTTACGTTTACAGGTAAGCTAAAAAAAAAGCCAGAGAGAGGAGCCAAACAACACCATGAACACTTCCTTATTGGGCTTCATTGAGCTAGAGGGTTAGGATTGTCCATCTGTATAAAGGCTATGGTGATAAAACATTTTTTGAGTATATCATATTTGGTCTGCACGTGTTGCATCTCCTGTTAGTCCTGGATCTACGGCCCCAGTCCTGGGTCTACAGCCTCAGTCCTAGATCTACAGCCCCAGTCCTGGATCTACGGCCCCAGTCCTGGGTCTACAGCCTCAGTCCTAGATCTACAGCCTCAGTCCTGGGTCTACAGCCTCAGTCCTGGATCTACAGCCTCAGTCCTGGGTCTACAGCCTCAGTCCTGGATCTACAGCCTCAGTCCTGAGTCTATACAGCCTCAGTCCTGGATCTATACAGCCTCAGTCCTGGATCTACAGCCTCAGTCCTGCGTCTATACAGCCTCAGTCCTGGGTCTACAGCCTCAGTCCTGGGTCTATACAACCTCAGTCCTGGGTCTATACAACCTCAGTCCTGGGTCTATAGTCTCAGTCCTGGATCTCCAGCCTCAGTCCTGGATATATACAGCCTCAGTCCTGGATCTACAGCCTCAGTCTTGGGTCTACAGCCTCAGTCCTGGGTCTACAGCCTCAGTCCTGGGTCTACAGCCTCAGTCCTGGGTCTACAGCCTCAGTCCTGGGTCTACAGCCTCAGTCCTGCGTCTATACAGCCTCAGTCCTGGGTCTACAGCCTCAGTCCTGGGTCTATACAACCTCAGTCCTGGGTCTATACAACCTCAGTCCTGGATCTCCAGCCTCAGTCCTGGATATATACAGCCTCAGTCCTGGATCTACAGCCTCAGTCTTGGGTCTACAGCCTCAGTCCTGGGTCTACAGCCTCAGTCCTGGGTCTACAGCCTCAGTCCTGGGTCTACAGCCTCAGTCCTGGGTCTACAGTCTCAGTCCTTATATTGTATGCATATGTATTAACATTTCTTGACAGTGGTCATCCCTTTCCCTATGGAACTATGGACTGTATGTGTTTGTTATGATTGCATTTCCTGTGTTTTAACTGTTTGATTCTCTCATCTTTGAATTGAATTGTCCAATAAGGAAGAGAGAACTACAGTGACACAATCAAGCCACAAGATCAGGTGACCATCGCACAGACAGCCCGCGGTTTACTACGAGCTTATTACACCATTAATTACAATATTACAGCTATATAACACACAGATCACGATAAATAAAGATTACAGACAAATGCATATATAAGTTTAGATAATAATGTAATAATGCCATTTACTGGGAAAGCTGCTGGTTTGTGCAGAGTCCTCCATCCCCGCGGTGTCCTGCGCTCTTTCCCGCAGACGGTCCTCCTCCACCGGGCTGTCGTCCTGCTCGCTCCCCGGCTTCAGGTCCCTCTCCTCGGCCTGGCTCTCCACCACCACCTCGGTCACGTCCTCCATGTACTTCCGCCCGCCCTGGTCCTCGCACACAGCCGCGCACAGGAGCATCTCTGCCGCGGGGGTTGGGTGCAGTTCCTTTGGGGTTGATTATTTTGAGGGTTTTTGTCGTTGCTCCGGTCGCTGTCTTTTGTTTTTGTTGGCAGAGGAGGAGGAGGAGGATCGGGGGTATGCGTGCTACGGGGGGTGACGTCATGTCCGAGTGAGCGCAGATGGTGCAGACAGGACACAGCGCCACCTGGTCTGAGAGTGAGAGGGCAACTTTAAATAAGATAAGATAAGATAGATTTTATTGATCTCACACTGGAGAAATGTACATGTCACATTTGGCACAGATAGAATCACTCAGTGTGCAAACATGTCAAGTTTGTCAATGGTTAAAAAATATGGTCGTTGCAGGATATAATTATGTAAAAATAATAATAATAATAATAATAATATCCAATTAAATCAGATAGTCTCACCGAAAACGTATTTGTATTTGTGTAATAACCAATTAGTAATAAGAAATAAGAAAAACAAAAAGAGAGAAAAACACATCAACGAGGTAGATTGTATTGTTTACAGCTAGATGTCTAGACCACAAAGTGTATATGTGTAGACATACGGTTGGTGCAGCGTCTGCAGTGATGTGGTCGCTTTATTAGACTGTTGTGGTGAAGAGGGAGCAGCGTCTGTTTGCGTATGTTTTTATCATTTTTTCATTCATTCAAAGTGTGCAGATTGGGGAGAACATGCAAACTCCACGTAGAGATGCCTGAATGTGGATCCAAACCCAGAACTTTTAACTGCGAAGCCCAAACGCTAACCACTCAGCCACGTCTTATGTTGTGTATGTGCTCATTCCTGTTCTGTATCCTGCCATGCAACACTGACATTTACATTCTCTGCTAATTTACAATTTATATTATTCCCATCCAGCTCACAGAGCAACTCTCTGCTGAATCCTTCTGAGCTGTTACATCACAGAGGATGTGATGTGACAGATCAAGCTTTTGAATTGATTTTGAGTTGAAACACACAAAATGTAATACTGTAATAAATTGTCACGAGTTCCAGGACCGCGGTAAAGTGGGCCGCATCTTTCACCTCCGAAGTAAAACGGCCCGCATCGAGAGAAAAACAGTGCGCGTTTTGTTGACTACTTACGGTAATAGCGGAACAGCCTTTCGGAGTCACCTTTTCTCCTCGAACAGAAAGCGCGCTTAGGAGACTCGTTTTGGTGAATAAACCCATATTTGGAAAGCATTTAATTTGGTCAAATTTTCAACAGCTGTCCATTTATACAGTAAAGACTTGTGTGGCTTATTCCACTGGGTTCATGACCTCGATATAGCTGCCTTCAACGCTGTGCATAGACCACACACCTTTACTGTAGAAATATTGAAAAATATTGATTTAAAATAGCCATTTTGGTCCAAAATAGCCTAAAAATGGTCAAAACATGTCACTTTTGATCTACTGTAACTTTTTACTTTAAAAAGGTGTGCGACTAATTTCACTGGATTCATGACCTCATGATTGACCTCGACCACTGTACCAAAGACCAGAAACTTTTACTGTAGAAATATTGAGAAATATTGATTTAAAATAGCCATTTTGGTCCAAAATATCTCCAAAATAGTCAAAACATGTCACTTTTGATCTACTGTAACTTTTTGCTGTAAAAAGGTGTGCGACTAATTTCACTGGATTCATGACCTCATGATTGCCCTCTACCACTGTATCAAAGACCAGAAACTTTTACTGTAGAAATATTGAGAAATATTGATTTAAAGTAGCCATTTTGGTCCAAAATTGCCTAAAAATGGTCAAAACATGTCACTCTTTGTTTACTGTAACTTTTATTGCGGAAATTTTGAGAAATAATTAGTCAAAGTACCCCCCTTGGTAAAAAATACACAAAAGGGGCTACGGCCCCTTTTGTCGACAAGCGGAGGTTCGACAAGTCGACAAGCGGAGGCTCTGCTCCGAGCTCCTTCCGTGTGACTGAGCTCCTCAACCTATCTCTAAAAGTGCTTTCAGACCAATAGCTTCAAAACGCTTTTGACACGCAATATTTGACGCTGGGTCCGTTGTGAACGCCCCTTGGTGCTTGAAGCTCCTGACGCCGGGTAGGAGGAGCTTCTCTCGCTCCCGCCTGGAGCTCGCACTGATTCCCACGGAGGAGCGCCTGTCTTTCAGTCTGCTGTGTCTGAGCCAGCTTTAGCTTGTTCTTATACTAAATAAATTACTTTAACTTCACAGCATATGTACATTGATTGTGTTACTTACTTTTTAAGAACGTTACTATTCATACAAATAATATTACAAATAACAATAATGGCAATGAAAAAGCAGCAGCAGCTACATGACAGCCCTGCTGCTGCTGCTGCTGCTGCTCCTCGTCTCCAGATTGGTTGAAGCCCGGCGTCAAGCTCCAAAAGCTTTTCTCAACTTCGGCGTTAAGGGACTTTTTTACGACAAAAGAGACGCAAGCATTACGCGTGTCAAAAGCTTCAAGTGACGCGCATAATGCTCTCGTCTTTTGAAGCGCTTCAAGTGAAGCCGGGCCTCTCACCTGACGCGCTTCACTATTCATTTTCAGTGCAAAACTGACGCTTTTCAAGTCTAAGTTGAGTCCGGGGTGAAAACACCTTAAGGGAGTGCCCAACCAGTCTTTCCCACCGCTTGTATCTACAATCTCGTTCTTTCGGTCATTATCCAAAGCTCCTGACCAGAGGTGATGGAGGGAACAAGAATTGACCGGTAAATCGAAAGTGTCCGCATCACTGCGCACGCTGCACCAATCCACCTGTCAATCTCACGCTACATCCTTCCATCACTCGTGAACAAGACCCCGAGATACTTGAACTCCTCCACGTGAGGAAGGAGCTCTCCACTTTGGCGGCACGGTGGCTGAGTGGATAGCACTCTCGCTTCTCAGCAAGAAGGTCCTGGGTTCGTATCCCAGTCGGAACAGTGCCTTACTGAGTGGAGTTTGCATGTTCCCCGTGTCTGCATAGGTTTCCTCTGGGTGCTCCGGTTTCCCCTGGCACTAAAAACATGCTCAATAGGTATTAATGGATAATGAAGATTGGGGGCTGATCAGTGGGGGCGGGTCCCGGCTCGAAAGTGGCCAAAATGATGCGCTGACATGCTTGCAATACCACCCCAGGCCGATGGGGGTGGACCCGGAATAAGAATTAGCCAATGCTAACGTATAGCATTGGCAGACCTCTGGAAAAGGATGGTCCAAAAGTTGGCTCTTGGCCCAAAGCTCCGTTCCACATGTGTGTCAATGATGAGGGGGGTGAATTTTTTTGGACCACTCTACTATACTCGCTGTGAATTTTTTAAGTCTCTCGTTCAAATGAATGGAGCTTGCGCCGGCTGACGCATGCGCAGATGCTTTTTTTTCCGCTATATAATTTTTTTTTTATATATGTAAATGCGCTATATAAATAATCATTACTCATTGATCATTACTCATTACTCGAGAGGGCAAGGCACCTTTTTCCGGTCAGGCATCATGGCCTCGGATTTGGAGGTGCTGATTCTCATCCCAGCCGCTTCACACTCGGCTGCAACCGTCACAGTGCATGTTGCAGGTCCTGGTTCGTTGGAGCCAACAGGACAACATCGTCTGCAAACAGCAGAGATGAAATCCTGTGGTCCCCGAACCGGACCCCCTCCGGCCCCTGGCTGCACCTACAAATTCTGTCCATTATGACAGAAAACAGAAGCGGTGAAAAAGGGCAGCCTGCACCTGCCGGCAATGCAAATACAGCTCTGGTAGAGGACAATAATGAAGTCATGAATCCAGTGAAATTAGTCGCACACCTTTTTACAGTAAAAAGTTACAGTAGATCAAATGTGACATGTTTTGACTATTTTGGAGGTAATTTGGACCAAAATGGCTATTTTAAATAAATATTTCTCAATATTTCTACAGTAAATGTTTCTTGTCTTTGGTACAGTGGTAGAGGGCAATCATGAGGTCATGAATCCAGTGAAATTAGTCGCACATCTTTTTACAGTAAAAAGTTACAGTAGATCAAAAGTGACATGTTTTGACCATTTTGGAGGTATTTTGGACCAAAATGGCTACTTTAAATCAATATTTCTCAATATTTCTACAGTAAAAGTTTCTGGTCTTTGGTACAGTGGTAGAGGGCAATCATGAGGTCATGAATCCAGTGAAATTAGTCGCACACCTTTTTACGGTAAAAAGTTACAGTAGATCAAAAGTGACATGTTTTGACCATTTTTAGGCTATTTTGGACCAAAATGGCTACTTTAACTCCATATTTCTCCAAATTTCTACAGTAAAAGTTTCTGGTCTTTTGTACAGTGGTAGAGGGCAATAATAAGGTCATGAGTCAAGTGAAATTAGTCGCACACCTTATTCCAGTAAATAGTTACAATACTTGAAATTTGCACTAGCGGACCAAATTGTGTACTTTATATATGTAAACAATAGAGTGGCTATCCTCCTAAGGACTCACAATCTGCCGGAGGAATCGTAGGGGGCTGGTGCTATGTGTACCGGGTGGCATCTCTATAAGGTTTTTATCACAAAAACGTGTCTCCCAGACCCCAGCGCGCTTTCTGTTCGATAAAAATGGGTGACTCCGAAAGGACGTTCCGCTGTTACCGTAAGTTCTCAAAGAAACGCGCACCGTCTTTTCCCCGATGCGGGCCGCATGTTCATAGAGCTGAAAGATGCGGGCCACTTTACCGCGGTGTTCCAGGCTCTAAAACAGTTTGTTTCTGTCACTAGTTTTCACATGTATTAAGAGAGAGACCAGAGAGAGAGAGAGAGAGAGAGACCGGAGAGAGAGAGAGAGAGAGAGACCGGAGAGAGAGACCGGAGAGCGAGACCAGAGAGAGACCATGAAGACCAGCGAGAGAGAGACAGAGAGACCAGAGAGAGAGAGACCAGAGTAAGACCATGTGAGACCAGAGAGAGAGGCCAGAGAGAGAAACCAGAGAGCGAGAGAGAGAGAGAGAGACCGGAGAGAGAGAGACCAGAGTAAGACCATGTGAGACCAGAGAGAAAGGCCAGAGAGAGAAACCAGAGAGCGAGAGAGAGAGAGAGAGACCGGAGAGGGAGACCTGAGAGCGAGACCAGAGAGAGAGACCATGAAGACCAGCGAGAGAGAGACAGAGAGACCAGAGAGAGAGAGAGACGAGAGAGAGGGAGACCGGAGAGAGAGACAATGAAGACCAGCGAGAGAAAGACAGAGAGACCAGAGAGAGAGAGAGAGAGACCCTGTAGTATGTATGTATGATAAAATAGGCAAGAGGAACTAGTGGACATGTTGCTTGTATAAAATGGTTTGTAAGTGTTTTCACTGAGTCTTGACTTTCTGTTATCGATTGATCATTGGAGATTTATGATTATACAGTCTATGGAGTTTCCCAAACCCAAAGCGCGTGTCTCTGTCTTCAAACCTGGCGCCCCCTTCTCCCAGTTCACTGCTGTTTAGTCTCCGCATCATGAAGCCCAAGTCTGCCCTCTCCACCCGCGAAACCCGGCCCTAACTCCCGCTCCCCTCTTCCCCTCTCCCCGATGGTGGATGGTGGCGGGCGGGCTGGTTCTTCCGCGGTCAGGGTTGCTGAGTTTAACCGGGGGAGAAGTCACCAAATCTGGGTGTTTTCCAGGGGAAGACGGAGAGGCTAAAACAACATGGCGGCCGCGGAGCTCGAGTGGATCCCAGAATCTCTGTATAACACGGCTATTTCTGCTGTTGTGGACAATTACAGCCGCTCCAGGAGGGACATACGGTCACTACCCGAGAATATACAGTTTGATGTCTACTATAAGGTGAGATCTATGCGGGGAAACAGCAGCGAAGCCCGGTTGTTTGCGGGTGATGGGTGTTAGCATTAACACTAGCACTGGTTCTCTCGCTATAAGGGAGTTCACTTCATCAGCTGGAATTGGACTAACCTCACTTCTGTTTACGTATAAATGTGTTAATCTGGATTTATTGGACTTCTCGCCACAGCTGTCTGTTGCTATTTGTGTTGTTGCTGTCCGAAATCTCAAAATCGTGCTGTTTTTTTTAAAAGAAAATTATAGTGTTTCATAATGTCTGTTTATGATTACGATTGCTTGGAAAACCCTGGAAATTGAAGCTGGGTTACTTAACTTTTTTGTCTCAAGAGCACATGTTTTTTGTCCACTAGAAAGCGGCTTGTAGAATTTCAACGTTGTAAACAAACCAGACCAACACACACATGCTGGCTTCATCATATAAGAAATCGTGTTACCTTTTGTGTTTACTGAGCCCTGTGAGTCATTTATCATCTCTTTGGGCTCAGAGCTGATTCGCGGAGTGAGGGTGGTCCTCTTTTTCACTTGTCTGTAAATACTCTGAAAATACTTCCAAAGATATGTCAGAGGGCAGAAATACATGAAACTAGTGATGCGACTGTTTTGGCTCATCGAGAGAGGGAGACCGGAGAGAGGAGGGAGACCGGAGAGAGGAGGGAGACCGGAGAGAGGAGGGAGACCGGAGAGAGGAGGGAGAGAGGAGGGAGACCGGAGAGAGGAGGGAGACCGGAGAGAGGAGGGAGACCGGAGAGAGGAGGGAGACCGGAGAGAGGAGGGAGACCGGAGAGAGGAGGGAGACCGGAGAGAGGAGGGAGACCGGAGAGAGGAGGGAGACCGGAGAGAGGAGGGAGACCGGAGAGAGGAGGGAGACCGGAGAGAGGAGGGAGACCGGGTCTCAGCCCAAACAGGCCCACAGGGCTTTTTAAAAACGTGTTTTCTAATAAGATGATGTCAGCATAGTGTGGTCTGGTTTGTTCACAAAATGTTACTGAAGACTTTTTTCCTGTTGAACAAACATGTGTTATTTATGATAAAACAAAAGTGAGCTTAGACAGCTCTAGTTTACATAAAGTAAAGTGTGTGTGTGTGTCTCAAATTACCTTCATTTGTGAAACGTGTCAAAGGAGAGGGGAGAGAATGTCTACTCACATTACGTCCATTTTTAACACTCAAAAATAATAATACTAGAGTTATTTATGTCAAGAACACATTACACTGCTGCTTGGTAAACATGAGGCGTATAAAAATATGCATACCGTACACACACACACACACACACACACACACACACACACACACACACACACACACACACACACACACACACACACACACACACACACACACACACACACACACACACACACACACACACACACACACACACACACACACACACACACACACACACACACACACACACACACACACACACACACACACACACACACACACACACACACACACACACACACACACACACACACACACACACACACACACACACACACACACACACACACACACACACACACACACACACACACACACACACGTTTTTGTTACCTGGTGGGTCCCTTTGACAGGGCCGTTCAGAATGGGACCCATAGACATAATCTTTTTTTTACTGGGACTACTTTAAGTAATACAAAACAGTCAATAGAAACCAAACAACTCTTTTAAAGGAATTTTATTTTAGATTTTTTTTTCGAATTGCAGTGATTCTATTTTTGACATAGAATTTAATGCCACTCCATGTCCGATGTCTAAGGTCATCTGGTGAGGCATTAATGCAGGCCAGGCAGTGAGACTTCCCAGGGACTTTTCCAGTCTGTATGAAAGGCGTCATGGTCTTCTCCACAGCCTTCACCTCAGATGCAGACCATGGCTTTCTTACACGTTCTAGGGAGAGAAATAAAAATATATTAGCAATATACACTCCCAGGGTGAGGACCAAGCAGCCTGGCTGTAATCCCCCACCTGGTACACTTACCAGAAGGGGCACTGCCACTACCATGGGGTGCATCTGGTTGAAGGTTCTCCGCTTGAAGTTTCTTTTAGCCCGTCCGTTTGTGAGAGGATCTCTACTGCTCTCCCTGTCGCACAGAAAATAAAAATACAAGTGGCCTTTAGGGGAAAAAAATCATACATATTTTAATAATATCAAGAATTACCTTCAGGCTCAATTTGTATCTGGTCGAGGCTCTTTCCTTTGAATTCCGTCACTCTTCCCTGCTCCATGGCCATCAACACTTTGCTGATTTTGGCCAGCTCCAGTGTCCCCTCTGGTAGTCTGTAATATTGCCTGTGGATGCGAATGTCATGGCCGAGGAAGTTGGCTAGTATGTCCATCTCATTCTCTTTCATATTGAGAACTGTAGACATAGTAGCTATGTGCTTTCTAAGTTTGGTTGAGGATAGCATCTCTGGATGCACCGCACCACATTCTTTGGCTACCTGCCGTAGGGAGTCTGATCCCCTGATGTGGGTGTCTGCGCCCGGGCGGGAGAAGAAGTATGGGTTATGGTCAGAGATGGAACAGGCCCTTCTGTTCTCCACCAGCACCTCCATCGAAGCAATCATTTCAGGAGTCAAAAGAACCGGCACTTTCCGACTTCTTTTCCCTTTAATTTCAATGCGTTGAAAATGCTGACACCGCTTTTTCTCAAGTTGGGACAGTCCCAGAGCAATGTCAGAATGGATCCCAGTCTTACTTCTTAAGGTAAACGCTGTCACTAGCTGCGTTTCCATTGAATAATGCGCAAAAACTTTTTCGATACATTTCAAAATTCGAAAAACCTGTAATTCGCAAAAGCGGCCGTTTCCATTAAGACATATTCGAATAAGTATACACTATTTTCGCGCGTTTATTCACTAGTTTCTAGTACGTCAACATGGCAACAGAAGTAAACAACACTTTGATTTACGTGAGATATATTAATGTCTTGACTTCTGCTGCGGCTCTCATCCTCTCTGACCCCGGGAGAAACTGTGGCTGCTTTGACAGCTCCGCGAACGCGCGTGGTCATGTACCGAGCACGGACCATAGACGCGCGCACAGAACCATAGACAGGGTCTTGCCTGTCTCCCCCGTCTCTCCCCCATGCCTCTCCCCCATGCCTCTCCCCCATGCCTCTCCCCCGTCTCTCCCCCATGCCTCTCCCCCGCCTCTTCCCCGTCTCTCCCCCGTCTCTCCCCCATGCCTCTCCCCCGTCTCTCCCCCATGCCTCTCCCCCGTCTCTCCCCCATGCCTCTCCCCCATGCCTCTCCCCCGTCTGACAGACAGACAGACAGACATGGCGTGGATAGAACTGACAGTGATTGGCCAGAGTGCTTCTGGAAGCCATGGTTACCAAGGAATTTCCCTGCATACTGGTTTGTTGTGGGTAGAGGAGAGTCTGCAGCTCTGAGGCTTGAATAAGAAGTTTAGTGAACTTTGGTCTATATGTCATGGAAAGTGTGAAACTAATTTGACTATTTTAACTAAACGGGTAATTGAGAACAAACTTCCCCAGATGAAAACGGGGGGGGGGGGGTGGAGTAGGAGAAGTCAACGGGGGAGAGGAGGTTGGGGAAGAGGAGAACAACGGAGGAGATTACCCACGTCAGCTTTTTTGCTTTTGACAGAAAAGAAAACACTTTCCCACTCGGTCTGAGATCTGCTGCTTAAAGAATGCTGACAATTCAGGTTCAGCAGCTTCAACATAAACATGCTGGAAAAAACACACTCTGGTCTCTCTCTGGTCTATTTTTCTCTGGTCTCTTTCTGGTTATTCTGACACTGTGGATCCAGGACAATTTAGTTTTGTATTAACTTTATGTTCAGTTGTGTTGAATGTTTAAATCGTGTGTGTTTCTCTGACTGCTGACTGTTGTGTGTCTCTCCACAGTTGTATCAGCAGGGTCGGCTCTGTCAGCTCGGGGGAGAGTTCTGTGAGCTCGAGGTGTTCGCCAAAGTGCTGCGTGCTTCTGACAAGAGGTGACTACACATCCAGAGACACACACACACAGTGGCACGGTGGCTAGAGCTTGTGCCTCACAGCAAGCAGGTCCTGGGTTTGATTCCACCTTCAGACTTTTATGCGTGGTGTTTACATGTTCTCCCAGTGTCTGTATGCGTTTCGTCCGGGTGCTCCAGTTTTCCCTACCACTAAAAACATGTAGAATAGGTCTGACATGCGCTTCCTGTGGGCGACCTGCTCCCTCTCTGTGTGGAGTGAGAGACAAATGCCCACAATTTTTTTTAAAGTGCTTTGTGACTCTGGTCTGTGAAATAAAGATTACTTAGACAGACACAGTTGAAATAATTGAATTTGTTTTCTTGAATATTATGAGCCCAGAATAAGAACCTACCATTGATTTGCCCCTCCGCTCAGGCTATCGTAATCACCAGGGTTTGTCTGTTTTCAGTCTCAGTGACGAATCTGGTTTCAGGGAGACGATTCAGTTTTGTTTTTAGTTATGACGTTTGACCTGGAGTGACATCTCACAGACACTGGAGTGATTTAGAGTCACAGTCACAAGACTTGGACTCAAGAAATAAGAGTAACTTCAGCTGAGACTGAGACTGAGGAGGAGGAAGGGGGTTGCAGTAATAACAAACACATAGGAGTCGTTGGTTCATAGGGACCGGGACTGAGGCTGTAGATCCAGGACTGAGACTTCAAACTTCAGCTGAGGCGCCGCAGGAGCTAAGGAGAGGAGAAGAGTTAGGGTTAGAAAGAGTCATGGAGGCAACCAGGTGCAGCTCCTCCCTTGAACCAGCAGGGGGCAGGCGTTTAATATGGACAGAGGCATAAGTGCTCATACAACTGTAATTTTTCCACTTCTCCTCTCACGTCTACAATCACAAATATAAGGAGCTATTTTGTAACATGTTCTCTCTCTTCCCCCTCCCCAGACACCTCCTCCATCACTGCTTCCAGGCCCTGATGGACCACGGTGTAAAGGTGGCCTCTGTCCTCGCCAGTTCCTTCAGCCGCCGCTGCTCCTACATCGCGGAGTCTGACGCCCAAGTGAAGGAGAAGGCCATCCAGTTCGGCTTCGTGCTCGGTGAGACAGACCGGACAGTTTGTCAGTGTTGTAGACAGGTCTTTGGTGTGAGAGGAAGAGGAGGACCAGAGAGACCAGAGAGACCAGAGAGACCAGAGAGACCAGAGAGACCAGAGAGACCAGAGAGACCAGAGAGACCAGAGAGACCAGAGAGACCAGAGAGACCAGAGAGACCAGAGAGACCAGAGAGACCGACCACACACTGTTTGAGTTTGACACATTTTTGTATAAACCTTAAAATAGTTTGTGGCTAAATTGCACAGTGTCTGTCCCTCTTACATCAAAGTTGTTGTCGCCAAACACAAAGAAACAATGACTTCTTTCAAACATATCGTACATTTGTAACTGTGTAACTTCTGAAGCACAGGGAGAGGTCTGGACTCATGAGTGTGTGTTTCAGGCGGCTTCCTGTCAGATGCCGGGTGGTACGGAGACGCAGAGAAGGTGTTCCTGTCGTGCCTGACTCTTTGCTCTCTGCACAGTGAGGTCCTGCACTGCTTCAGGGCCGTGGAGTGCTGCGTCAGGTCAGTCACACCTGCATCTGTCTGTCCCAGGGCAGACACACCTGCACAAGTCTTAGATCTTATGGCTCAGTCCTGGATCTACTGCCTCAGTCCTGGATCTACAGCCTCCGTCCTGGATCTACAGCCTCAGTTCTGGAACTACAGCCTCCGTCCTGGATCTACAGCCTCAGTTCTGGATCTACAGCCTCAGTCCTGGATCTACTGCCTCAGTCCTGGATCTACTGCCTCAGTCCTGGATCTACTGCCTCAGTCCTGGATCTACTGCCTCAGTCCTGGATCTACTGCCTCAGTCCTGGATCTACAGCCTCCGTCCTGGATCTACTGCCTCAGTCCTGGATCTACAGCCTCCGTCCTGGATCTACAGCCTCAGTCCTGGATCTACAGCCTCAGTCCTGGATCTACAGCCTCCGTCCTGGATCTACAGCCTCAGTTCTGGATCTACAGCCTCAGTCCTGGATCTACGGGCCTCAGTCCTGGATCATCCCGCTCCTATGTGTTTTAGGGATGTAAATCGGCGACCGTTTAACCGGTGGTTGACCGTCACAGCGTTAACCGGTCAAAGCTGTCGGTTAAAAAAAGAGAAAGAGGGGAGGTCTCTTAATAACGCTATTTTAAGCCCTATGTGCACGGTGTGACGAGCGGGTCTGTATCTAGCTGTGTGCGCCCATGTATTATAAACTCCGGGACGACTCTCACGCCGCACGAGCCACATATGCACATGCACGCGCACACACACACACACGTTCCCCCTCTCCATACGTAACATCCACACGCATCATCTCTCCCCTCTGTTACCGTCAAAGTTGCACACTGGCGCGGGTCAGAACTACATTGGAGCTTACATTTACACACACACACATACACACACACACACACACATACACACATACATACACACACACATACACACACACATATCGGTCTGTCGCGCTCCTCTGTGTCACGGAGCCCAAAGAATTCGCGCAAATACGCGGCTCCAGTCAAACCACATGGAACATGTTTGTGTTTATGGTCCTCGGGATCAGCTCCACACACATCACTTGTATTTAAACTTTTGTGAAGACCTGTGAGACGCGGCTCGTCACTCGCTGCTCTGACCATGTGAACGAGCCGTCGTTTGCTGCTAGAAAGTTTTGGTATTAACCCGCAGCACAGCAGAATGGGAAGATTAAAAAAGCAGTTCTCTGTGCGCAAAGGTGCCGGAGCTGTTGTGGGTTTTGGCGCCGCTGTCTCGGCTCTGATCCCGTAGAACGCTCAGCTGCACTTATGAAAAATACGCGGCTCGAAATGGCTGTTATTTCAAAGAACGTGGACTATTTTAAACTACGCGGTTAACCGGTTTCAACCGGTTAATGAGGCTCGGTGGTCGGTCATGAAAATTCATAGTTTTTTACATCCCTAATGTGTTTATTATTATTGCATTCTGTGTGTTTGAACTGATTTTCTGTTCTGTTGTCATGATTTAGGCCGATACACAAATATATTGAATTGAAGTCCTCTCTCTCTCTCTTCTCATGATCCTGATCTGTTGCAGACTGCTCCACGTCCGTAATGGTAACTGTAAGTACCATCTGGGGGAGGAGACCTTTAAGATGGCGCAGTCGTACATGGACAAGCTGTCGACGCACGGACACCAGGCCAACAAGGCCGCTCTGTACGGAGAACTCTGTGCCTTGCTCTTCGCCAAAAGCCACTACGACGAGGTGAGAGCCATGTCCTCTACTGACGATGAGGTTATACTTGTGGTCTGAAGGAGAACCAGGTCCTCCTCCTGGTCCTGGTCCTCTCCAGTTTACGGTGCTGGTCCTTGTCCTGCTCCTGCTCCTGATCCTGTCCAGTTCCCGGTCCTGGTCCTTTCCAGTTCCTGGTCCTGGTCCTCTCTAGTTCCTGGTCCTGGTCCATTAGAATGAGTCTGGTGTGTGTGAATGGTTGGTGGTGGGAGGGGCCGATGGCACAGACTGGTTGCCTCGCTTCTGCCAGTTTGCCCCAGGGCAGATGTGGCCACAGTAGTTTATCACCACCATGGAGTGAAGGAATAAAACAGATTTATTATTATTATTACTATTGTAATTGTGGTTTGTCCTGTTCTGGCTGTAGTTTCTCATCCTCTGGTCTCTGTTTCAGGCGTACCGCTGGTGCATCGAGGCCATGAAGGAGATCTCTCCTGGTCTGCCCGTCAAAGTTGTAGTAGACGTTCTGCGACAAGCTTCAAAGGTAAAACCACAGAACAATCTTTAGTTTAGTCACTTTGTCCCAGACACCCTCAAACTGCTGACATGCACAGACACAGATATAAAGATACAAACTATAGATATATGCACAGGGCTGGACTGGCCATCGGGCGTACCGGGCAATGCCCGAAGGGCCGATGCCCATATTTGGGCCGGTCTGTCTGCCTCATACAAAAAAACATGTTTGTGAAAAGTGTAAATCCGTCGAGAAATGTTTGAGGGGAGCGTGCGTGTCCGCGGGGCACCTGCTGTATGTACTTGAACGGGATTCCACCACCTCAGCGTCCGCAGTGTTCCCGCATCCAGCGGCTCTGAGCTGGACGCAGGAACCGCTCACAACACAACACGGTGAGCGCGTAGCCGCAACGTGACCATGTACCCAAGACCATAAACGCGCACAGGACCATGCATGTCTTTTCGTAATTTGTGCACCCAATAAATACACCGCTGCAGAAAACAGTCCGCGTCTCCCCTCTCCTCTAAATTAAAGCTCGGGTACCTAAATTTTCCATTGCATTAAAAGTTCATGTTTGAGCCCAAAAGTAAAATGTTGTGAACAGATTAAACAGATTTAGAGCCAGCTAATGACTGACAATATGCATTTCAGTCTTTTTTGACCAATTCTCATCCCTGTAACAAACAATAGTATTGTCTGTGCCCACCTCCCTCACTCTGAGACATGTTTATTACTCTGTTTAATGTAGACTATTGTACTTTATTTTATTGTTGAAACTGCAGACATCCTGATCCTCTGCAGTATTTGCTTCCACATACTGTATAAACCAGGGGTCGGCAACCTTTAGTGCCCCTAAAGTGGCTCCTGGAGCCTTTTCAAAAATGTCTGAAAATGGAGTGTGAGGGCTATATTTTATTTCTAGTTTCAATGTGGTTTCTGTAGGAGGAAAAACATTCTTAACGTTTTTCAATGCTGCAAAAACTTGTATAAGTAATATTAAATTTTAGCATTTCTCTACGTAGTGCGTCATATCCTGTGACGCGGCCCGTGCCAGGCGGCCGCTGTTGTAAACAAACCGGCGTGTGTGCATTATAGACTGTGTGTGCGCATGGATCCCAAAGATAAAGAGAGAGAGTCGATAAGACTGGACTAAGAATGAGAATGAACTTTTGCTTTCAGTCAATGAGGAAGGACTGCTTCATGTTTGCGATGTAATGAAAACAATAATGAACAATGAAGCTTTAAACACCGTTCACTGAAAGATTCATTCATCATAAAGTCAGAACACCTATTTTCAGACTTCAAAAACCTCCACAGAGACGGTGAAAGAAAAGGCCATTAAGGACATTCAGCTCCAGCAAACTACAGCCTGTGATGTGATCGATATGAACAGACAGTGATGCAGGTGAACTGAGCCAAAAAGCAGATTTATTTACTGTATTTGTACAATTGCATGAAGGCAAAAAAAGTTAAACTTAAAGCAGAGTTGTCACGTGGTGCGTCATTCTCTCCAGGACACACTGCAATGAAAATACACATTTGATAATCATGAATGGTTTTTATGTGTTTGTAGCCTTTACTTTGTCATTTAGATATTAGTCTAATATAGCTAATATAGCTAATGTAGCTAAGGTAGCTAATGTAGCTATTGTAGCTAATACAGCTTCAGACCCTGTTACCTTCATATAAGCCTTATACAACGCTGTTTTTTTTTTGTTGTCAAATATGGCTCATTGAACCTTTTGAGTTGCCTGGGCCGCTAAAAAGGAAAAAATGCCCGGGCCGTTTTTTTGTCCCAGTCCAGCCCTGTATATGCACCATAATATACACTTAGATTTTCTAGGGCAGTGGGTCAGTTGGTAGAACATTGGCCTTTGACCCTGAAGGTCGTGGGTTTGAGCCCACCACGAGACCTTCTCCACCGACTCCCACTGATGTCTGCTGTCGTTGTTTCCTTGAGCAAGACATTAACCCCACTTTGCCTGAAGTCCCCGCTGAAAGATCAAGGCTATGCTCACACTGACAGAGCAGCCATCCTCCTGTGGACTCAACACCTGCAGGAGGATCAGTGAGGGGCTGGGTTTGCCTCCCCGACCCAGAAAATAAGGGGACGAAAATGGATGGATGGATATTTATGTATATAGTTAATTGCTTTATTGTAATTGTTCTTTACTTTTTTTGTGTGTTTTTATTTAAAGCTGGCAGACTATATTATAATCCGTTACTTTTATCTGTGCAGCACTTTGTAAACATGTTTTGTAAAATGTGCTATATAAATAAAGTGGATTGGATGCTAAAGCTAGATATTTTATTCTAGCTTCTTTATTATGACACACACTTGTTCTGTGTGCTCCTCATTCTACTCTTCTGTAATTGGCGATGCAACACTGACATTTCCCCATTGTGTATTGACATCCTGTATGATCTCTTGCAGGCGTGTGTGGTGAAGAGAGAGTTCCGGAAGGCCGAGCAGCTGATCAAACACGCCGTCTTTTTAGCCCGGTAACTTTTATCTTTACCTTTTCAAAATTTAGAGTCTGCTCTTTGAAGATGTTTTGTTTCTGATCTCGCCTGGTTTTTCCAGAGAACACTTCGGTCACAAACATCCCAAGTACTCGGATACTCTACTTGACTACGGATTCTACTTACTCAACGTCGACAACATTTGCCAATCAGTCGCAATTTACCAGGTGAGAGCAGAGAGAGAGAGAGAGAGAGACAGAGAGCAGGGAGAGGGAGAGAGCAGGGAGGGGGAGAGAGCAGGGAGAGGGAGAGAGCAGGGAGAGGGAGAGAGCAGGGAGAGGGAGAGAGCAGGGAGAGGGAGAGAGCAGGGAGAGGGAGAGAGCAGGGAGAGGGAGAGAGCAGGAGAGGAGAGGAGAGAGAGGGAGAGAGAGGGAGAGAGCAGGGAGAGGGAGAGAGCAGGGAGAGGGAGAGAGCAGAGAGGGAGAGAGCAGAGAGGGAGAGAGCAGAGAGGGAGAGAGCAGAGAGGGAGAGAGCAGAGAGGGAGAGAGCAGAGAGGGAGAGAGCAGAGAGGGTGAGCAGAGAGGGTGAGCAGAGAGGGTGAGCAGAGAGGGTGAGGTGAGCAGAGAGGGTGAGCAGAGAGGGTGAGCAGAGAGGGTGAGCAGAGAGGGTGAGCAGAGAGAGAGGGACCAGGACCAGACATTATAAAGAACTTCATCCATAACCACCTCACAGGACACCACCTCATACTAAGAACTGGGGGATGGACACCTATGATCAGGGTCTTATTATCCTTTTTAACATAGAAAGCATCCTGGCTTCACAGGACCACTAACCGTGCCTGTGGTCTTCCTGGTTACTGCCCTCTCACTGCCCTCTCTCTCCTCCATAGACGGCGTTGGACATCCGGCAGTCTGTGTTCGGGGGTAAAAACATTCACGTTGCCACAGCTCACGAGGACTTGGCCTATTCGTCCTACGTGCATCAGTACAGCTCCGGGAAGTTCGACAACGCGCTGTGAGTGAGACCAGCCTCAACCGCCACATTCTCCCTCTCTGGCATCTCTCTCTGGCATCTCTCTCTGGCATCTCTCTCTGGCATCTCTCTCTGGCATCTGTCTCTGGCATCTCTCTCTGGCATCTCTCTCTGGCCTCTCTCTCTCTGGTCACTCTCTATCTCTCTCTCTCTCTTTCTGGCCACTCCCGCTCTCTTTCTGGCCACTCTCTGTCTCTGGCATCTCTCTTTCTGGCCTCTCTCTCTCTCTTTCTCTGGCCCCTCTCTCTCTCTCTACAGACTCTCTTGTAGACTGGGTTTCCCCTGACTGTATATTACTTTCCGTTTGTCATATAGACACTTACACTTACTCTTAGAGCGATGCAGAAGAGAAGAGACAAAAACACATTTGGTTTCTCGTGTAGGTTTCATGCAGAACGTGCCATAGACATCATTACCCACATTCTGCCGGAGGACCACCTGCTGCTGGCCTCCTCCAAGAGAGTCAAAGGTATCTGTCACCGCAGCATTTCATTTGGGGAAACGGAGGAGGGATCTTTTTCTATTTAAAGCCGGTGTTGATCAGCTTGATGTGAGACAGAGAAGGAGAAACCAGAGGGAGAAACCAGAGGGAGAGACCAGAGGGAGAGACCAGAGGGAGAGACCAGAGGGAGAGACCAGAGGGAGAGACCAGAGGGAGAGACCAGAGGGAGAGACCAGAGGGAGAGACCAGAGGGAGAGACCAGAGGGAGAGACCAGAGGGAGAGACCAGAGGGAGAGACCAGAGGGAGAGACCAGAGGGAGAGACCAGAGGGAGAGACCAGAGGGAGAGACCAGAGGGAGAGACCAGAGGGAGAGACCAGAGGGAGAGACCAGAGGGAGAGACCAGAGGGAGAGACCAGAGGGAGAGACCAGAGGGAGAGACCAGAGGGAGAGACCAGAGGGAGAGACCAGAGGGAGAGACCAGAGGGAGAGACCAGAGGGAGAGACCAGAGGGAGAGACCAGAGGGAGAGACCAGAGGGAGAGACCAGAGGGAGAGACCAGAGGGAGAGACCAGAGGGAGAGACCAGAGGGAGAGACCAGAGGGAGAGACCAGAGGGAGAGACCAGAGGGAGAGACCAGAGGGAGAGACCAGAGGGAGAGACCAGAGGGAGAGGCCAGAGGGAGAGGCCAGAGGGAGAGGCCAGAGGGAGAGGCCAGAGGGAGAGGCCAGAGGGAGAGGCCAGAGGGAGAGGCCAGAGGGAGAGGCCAGAGGGAGAGGCCAGAGGGAGAGGCCAGAGGGAGAGGCCAGAGGGAGAGAGGCCAGAGGGAGAGAGGCCAGAGGGAGAGAGGCCAGAGGGAGAGAGGCCAGAGGGAGAGAGGCCAGAGGGAGAGAGGCCAGAGGGAGAGAGGCCAGAGGGAGAGGCCAGAGGGAGAGAGGCCAGAGAGTTTGCTGTATAGGAGTTCTTCTCTCGTTTTAATCCAGTGTAAAGTGATTTCTCTGTTGTGGTCTTCAGCTCTGATCTTGGAGGAGATTGCCATCGACTGTCACAACAAAGAGACCGAGGAGCGACTGCTGCAGGAGGCGCACGACCTGCACCTTTCCTCCCTGCAGCTCGCCAAGAAAGCTTTCGGAGAGTTCAACGTCCAGACAGCCAAGCACTACGGCAACCTGGGCCGGCTCTACCAGTCCATGAGGAAGTTCAAGGTAAGAACTGGGACAGGGGCAGAGAGCGGGAGGCAGAGAGGGTGGGAGGCAGAGAGGGTGGGAGGCAGAGAGGGTGGGAGGCAGAGAGGGTGGGAGGCAGAGAGGGTGGGAGGCAGAGAGGGTGGGAGGCAGAGAGGGTGGGAGGCAGAGAGGGTGGGAGGCAGAGAGGGTGGGAGGCAGAGAGGGTGGGAGGCAGAGAGGGTGGGAGGCAGAGAGGTGGGAGGCAGAGGGGTGGGAGGCAGAGAGGGTGGGAGGCAGAGAGGGTGGGAGGCAGAGAGGGTGGGAGGCAGAGAGGGTGGGAGGCAGAGAGGGCGGGAGGCAGAGAGGGCGGGAGGCAGAGAGGGCGGGAGGCAGAGAGGGCGGGAGGCAGAGAGGGGGGGGCAGGCAGAGAGGGCGGGAGGCAGAGAGGGCGGGAGGCAGAGAGGGCGGGAGGCAGAGAGGGGGGAGGCAGAGAGGGCGGGAGGCAGAGAGGGCGGGAGGCAGAGAGGGCGGGAGGCAGAGAGGGCGGGAGGCAGAGAGGGCGGGAGGCAGAGACGGCGGGAGGCAGAGACGGCGGGAGGCAGAGACGGCGGGAGGCAGAGACGGCGGGAGGCAGAGACGGCGGGAGGCAGAGACGGCGGGAGGCAGAGACGGCGGGAGGCAGAGAGGGCGGGAGGCACAGAGACCGAACCATCTTGTGTCCTCCAGGAGGCAGAGGAGATGCACATAAAGGCGATCCAGATCAAGGAGCAGCTGCTGGGGCATGAGGACTACGAGGTGGCTCTGTCTGTGGGACACTTGGCTTCTCTCTACAACTACGACATGAACCAGTACGAGGACGCGGAGCGGCTGTACCTGCGCTCCATCGCCATCGGTGAGACGCCAATACCATTCACTCAGTACAATAGCGTGTGCAAAGTAGAGTAGCGTGTGCAGTTTTAGTGTTTGACTCTCTCTGCGTGAGCATAGATCTGTCTGCTCCAATGTTCGTATCGTCTGCAAACACACTATAAACATAACCTCTTGATGAGTTAGAGACCCCTGTCCTAGATAAATGGCTCCATCCCTAAATGCTCCATCTCTCCCTCTGGTCTCTCACTGGCCTCTCTCCCTCTGGTCTCTCACTGGCCTCTCTCTCTCTCTCTGGTCTCTCACTGGCCTCTCTCTCTCTGGTCTCTCACTGGCCTCTCTCTCTCTGGTCTCTCACTGGCCTCTCTCTCTCTGGTCTCTCACTGGCCTCTCTCTCTCTGGTCTCTCACTGGCCTCTCTCTCTCTGGTCTCTCACTGGCCTCTCTCTCTCTGGTCTCTCACTGGCCTCTCTCTCTCTGGTCTCTCACTGGCCTCTCTCTCTCTGGTCTCTCACTGGCCTCTCTCTCTCTGGTCTCTCACTGGCCTCTCTCTCTCTGGTCTCTCACTGGCCTCTCTCTCTGGTCTCTCACAGGCCTCTCTCTCTGGTCTCTCACTGGCCTCTCTCTGTCTTCCCTCTCTGGCCTCTCTCTCTCTCTCTCTGGCCTCCTCTCTCTCTGGCTTCTCTCTCTCTCTGGCCTCTCTCTGGCCTCTCTCTGAATAAATCACTCTGCAGAAACACGAGATAATAACTGTCCAAAGCACAGACTGGGACATGATCTGCAGCTCTCATGGCGATGACATTGAGAGCCTGATAACACTGTACCAACTAAGAAGGTACGGTGTTTTTTTAACAACCACCCATGGATGACCTCTGAGCTTAAAGCCCTCCTGAACCTCAAGAAAAGGGCTTTCATCTCAGGGGACAAAGAGGAGCAGAAGAGGATCCAGCACGAGCTCCAGTGGAGGATCAGGAGGGCCAAGAGGGAATATGGAAAAAAGCTGGAGCAGAAGCTGGCCCAGGGTAACGCCTGCGACGTGTGGAGAGGCCTAAAGAACATCTCTGGCTGTGGACAAAGGGCCAGTGGGACAGCGGATGGAGACCAGCACCGGGCGGATGAATTTAACCAATTCTTCAACCGGTTTGATTCTCCCCCCATCTGCCCCCCCTCCCGCCCCTACCTCTTCACACGTCCCCAGCCCAGTGGACACCGCCCAGTGGACACTGCCTTTGGCTTCCCTGGGCCCTCCTGCCCCCACATCCACGCCCCCCACCTCTGACAATACACCCCAGTCTTCCACCCTCTCCATCACACCGGACCAGGTGAAGAGTCAGCTCCAGCGACTGAAGCTGAGGAAATCCGCAGGACCGGACGAGATCAGTCCCAGGCTGCTGAGGACCTGTGCAGACCAGCTCTCTGGGGTCCTCAGCTACATGTACAACCTGAGCCTCAGCTTGGAGAAGGTCCCTGTCCTGTGGAAGACCTCCTGTGTGATCCCGGTTCCTAAAACACCGCACGCCAAGGAACCGGCTCACTACAGACCAGTCGCACTGACCTCCCACCTGATGAAGACCATGGAGCGGCTCATCCTCACCCATCTCCGCTCCGTGGTCAGCCCCACCCTGGACCCGCTGCAGTTCGCCTACAGACCCAACATCGGAGTAGAGGACGCCGTCATCTACTTCCTGCAGCGGACGCTCTCCCACCTGGAGCCCGCCGGGAGCGCTGTGAGGGTCATGTTCTTCGACTTCTCCAGCGCTTTCAACACCATCAGACCGGCACTGCTGCGGGAGTGGACAGTAGCCTCACTGCATGGACCATCGACTACCTCTCAGACCGACCACAGTACGTGCGGCTGCGCAGCTGTGAGTCTGAGGTGGTAGTCTGCAGCACTGGGGCCGCTCAGGGCACTGTTCTCTCACCGTTTCTCTTCACCATCTACACTTCCGACTTCACATGACACACACAGCTGTCACCTGCAGAAGTTCTCCGACGACTCCGCCATAGTGGGCTGTGTCTGAGGGGAACGATCTGGAATATCGGTCGGTTATCAAGGACTTTGTCGACTGGTGTGAGCGCAACCACTTGTGCTTGAACACCAGTAAGACCAAGGAGATGATCATCGACTTCAGGAGAAAACCACTTTCCCACACGCTGCTGAACATCCAGGGGGAGGACATTGAGCTGGTGGACAGCTTCAAGTACCTGGGTGTTCACATTAACAATAAACTGGACTGGTCCCATAATACAAACACCCTGCACAAGAAGGGCCAAAGTCGCCTCTTCCTTCTGAGGAAGGTCCTTCGGAGTGAGCAGGCCTCTGCTCAGGACTTTTTATGACTCTGTGGTAGCTTCTGCCATTTACGACGCTGCCGTGTGCTGGGCCCCGGGCAGCACAGAGCGGGACAGAAACAGACTGAACAAGCTGGTCAGGAGGGCCAGCTCCACTCTGGGCTGCTCCCTGGACTCTGTGGAGGAGGTGAGGGACAGGAGGGTGCTAGCCAAAGCCACCTCCATCATGGACAATACCTCCCACCCACTGCACAGGACTGTAGAGGAGCTGAGGAGCTCCTTCAGTGGAAGACTGAGACACCCTCAGTGTAGGAAGGAGCGCTACCGCAGGGCCTTTATCCCCACCGCTGTACAATAAGTCTCTTTAAGTCACTGTATAAGACTGAAAAAAACCACTACAACTACTATTGACACTATATCTGACTGCCACTTAAATTGCCACTTTTATTGTACATATATATCCTGCATGTAACATGTTTGCACAGTTCCTCCTTGTGCACAATCTGAGTGTTCTATCCATGCCAAACGTGACATGTAAATTTCTCCTTGTGAGATAAATAAAGCACATCTTATCTTATCTCTCACAGGGAAAAAGCTGTTTGGAGAGGGCTACAGCGGCCTGGAGTACGACTACAGAGGCCTCATCAAACTCTACAACTCTGTGGGGAACTTCGAGAAGGTGTTTGAGTACCACAACGTCCTGTCCAACTGGAACCGGCTCCGCGATCGCCAGTTTGCCGTGGCGGACGCTCTGGAGGACGTGAACAACACGCCGCAGCAGACACAGGAGGTGGTCCAGGCCTTTCTCCTGGCACAGACTCTGGGCCCCACCAGGCCCTGTCTGCTCTAGGACACACAGAGGCCAAAACCAACCAGTTTACACCAACGCAGCCGGCACCAGGACCGCTGTGAGGACTCGGCGTTGGGCTCGGAGGCTGTTTTTGAGCTGTTTGGAGTCATGGAAGTCGGAATAAAACTGGACAGAAATGTTTGGTCCCACGTGGTCTGGTCTGTGTAGAACTCAAACAGAAGCCAATAATGGGGAATTCACACAAAGCAAAAGTGGCCTCTCTCTCGCTCTCGCTCTCGCTCTCTGGTCTCTCTCTGGTCTCTCTCTCTCTGGTCTCTCTCTCTCTGGTCTCTCTCTCTCTGGTCTCTCACTGGGGCCAAAACGAACGAGTTTACGCCGAGAAACGCAGCTGGGACACGAGAAGATGCTGTTGAGAGGACTGCTGTTGAATGAAACTGGACAGAAGTCAGAAACGATTGGTCTCATGTGGTGTGGTCTGGTCTGTGCAGAACCCGGTCTCACGTGGTCTGGTCTGTGTAGAATTCAAACCGGGGCCATAACAAGAGGGAATTCACATGAAGAAACTTGAGGAAAAGTGCAAAATAAAGCTTGGACACATTTCTGCATCTCTACAGTTGGAATAATCGTGGAGAGAGTTGGAAACCGGAGGTGAAACTGCTTTTATTAAAGGTCATATCTCTCATTATCTGAGCCTCAAGTTCAAAGTCTTCTCTGTTGGTGGTAAGAATGTGAAAATATTAAACTTATCGCCTTCAGAAAGTGACAAATTAAGTTGTGCCTCTCCGGGTCCAGTGTCCCGGGTCCAGTGTCCAGTGTCCCGGGTCCAGTGTCCCGGGTCCAGTGTCCCGGGTCCAGTGTCCCGGGTCCAGTGTCCCGGGTCCTGGGTCCAGTGTCCCGTAACTATTTTAGTGTAATTATTACAGCTTTGTTCTCAAATTAACAATTATCAGTGGATTTATTTTTGTGTAAAAACGTATTTAATGGACTAGGGGTGGGAACCTAAGGGTACCTCACGATACAAAGCTCACGATAACGATATTATTAAGGTAAAGTTTATTTATATAGTACACAAGGCAATTCAAAGTGCTGAACAAAACAAGAAAGCATTAAAATCATAAATAATCACAGAACATTAAAAAGAAAGCAAAAAATATTAAATCCCTTAGTTGTATGCACAGCTAAACAGAACTGTTTTAAACCTGGTTTTAAACATTGTCATTGAGGAGGCCTGTCTCATCACGATAACGATTTTATCACGATATGACAATTATCGATATATTGGTCAGAAATATACAATATGCCAATTTATGGCATAAATAAGAGAAAAAATACACTTTATTTCATGATAAATGGAATGGAGATGCGTAATGTAGCCATATATTAAGTTTTTTTTTTTTTTTCAAATTGATATCGATACTTGGCAGATGCATATCGATAATCGAATCGCGGGAGAAAGTATCGCAATAAATCAAAAAATCGATATATTGTCACACCCCTATTATGGACACATTTATATATATTACATTCTTTAATCTAGGTCAACTTCTTTCAGATGAAAATCTGATCTTGTAGAACCTTACTTTTTTATTTAACCAGGTCCCAGAGTGATAGGACCTATGTACATGTTTTTAGTGGTAGGGTAAACCGGAGCAACTGGAGGAAACCTAAGTTGACACAGGGAGAACTTTCAAACCTTCTTGCCCCAAAGAAGCAGAGAAAAACAAACCCAGTGAAGAATCAGTGATGTCACAATAGAACAGCTGTAATAAACACAAACACTCATAAAAACAGAAAAGCTCTGGACAGATTCGGCACAGAGCGTTCTGTAAGGAGGAGGCTCAGGTTCAGCTGAAGATGGGAGACATGTAAAAGTAAGACAAAAAAAGAATCCTTTGGTGTAAGAAAGAGCCCTGTGAGTCACTATTTTCCTCTGGACTGAGAGCTGGTCTCTCTCCCTTTCTCGTCTCTCTCTCTGGCCTCTCTCTTACTGGTCTCTCTCGTCCCTCTCTAGTCTCAATTTTTCAGTCTGTAAAAGCTTTAGATCAGCATTTCAGACAGCAGAGACTTATAAAACCAGGAACTACATTACATTGTTGGCTGTTCAGTAGTTAGAAAGCTACATCCCCTAGCTTTAAAGCTTACGTAGGATCAAAGAGAGGCCTTATGAATAACTCTGCCTTACCAGTCTCTGCTTATCAATCACTCAAACAAGGACCAATTTGATGGATTCAAACTAACACCACACATAGATCAAAGGACTAGCTTAGCGCTGTGCCTGTACGTTCCAACATGGCACCATTTTCAGAAGCGTTTCTGCCAAATTAACGTCAAACTTCTTCGTCCACACCGACAGAGGAGACTTCTGACTTGGCTCCAGTCTTTAGTTCATGTGAATCGGTCTGGTAATGACAGAGATATGACCCAAAAACCATCTCACAGCGTCTATGGTTCTCACTGCAGCCTCCAGCTCAAACGGACTTCTCTGTGATTTTGTTTTAACTTCTGGAGCTGTTTTGGGCTCTTCCGATGGACAACAGTCTCCAAACTCACTTTTCTCACCTCCAGCAGCTGCGCATGTCGACAAACACTTACGGAGCCACTTCTCTGCGTAGCTTTGCAAACGCCATTTCCACCAAACTGTGTCCGAATCTCACAAAAGAAAAGAAACATTTGTACTTTCTGAGTGTTCAGCCTTCAGAGCGGAGTCACTCTGCAGAGACCAGAGCGGGGACGGCTGTTTGAGACTCACTGAGGTTCTGGTCTTTCTCTGGCCTCTCTCTCTCTCCTTGTTTGTCTTTCTCTCTCTCTAGTATCTCTCTGTCTCTATGGACTCGCTCGGTCTCTCTATGATATGATCTCTCTCTGGCCTCTCTCTCTAGTATCTCACTCGGTCTCTCTATGATTTCTCTTTCTTACCCTTCTGCTCTCTCTCTGGCCTCTCTCTGGTTTCTATGGCCTCTCTCTGGTCTCTATGGTCTCTCTCTGGCTTCTCTCTCTGGTCTCTCTTTGGTCTCTCTCTGGTCTCTGTGGATTTGGAGACTGTTGTTACATGTTATCCAGCACATTACAGACATAGATAAAGAAAAATGCCAATAATTTGTATGCAAAAAAAAAGCAATGTCCGACGTAGCCCTTTGTTTTGCTGTTGAACGAGCCGCAGATTTGGAAAGTTTTTCATGTTTTTGATGAAGCAACAAAAGTCTGTGGAGGTGGAAGAGAAACAGGTTAAATCAGCCACAAGATTACGACAGTTAGCTTCTCTTTTACTGCAATATTTAACCTATTTGACATAAACTCTGGACAATTTTTCTCATAGCAGTGAGATAGAGTATATATAAGATAAGATAGACTTTATTGATCTCACTCAGGAGAAATTTACAATTATATTAACCTTTACCTGTATTTTGATCATTATAAATCTATATATTACCACTAATTATAGAACAAATAGAAGCCTGAAAGCAAATGGCAGGAGCTGGAAGCATGCACCTCATGTACCTTTTATCTCTGGTCGTTATCTTTTGGCTGATCCTTCAGTCTGTTTCACCTCCACTTCTGTTCCCTCCAGACCAGCAGAGGGCGAGAGTCTCAGCAGTCACTTGTCACCACGGGAGTTAAAAACAACACTTATCACATGGAAGGAAGGCCAGACATGAATGTCTATAGCACATCTCAACAACACAAATGTTAAGTCTCCAACACATATCTCACCAGCTCTGTCTGCGTTCGACACAGAGTGTTCTGGGAGGGAGGAGGATTTGGCTATGGCTCATTAAAGCTGGGGTTTGTAACTTTAGTCTCATGAATGACACATAGATGGTCTCAACAGAAAGACCATCTCATTTCTAAAAATAAAATTTTAGAAATGAGACAACACACTGTTTTCATCTGATCTCTGGTCCCTCTCTTGCTGGTCTCTTTCACTCTCTACTTTCTCTCTACTCCCTCTAGTCTCACGCTGGTCTCTACTTTCTCGCTGGCATCTCCTTCGCTGGTTTGTGTGTCTCGTCTCTACTTTCTCTCAACTCTCTCTTGCCTTTTCCCTCTCTGGTCTCTATGGTCTCTCTTACCTCCTTCTGGTCTCTCTCGTCTCTTGCTGGTCTCTTTCCTTCTCTCTCTGGTCTCTATGGTTGCTCGCTCTCTCTTTCTCTCTGTCTCTGTCTCTCGCTATCTCTTCTCTCTCGCTGGTCTCTTTCCTCTACTTTTTCTATTCTCTCTCTGGCCTCTCTACTCTCTCGTGTTTCTCTCTCTATCTTAAAAAACCTAACCTAAAGCTATAACATCACCAATAGAACAAACCAGAGGCCAGTTTATTCCCAGGTCCTCGCACACGTCTCTCACACCGTTCCATTGTGTTTTAAAACTTACACACCTCAGCTTTTAAGCACCGAGTGCCGCTGAGACTCTCCCCTCGGTCTTGATGCCTTTTCCGTTGCTTCTCCACTTGACTCTGAATGATGCTTCTGCTGTCACTGTCGTGCTGTCGTTCCCTTATTTAAACACAAAGTCCAGCCTTAGATTCTTAAAAAGGACTTTTTTTTCCCCCAAACGTCAATGAATGTTCTGTGAGAAGAGAAGATACAGGGTTCTATGTGTCTGTACTCAGACCCAAGACACGGAGCAGAGATTTTTTCGACGAGTCCGAAAAACACGAGACTGACGACGTATGTGCGAATATTGAATGTGCGGTCACTGACAGACTCCAGGACTGTGTGTTGCTTAAAGCTGGTGTCCGTAACTTTCTATTGTATAAATAACACATGTTAAAAAAAACACTCACACACAAAGTAAAATGTTGAAAGTCAGAGCACAACGTGTGATCTTTTGTGTCGGGAAGAGAGATGGTGTCTGGTCTCTCTCGCTCTCTCTGGTGTCTGTATCTGGTCTCTCTCACTCTCTTTGGTCTCTCTTTTTCCAGAATCCAATTGTTATGGGAGCCTAACTTTTACATGGACTGTATTAGAGTTTTGTGGTGAGAAAGTTACAAACCCCAGCTTTAATGTCTAGACTCCCCAGGAGTGAAGTAAAGTCGTGAGTCTGAAGTCTGGAGCCTGATCGTCAAAGGGAACAATGTCACTGTTACTAACAGTTTATTGCAAAACAATAAATGTTATTTACTGTCACGAACCACAGATCCAAGATCAGTCTGTGATAAAACAGAGACGACCGAGGCAGAGACCAGAGAGAGGGGCCATAGAGACCCAGATCATCCCTCGGCTCAGATTGAGACTGGAGCAGAGACTAAAACCGGTCTGACCCAGCACACACAGCTGTCCTTCCTTTGTCTCTGGTCATAATCTTTTGGCCGTTGTTTCAGTCTTTTCCACCCGAGTGTGAGCTGTTTCTGATCACTACAGACTTCTGCAAACCAATCTCCATAAAACTACATCTGTTAGTGGCTCCCATCTCCAGAGAAGGCACTGGTCATGAAAGCTTGTGCTAGTCCTGGGTTCTCCAACCTTTTTCGATTTAAGAGCTATTTTATTATAACAGAAATGGCTTCTCCTGTAGCAGTTGTAATACACTTGTAGTTTATATAAGAACAACAGCAAAGAATTGAATTAAACGGTAAAAACAGTTAAATCCTCAGTCAAGAGACCAGATCAAAAGCAGCAATAATTTATTAAATACATTCAACCAATAAGTGCAAAAAATTAAAGTTCAGGTATTTCCCTTTTCAGGTGATCATTTGCAAACATTAGCTTTGTTTGTCTCAGTTTTTTTATAAAACAAAAGCTATTTTCAAGCGGTTTAGAGTAAAGCTGCTGCGTCTGTTTCTATGGAAGAACTATTACATCTTTTCTTCATCTTTGGTGAGAAATGTGATGTGAGTCCAGATGCACCAAACCTGAGGAGGAAGAGGAGGTAAAATCAGACTGAGGCAGAGACTCAGGCAAAGAATGAGGCAGAAACTGGGGTAGAGGCAGGTCTATAGCAAGACTAAAACAGGACTAACCTCAGCGAGACAGGCGAGCCCTCGTCCAAGCAGCAGGAGACCAGAGACCTGAAGCTGGATCCAGAACTGAGGCTGAAACACATGGAGCTGAAGGCAATAAAACCAGAGAGGGAGAAGATGAAGACCAGAGACCACGAGGAGACCGAGAGGAGAGCGGAACCCTGAGGACGACATCATAATGAGACCAGAGAGAGAGACCAAAGAGAGGGAACAGTTGGTTCATTCTGAACGACGGTGTTTCTGGCACCGTTGGACATGATGGTCTGGATGATCCTGGGGCTGGAGCTGAAGCTGTTCTTCCAGTGCTCTCCTCTCGAGCTGTGGTTACAAACGAACACACACCACTCCAGAGACGAGACCAGCCAGCCCACCTGGTGCAGAGGACCAGGACACTTTGGTGAGACCAGGGTGAGACCTCAGAAAGAGACCAGAGAAGGAGACCAGAAATGATCTCTTCTCTTTCTCTGGTCTCACCATAGAATCCTGCAGAGAGGGAGAGCCCAGAGAAAGACAAGACATTCTGTTTTTTGGTTTTCTCTGCTCTCTCTCTGGGAGGGGGGAAGACCCAGACCTGACAGACTTGAGTCCAGATCATCCCTCGGCTCAGATTGTCAATGACGACATCGAGCCACGCACCGAAGCGAGAGACCTGCTGCAACCGCCGTGCCACCCAACCATCCACCGCTGCAAGAGACAAGGACCAGGACACATTACAACCAGAGAGAGACCAGAGAGAGACCAGAGAGAGAACGTCTTTGTTACCATCGAGCAGAATGGAGGACGAGTAAAGAGGGAGAAAAGCAGATGGTGATTCATAAAAAGCCCAGGCTCCGAACAGAAGACAGATCCTCACGTATCCTGGACACAGACAGGAGACAATGTACTTTTATGAATAAAATATATGTAATTCAATGTATCTTTGTGTTTATTATATCTGCAAAGAGAGACTAGAAAGAGACCCGAGTGAGAGAGAGTCTACAGAGAGAGACCAAAGAGACTAGAGAGAGACCAGAGACGATACCAGAGAAAGTAGAGAGAGATCAGAGAGAGAGAGAAACCATAGAGGCAGAGACCAGAGAGAGACTAGAGAGAGAATTATACCAGACAAATACCAGAGAAGGAAAAAAGAGATTCCAGAAAGACCAGCGAAAGTAGAGAGAGATCAGAGAGAAAGGGAGAGATGGAGAGACAGGAATGAGAACGATATCAGAGATCAGAGAGAGTCCAGAGAGACCCACATTAAAATGACTCTTTTCTCACCGATCACATTGGGCCAGTAAAGCAGCACACGTGAAGTCATTTTGATCAATTAACGCAATAAAATCCACAGACTTTGGTTCATAATCTGCTCCATCTTCGTGATCCACTTATTTCCACTTAAATCCACGTGCATTTTAGTTTAATCTCTTTAAATTAAGATTATTTCAGTGGAAAGTTGACGTGTTTACGCCGCCATGACACTACGGTTACATCTGAAAGCGAGAAAACACGGCTACTTCATTGTCCTTGCTCCAATCATTGTATTTACTACACAAGCTACTTAAGTTTAATATACCGTACATTACTTTAAAATATATTTAAAATTCTTATAATTCATTTTGTTGCGTTTAAGTCATTTTTAAATGAGAAAAGAGGCTAATAAAGGACGTTTGTTATGTGAACTTGGACGCGGCCTCCTCTTCTGTGTGAAACAGCGCAGCTCTGAGCTGCGGGGAGGAACTACAACAACAAACACGATATTCTTTAAAATAATGACAGTTGTCGTGATTGAATTGCACAAACACAAGTAATACATGTGAAAATAAACTATATCTCTTGCTCTGACTGTGAGAGGACTAGTATTACTAATCTGATCTGTTAAATCTGAGAATTTCCGATTGGACCAGTGTTTGGCTGTAGATAAGGAGAGGACCTACAGAGTGTGACATCACAATAGTCTTAGCCTTAATATGGAAGAGGCAGATTTGAACTTGATAAACCAGAGAATTTCTTTATATGGACATTTGTTTCCCTACTCTACTCTATTCTACTCTACTCAGCAGCATTCTGTCCAGACTCTATCAGTTTGACCCATGGATCTATTATAATAGACCACATCAGTAAAACATGTCAATGCTTCTTTGTAAATAATTAAAGCTGGAGTACTGAACTTTCAAAATACATAATGGAAATTTGCTGTAAAATCCGTATCAGTTATTGGCTCTGGTTTGTCTCCGGACTAGCTCAGCCTGGATAGAACCAGGACCAAGAGGGATTAAAGAAGGACCTGGTACTGGTCACACAGAACCAGTGGAAATACTCCCAATCAGGGGAGGGTAGAAAATAGTAGAGTAGAATAGAAAAGAATAGAATGAATAGAACAAAATAGAATAGAGTAGAGCAGGGTAGGATAGGGTAGAGTAGAGTAGGGTAGGGTAGAGTAGAGCAGATTAGAGTAAGGCTGGTGGAAACGGGGCCTAAGTGGGTCCTGTAGAGGTCCTAAAATACTTTTACAGACAATTAGTTTTGAGTGATTTATTCAAATTAAAAAAAAAATGAAACTGTAATAAACTGTAACAACTGATTCCTGACTCTGTGTGATATGTATTTGTGTATCGCACTGAAGTCACAACAGCAGTCGTCTCTGAGGTTTTCATAAAGTTGTCGATTTTCCAGCAGCAGATCAGAGAATCAAACAGTTCAAACACAGGAAAACAATAATAACAAACACTTGGAAGCTATTGATCCATATGGAGCGGGACTGTAGATCCAGCACTGAGGCTTTAGATCCAGGACTGAGGCAAGTTTATTTGTGTAGCACAATTCATACACAAGGCAACTCAAAGTGCTGAACAAAATAAGAAAGCATTAAAATCATAAATAATCACAGAACATTAAAAAGAAAGATACAAATATAAAATCCCTCAGTTGTATGCTCAGCTAAACAGAACTGTCTTTAACCTGGTTTTAAACATTGTCAGAGAGGAGGCCTGTGTTTAGCTGAAGGAATTCGTTGTTTTGCATCCACTCACTGATCTGTCTGATACAGTGAAGGAGTGAGTCGACTGGTCCATGTTCTCCTGCAGTCAGTGAGACATAGATCTGAGTGTCGTCTGCATAGTTGTGATAGGAAACTTTGTTTCTGCGTATTAACTGACCTAACGGCAGCATGTAGAGATTGAACAGAAGAGGTCCCAGGATCGACCCCTGTGGTACTCCACAGGTCAGGGCCATATGATCTGAGACACAGTTTCCAATCTCCACAAAGTACTTCCTGTCCTCAAGATAAGACCTAAACCAACTTAGGGCGGTGCCAGCGATGCCAACCCAGTTCTCTAGTCTCTGTAAGAGGATCTCATGGTCGACAGTGTCAAAGGCAGCACTTACTGTAGATCTAACAAGATTAAGATTGAGACTCCGTCAGTGTTCAGCCGGATATCGTTTGTAACCTTGACGAGAGCAGTCTCAGTGCTGTGGTGGGGTCTAAAGCCGGACTGAAACATATCAAATGAGTTGTTGATTATAAGAAATCTAGTAAGCTGTAGGTAGACAACTTTTTCAAGGACTTTCCCCATAAATGGCAGATTTGAGATGGGACGATGGTTGTTAAGTACCGTAGCATCCAGACTGCTCTTTTTTAGAAGGGGCCTGATGACTGCTGTTTTCAAACCTTCACAGAAAGTTGCAGACAGAGGAAATGACCTGAAGTGACTTCATTAAACCAATTTGACTTTTGTTGTTCCGTGCGCCGCCACTGGAGGGGGCTGTTGTGCCACTAACCGTACACCGCACACAGAACATCACAGTCTGTCTCACTGTATAACAAACATTATTATTTCTGTGATGAGAGTGTCTCCTCTGGGATGAAACTGTTGTATGGTCCCTGCTGCACATGTTCAGTTCGCAGTGTTTACATCTGAGCCAAAAGGCCCGAATAGCGCAACCAAGAAGGAGGAGCTGCACTCACAGGACCGCGTTCACATGATCCCCTTCTCTGGACATAACAGAAATCACCGAATGAATAGTTTTTGACCTTTAAACCAGAGACCAGAGAGAGAGAAGACTAGAGTAGAGTAGAACCGAAAAGAATCGAGTCGAGTTGAGTAGAGTAGAGTAGAAAAGTGTCGAGTAGAGTAGAGTAGAGTAGCGTAAAGCTGGTGGACACAGGTTGAACCTGTGAGTGTCGCTCTCAAAGCGCAGCTCCGTTGGTGCAGAAGTCTGTCCCTCCGCGTCACATGGTGTCAGTGACGGAGCAGGCGGCTAAAATACCGACACACACACACCGACAACAGGCGCTCGCATCCCCGCTACAGCCCTTGCCCTTCCACCGGGACTCTACCACCATGAAGTGAACCAGACCAAGCCAGCATGGGTGCGAAAGAGTCCAGAATCGGCTTCTTGTCCTATGAGGAGGCCGCGAAGAGAGGTGAGCTCCAGCTAAATCCACCAGCCAAGCTTTTGGTGTACTGTGCTAACCTGCACCCCGTGTCAACCAGTCCTCTCGCTCATTATAAAAGCGATCTTACACATTTAACACCACTTTGATCAGCCTAATGTGATATCAATACATGCTAGCATACAGAACACACTTTTAATCACCAACGTTCTTAATCTAAGACACTTAAATACATAGCAGTTCATTACAACACCGTTTACACGTCTTGTATAGTATAGCACTATATTATCTACGGCATAAACAACACTCAGAATCCCTACAGCCACTGTAATCCTGACTATAACCTGCTTACATCATATATGTTGACATCTACGCACATTTAAAGCTGATTTTGCAGACAATATTTTACTACTAGCTATAAATACGCCATGTTGACACAGGGTGCGTTTCGATGTGCTACATCAGCTCTGCATATCCAGCCTTTGCACTGGCCTCGTTTGTTGTTTATGAAAGACAGCTGTCATACAAGACACAAATCGCTTTTGTTACACGTTTATACGTTTGTAACACACGCGGGAATAGCGTTTTACTGCGTGGTTGTTGTTGACATGTTGAAAAGATGACGATATGGTTCAGCGTCGCTTCTTCTCCCGCAATCAAAACACACTGCAGACAGCCCCAGTGTATTATTGCGCTGTTTCGCTGTCATAACGCATTGAGTTTACGTGATTGAAATAAAGCAAGTTCTAAAACAGACGTGTAGTTCTTGTAAAGCTAGCATTTGTGTTAAATATATATGTTTTGGGGTAATCTTCCCCATAGCTATCCAAACTGTTGCTAACTAGCTTAATGAATAACGGTGTAAATATGATGTTAGCAGTGTTAGCTCGTGTTAGCATGCTTGGCTAGCTTGTCAACAGTGAGAAATGCATTTTGAGATAGCATATAGGTTATAGAGGCTAACTAGAAGGGTTTAAGGTCTTGCTGTCTGCTTTGGGGCTGATTTAAACCCATGTGACATAAGCTAGCGGGCTATTGTTGTTAGCACTGTCACTGGAACCTGGGGCTGTCAGGCGCCGTTTCATCTGAAGAATGCATTGTTAAATGGAAGGAGTTCTGTGAGACCAAAACACTCGTATTGTCCTCAATATCTGGGAACAGGAGCGTTGGAGGAATGGGATAATTTATTGGCGAGGATAAACAATGTCTGGATGTCTATGTCAGTGTTTCTCAAGCAGTTGGAATTGTTAGAATTTATATCGACATTGAAATTTATAGAGAGACCAGAGAGGGAGAGAGACCAGAGAGAGAGAGGTAGATGAGAGAGGTAGACAAGCGAGACCAGCGAGAGAGTGACATGAGAGGGAGAGAGACCAGAGAGGGAGAGAGACCAGAGAGGGAGAGAGAGACCAGAGAGGGAGAGAGAGACCAGAGAGGGAGAGAGACCAGAGAGGGAGAGAGAGACCAGAGAGGGAGAGCGACCAGAGAGGGAGAGAGACCAGAGAGGGAGAGAGATCAGAGAGGGAGAGAGATCAGAGAGGGAGAGAGATCAGAGAGGGAGAGAGATCAGAGAGGGAGAGAGAGACCAGAGAGGGAGAGAGAGACCAGAGGGAGAGAGAGAGAGGGAGAGAGACCAGAGAGAGAGAGAGGGAGAGGATCAGAGAGGGAGAGAGAGATCAGAGAGGGAGAGAGATCAGAGAGGGAGAGAGAGACCAGAGAGGGAGAGAGACCAGAGAGGGAGAGAGACCAGAGAGGGAGAGAGACAGAGAGGGAGAGAGACCAGAGAGGGAGAGAGACCAGAGAGAGAGAGAGATCTGGGGTCTTAAATCTTAAGATCTTAAATCTTATGTTCTAGTTGTATTGTTTTTGGCTTGAAAGTTACGTTCCCCAGCTTTAAGATCTCATTGTTGAACTTTATTGACTTTGTTTCATGCGTTCGATAGTCAGACTTTGCACTATTTGACAGAAGCAGTGGTTCTACTCTGAGCTCCTCACCCTGTTTCAAAGGCCCAGTCACTGCTCCTGTTGGAAGCTGTGTCTTAATGTTTACAATCTGAAAATGATTGATTATTGATTAGAGTTTTTTAGTCAATCAGAGTCTTAGGTGTGACACCCAACGAAGTATGTTCAAACAAAAATACACTAAAAATAAAAAAAGAAGCGACTAAAAAAAGAGAAAAATTAAAAATAATACAAAGCAATTGGAAATTAATAAATGGAAAACCCAAAAAAACGCCACCCCTCCTCTTCTTGGGTCCCCTCCCTCTCCTCTGGTCTCTCCCCTCTCTCTCTCCCCCCTCTGGGTCCCCTCCACCCTCCTCTTTCACTTCTCGTCTCCTCTGGGTCTCTCACCTCCATCTCTTCCTCCACTCTGTCCCACTCTCCTATACCCTCCTGGGGGGGGGGTGGGTGTCCCCTATCTCTCTCTTCTCTATTCTTTCTCTCTTCTCTTCTCTGGGGTCCCTTTCCACCCTACCTCACCTCCCTACCGTACACCACCCTACGAGCATCTCAATCTAACCGTCCATTCACCCGCACGAACTCAAGGGCTTCCGGCACGGCAAATCAGGCTAGAGGCTCTCCACCCAGGGGGGGGGGGGGGGCGACGGGGGCCGCGTCAATCCACACCATCAGTCCCCTCTCTCCCCCACTCATACCACTTCCGTCTCCAATCTCTTCAGGTCCACCACCACCGGACAGTAACACAATTACAATCCCGCATTCACATCACCACCTCATTGGCCGCCCCCACCAGTGCATCCCTTCCGATCCAAGCACCCAACGGACACCCAGCACTCTTCCCCCTCTTCGACTCCCTCCATTCGGTTCCTATCTCTCCCTCGCTCCATCAATCCCCACCGCGCCTCCTCTCCAAAGCACTCCAACGTTTCACTACACCGACCCACCACCGGAAGATCTAACCCTCATCCGGCGCACAGCACTCCAACCGGTCCTCACTACCCGTCCCTACCCAGATCCTTCATGGAGACCTCCTCCCCTCCAACTCTACTCACGAGTGAGTGACTAGCCTCGAACACACAGCACTCAACACTCTCGCGTATCTCACGCAGAATACCTCGCATCCTCTCGTCGCAGCACCGATCCTGCCTCATCGCTAATCAAAAACAAGGGAGTCCCAACCCCAACTACCCCGCATAGTCTCTCAATCACCCCCCTAGAACCCAAGCACCCTTCTCACAGGCAGCCCTTTTCACCTGAACTCCCCGTCGCGTCTCTTCTCAACAAACACAACCTCTCCACAGTCTCCTATCACACCTCTCCTCAGTCCGTGTCTCCCCTCACTCTCGCCACACTACAACCACTCCCCACTCTCACTCGTCCATCCAACCCGAGCCCTCTCAACTTCATCTCCATCATCCTCCACGCCCGCGCCGCTCTAGCCATGCCAACCAACAACCTAGATCAACTCACCCACCCCTGTCAGAGCCGATAGCCCCCCCCCCTACCAGCACACTCCCCCATAGACCCACCCCACTCTCTCAACCCAATACCCTCCGACTCAGTCATATCGATCTAATCCTCCCCCATCGCCGCAGCTCGCTGCATGGGACCCCTCGTCGTGCCCCAACACCTCCCGCAACGCTCCCTTACCAACCCATCCTCTCCACCTCGGAAAACACATCTCCCTACAACATGGCACGCCCTCAGCCCCCTCAAACAACCCTCACGTTCGCCCCCAAAATCGCAGTTCTCTCTCTTCGTCTCCCACACCCTCACCACACACACGACGCGCGGTCACTCTGATTTTCCCAACCCACTCCTAGAGCCCCACGCCCCACTAAACCCCAGCGGTCTTCATTCGTTTCTATCTTCTCAGGGCAAATGCGTATACTCCGAGGCTTCTAACATCGCGGGGGGGGGGGTGACACTTCTCTCCACATTAATAATCTTTCACTCTATTAACTGTAATTTATTGTTCTATACTAACCTTCCATCTCTCTCATCATCCATACCATAAGGCCAACTCAAAGGCGATCCGCACCGCCAGAAACACCACTCGGATCACCAGCCCCCGACCATGAGATAACAGTCGTCCCTATACCACGCCCTCAATTCTCATGCACATTTTTCTATTTGGTTTTTCTTTTCTTATCTATTATGTCTCCTTCCTCTAACTCGTACTTTCAGTTCGATATCTTCTTTTAACATCGGTCCTCCGATTCAAACCCAAACACTTCCCCACACTAACCCCACCATAACCACCTCCACTGTTCCACAATTCGCAACAAGCCGTCCCGAAGAGTACCACGATCTCCACTCTCAGACGACTCCCCCGGGCAACATCTGCTACCCCTCCCTCTCTCTACCACTACCCACTTCCCCCGCCACCCCCCTCCCCTCCGAATCAAGAAAGACCATAAACACTCTCCCGCACACCCGGACCCCCATACAACCGCATCATCCCACGGAACCGCCTCGCACCCCCCCCCTCCATCTCAGACTCCGCGCACCTCTCTCTCTGGTCTCTCTCTGGTCTCTCTCTGGTGTCTCTCTGGTCTCTCTCTGGTCTGGTCTCTCTCTGGTCTCTGGTCTCTCTCTGGTCTCTCTCTGGTGGTCTCTCTGGGTGTCTCTCTGGTCTCTCTCTGGTCTCTCTCTGGTCTCTCTCTGGTCTCTCTCTGGTCTCTCTCTGGTGTCTCTCTGGTCTCTCTCTGGTCTCTCTCTGGTGTCTCTCTGGTCTCTCTCTGGTCTCTCTGGTCTCTCTCTGGTCTCTCTCTGGTGTCTCTCTGGTCTCTCTCTGGTGTCTCTCTCCCTGGGGTTTCTCTGTCAGACCGATGAGAGGAAATAATTTCCTAAGAAAGTAATAATTATTTCTCGTAACCGTATAAACTGCAGAATTGTGTTGATTCTATTGCCATAAAACGTACACAATCATTTAACATTTCCGTGTGTGTGTGTGTCTCTGTGTCTCTGTGTCTCTGTGTGTGTATATGTGTGTGTGTGTGTGTGTGTTATCAGCTCATGTTCCTGTAACTCAGAAGTTAATGTTTACAGGTTTTACATAATGTTTGATAGTGAAACATGAAGTGGTAAATCAGCAACATATCATCACCACAAACACAGAGACCAGAGAGAGAGACCAGAGACCAGAGAGAGAGAGAGAGAGACCAGAGAGAGAGCCCGAGATTATTTTTAGAACATAACCCTGTTGATAAACTAGGGACCACTTGTTTATCTTGATAATATTGTGTGTACTGTGTATCATCTCAGCCCTCGTCTTTATATTCCTCCTATTACAGTGTTCAAACTTTAAAACAGAACAGTCCCTGCTGCTGGTCCCTACTGCTGGTCCACTGGTTGTTTCCGTTCCTGCAGAAAGCTCCTGTGTTTGTCCACTTTGCATCAACCTCACGGAACAAATATGGATTATTTTTAGATCCGCTGCAGCTGAAGGAAGAAGCTCATTTTAATAACATTCAAAACATAATAATGGCATGTGTCCTTTGTGTGGGAGTGGATGGAGAGATGGGAGAGATGGGAGAGATGGAAGAGAGAGACCAGAGAGAGACCAGAGAGAGACCAGAGAGAGACCAGAGAGAGACCAGAGAGAGACCAGAGAGAGACCAGAGAGAGACCAGAGAGAGACCAGAGAGAGACCAGAGAGAGACCAGAGAGAGACCAGAGAGAGACCAGAGAGAGACCAGAGAGAGACCAGAGAGAGACCAGAGAGAGACCAGAGAGAGGCCAGAGAGAGACCAGAGAGAGGCCAGAGAGAGGCCAGAGAGAGGCCAGAGAGAGACCAGAGAGAGAGAGACCAGAGAGAGAGAGGCCACTGAGAGCGAGAGGCCACAGAGAGCAAGAGCGAGAGGCCAGAGAGCGAGAGCGAGAGGCCACAGAGAGCAAGAGCGAGAGGCCACACAGAGCGAGAGCGAGAGGCCACAGAGAGCGAGAGCGAGAGGCCACACAGAGCGAGAGCGAGAGGCCACAGAGAGCGAGAGCGAGAGGCCACAGAGAGCGAGAGGCCACAGAGAGCGAGAGGCCACAGAGAGCGAGAGGCCACAGAGAGCGAGAGGCCACAGAGAGCAAGAGCGAGAGGCCACAGAGAGCAAGAGCGAGAGGCCACAGAGAGCAAGAGCGAGAGGCCACAGAGAGCAAGAGCGAGAGGCCACAGAGAGCAAGAGCGAGAGGCCACAGAGAGCAAGAGCGAGAGGCCACAGAGAGCAAGAGCGAGAGGCCACAGAGAGCAAGAGCGAGAGGCCACAGAGAGCGAGAGCGAGAGGCCACAGAGAGCGAGAGGGAGAGGCCACACAGAGCGAGAGCGAGAGGCCACAGAGAGCGAGAGCGAGAGGCCACAGAGAGCGAGAGCGAGAGGCCACAGAGAGCGAGAGCGAGAGGCCACAGAGAGCGAGAGCGAGAGGCCACAGAGAGCGAGAGCGAGAGGCCACAGAGAGCGAGAGCGAGAGGCCACAGAGAGCGAGAGCGAGAGGCCACAGAGAGCGAGAGGCCACAGAGAGCGAGAGCGAGAGGCCACAGAGAGCGAGAGGCCACAGAGAGCGAGAGGCCACAGAGAGCGAGAGGCCACAGAGAGCGAGAGGCCACAGAGAGCGAGAGGCCACAGAGAGCGAGAGGCCACAGAGAGCGAGAGGCCACAGAGAGCGAGAGGCCACAGAGAGCGAGAGGCCACAGAGAGCGAGAGGCCACAGAGAGCGAGAGGCCACAGAGAGCGAGAGGCCACAGAGAGCGAGAGGCCACAGAGAGCGAGAGGCCACAGAGAGCGAGAGGCCACAGAGAGCGAGAGGCCACAGAGAGCGAGAGGCCACAGAGAGCGAGAGGCCACAGAGAGCGAGAGGCCACAGAGAGCGAGAGGCCACAGAGAGCGAGAGGCCACAGAGAGCGAGAGGCCACAGAGAGCGAGAGCGAGAGGCCACAGAGAGCGGCCACAGAGAGAGGCCACAGAGAGCGGCCACAGAGAGCGGCCACAGAGAGAGGCCACAGAGAGAGGCCACAGAGAGAGGCCACAGAGAGAGGCCACAGAGAGAGGCCACAGAGAGAGGCCACAGAGAGAGGCCACAGAGAGCGGCCACAGAGAGCGGCCACAGAGAGAGGCCACAGAGAGAGGCCACAGAGAGAGGCCACAGAGAGAGGCCACAGAGAGAGGCCACAGAGAGAGGACACAGAGAGAGAGAGGACACAGAGAGAGAGAGGCCAGAGGGATTCCATTTTGCTCACAAAACTTGAGATTTTGGCCATGCTAGAACATGAAAAGAGAGAACCATCAGATCCTTTAATCCAGTTTAAATAATGCTTTTCTTCTCAGTTCAGTCTGAAGGTGCGGCGTCCGTTGCATCAGGTTTAATTCTAATGCTATAATGTCCTCACAGTCAAAGCCTTTTAAAAACACAGGACTCATCATTCATTCAGTCCTCACCATGTGACACAGACTGACCAGTGACCACTCACCAGATTTATACTCCATGTGTTCTCTCTCTGGTCTCTTTCTGGTCTCTCTCGTATCTCTCTCTCTCTCTGGTTTCTCTGGTCTCTCTTATCCCTCTCTCCCTGGTGTCTTTTTATCTGGTCTCTCTTATCCCTCTCTCTCTCTGGTCTCTTTCTCTCTGGTCTCTCTCTGGTCTCTTTCTCCCTGGTCTCTTTCTCTGGTCTCTCTCTGGTTTTCTTTCATTAATGTCACATGTTTTGTTCCTTCTTCCTGCTGCAAACAAACACAGTGGAGAATGTAAATGTAGTGGAGAAAAACGACTATTATTCTTTGTGTTTTAGACCAATAACCATAAACACAGAGAGAGCTGACCCCACAGAGGGTCTTTGTGCTGAGGCAGACACCATGTGGGTTTGGTGTCACCATGAACTGATTCACAAGAGTCTGTTCAATCTCTTTTCTCCTTGTTTGCCTCTCTTTACTCTCTCTGCTCTCTCTCTTCTCTTCTATTTTCTCTCTCCTCTCCTCTCTTCTATTCTCTCTTCTCCTCTCCTCTCTCCCCTCTCCCCTCCTCTCTCCTTTCTCCTCTCTCTCCTTTCTCCTCTCTTCTATTCTCGCAGCCCTCTCCTCTCTCCCTCCTCCCCTCTCTCTCTCTCCTTTTCTATTTTCTCTCTCCTCTCCTCTCTTCTATTCTCTCTTCTCCTCTCCTCTCTCCCCTCTCCCCTCCTCTCTCCTTTCTCCTCTCTCTCCTTTCTCCTCTCTTCTATTCTCGCAGCCTTCTCCTCTCTCCCTCCTCCCCTCTCTCTCTCTCCTTTTCTAGTTTCTCTCTCCTCTCCTCTCTTCTATTCTCTCCTCTCCTTTCTCCTCTCTCCTCTATTCTCGCTCCCCTCTCCCCCTTCTCCTCTCTCCTCTCTCCTCTTCTATTCTCTCCCCTCTCCTTCCTCTCTCCTCTCTCTTCCCTCTCTTCCCTCCCTCCTCTTTCCTCTTCCCTCTCTTGTCTCTCCTCTTTCCCGCCTCCTGTCTCCCCTCTCCCTTCTCCCCTCTCCTCTCCCCTCTCTCCTCTCTTCTCTCAGTCCTTCTTGTCACTTGTGGAGGCCTGTGATGGTGGATGGATCCGTCTGCTCCTGTGTGTTATAAATATTTCAGTTTTTCCATTAGTTTGAGTCCGTGGAGAGTTCTGTCGCTTCTTAATCGCAACGTTTAAGTGCAGCTGACACAAAGTGGCTGAAAGAGGAACCAAAGGCTGTGTACAAGCGTGACATCACCCACCATTACCCTGACAATATCACAATATAAACACCAGGATCACAGAGAGCGATAAACCACATATTTAAGCTCTCTCTTTCTGGTCTCTCTCTCTGGCCTCTCTTTCTGGTCTCTTGTCTCTCTCTCTTGTCTCTTTCTGGTCTCTCTCTTGTCCCTCTCTCTGGCCTCTCTTTCTGGTCTTTTGTCTCTCTCACTTGACTGTCTATTTTTTCTCTCCTGACTCACGAATTTTGGCCTCTGTCACGTCTTTAAATCATCTTTTTCAGTCAGATCAGTGAATCTTCTGTTCTGTAGAGGTTTCAATGGTGTCTCTGGTCTCTCTCTCTGGTCTCTGGTCTCTCTCTCTCTAAGGTCTCTGTCTCTGGTATCTCTGTCTCTGGTATCTCTGTCTCTGGTCTCTCTGTCTCTGGTCTCTCTGTCTCTGGTCGGTCGTTAACATTGAGGACAGAGCTGTTTCCTCTGTGATGGTATTGATCCGTCTTGAGGAAGTCTGCTGTTGCTTTTACTGGACATTTAAAAGTTCCAAGTTTCCTCCATAAACGTTCAATATTCCCCAGTCCTTTCAGAGCAACGTCCTCTCACACTTTAAACCAACAAATCCGCTGTCTCTGGTCTCTGTCTGGTCTATTTCTGGTCTCTCTTCTCTCTCTCTCACTCTCTGGTCTCCCTCTTTGGTCTCTGTCTCTAGTAGCTCTCGCCTCTCTCTTTCAGGTCTTTCCTTCTCTCTCTGGTCTCTCTCGCCTCTCTCTTTCTGGTCTCTCTGGTCTCTCTGGGTTCTTTCTCTCCTCTCTCTGATCACTCTGGTCTCTTGCTGGTCTCTTGTCTCTTTCTCTGACCTCCCTGTGGCCCCTCTCTTGTCTTCCTCTGGTCTCTCTCTGCAGTCTCGCTGGTCTCTCGCTGGTCTCTCTCTGTTGTCTCTCTTGTCTCAGTTCCTCTCTCTGACTTGATGCAGTCTTGGCTCTCGTTCGGTCTCTGCCCCTGTATTTAATAATAACCTCTGTCTCTGTGTAAATAATGATATATATGTTGTGTCCGTGTGTAAATAATGATATATATGTTGTGTCCGTGTGTAAATAATGATATATATGTTGTGTCCGTGTGTAAATAATGATATATATGTTGTGTCCATGTGTAAATAATGATATATATGTTGTGTCCGTGTGTAAATAATGATATATATGTTGTGTCCGTGTGTAAATAATGATATATATGTTGTGTCCGTGTGTGCAGTGACGGACGTGGAGCTGAAGCGTCTGAAAGATGCCTTCAAAAGAGCCAGTGGAGTGTCTGTGTACATGAGTCAGCAGAGCTTCTACAGAGACGTCCTCGGAGATGCTGTGCCTCCTAAAGTCGCAGAGGTGAGAGAAGGAGACTTATGTCCTCACACTGCAAGCACAGAGAGAGAGCACCTCTCTGCTATCTGGTCTCTCTCTCACTGGTCTTTCCCTCTGGTCTCTCTTTGGTCTCTCTCTTGTCTCTCATATGTCTCTCTCTGGTCTCTCTCTGGTCTCTCTTTGCTATCTCTGGTCTCTATCTGGTCGCTCTCTAGTCTCACTCTTGGTCTCTCTCTTGGTCTCTGTCTGGTCTCTCTCTGATCTCTCTCTGATCCCTCTCTGATCTCTCTCTGATCTCTCTCTGGTCTCTCTCTGTGTCTTAAGCCTAGTGTATACTCGCGCGGCGCGTAGCTTACGGAGGTGACGTGACGTCACTTGCGCAACGCGTTGGTCACCGCAAGGCCCTTACGTTGCCTGCCGCACAGCATCAAAATTTTCTAACTACGTAAGGGTCGCCGCAAGGAAGCTCCGCTGTGATTGGTCTGTGTGTGTGTATTGGAAGGAAGCACGGAGCGGCTGCAGCAGGGACATGGACGAGGCACTATGGAGCAGACTGCTTCACGCTTCGAAGGAACCAAAGGAAAAGCAGTTTGGGCTCATGGCAGAGCCTGATATATGCGGAGACTGTGGACTAGAGTTCTGTTGCATATCAAACATATATATAACTTATAAACTGTGCAGTCGTTTGTTTTGCACTGTTCCTGTCTTTGTTTGAATCGTAGCTTATCGCGTCTGTTCCATTCCTCCTGCACTTATAAATTGTTTGCCTCAGATATTTACCACTTATTGTTTTGCTGTTTGTGCTGAATACAATTTGATAATAACTATGTTTCCAACAAGAACTGTGTCTTTATTCACAACATCACAGTTAAATGAGTTGAAACGATGAGTTTAGAACTATCACATAAACCTACAGTAGAAACACATGTAATGATCTCAAACAGCTCGGTTTGTTCATGTTTTTGTTCTGAAGAGGAGAAAGTAGCAGCGTAAATGCTTTGGTATCTCAAGCAACTCCTGTGAGATCGCCATCATGTGGTTGGTTGTGGGATTACAACATTCTCCTCAAAACTCCGCAAGGAGTATAAATTAAATTGTGCTTGCGTAGGTCCACCGCAACCGCTAACGTAAGCAGCGGCGCGCAAGTATACACTAGGCTTCAGTGTGTTCTTTATCGATCGCCGCTGACACAGAGACACTTCTCTCATTTGTTTCTCAAATGTTGTTTTCGAGGAACACGTCTTTCCCAGATCCTTTGAATAAGATGCATTTGTTTTTCCCGGAGTCTCCACAGGATTTACATGAGTCTGGAAAAACATCTTCAAACAAATACAATAGATTTTCCTAAGATTTAAGTTCTCTGCTTTAAAGAAGAAATATTACAATTATTATTATTGTTTGTGTCAATTAAGTGTCATAAAGATACTATTTACTTTGTCATTTCATAGGGAGTTACAGAGAGCTCTGACTGCAGACGCTGCTCGCTCTGGTGGCAGCAGAGGGAGATACAGGCAGAATAACACTCTTCACACTGAGATGAAGCTAAAGTGCTGCTGGTTCATGAAGACTGCAGTTAAAACAGATTGATTAATGCTGTCGATTTGTAACATATATTTTCTACACAGAGAATATTCTTGTTCTGAAAGAAAAGAGCTGAAGTATGAGTTTATAAGTTTAGTGAGTAACAGTGGGACTCGTCTTCTGTTGCAGGTGATCTACTCGTCATTTGGAGGAACGTCCAAAGGTCTTCACTTCAACAATCTGATCGTGGGTCTGGTTCTTCTGACGAGAGGAAAAGATGAAGAGAAGCAGAAGTGTAAGACACACCTTTCAAACTTTGTTAAACTTTCAACCATATTCTTTGAAAGAGGGAGACCAGAGAGAGAGACCAGAGAGAGAGACCAGAGAGAGAGACCAGAGAGAGAGACCAGAGAGAGAGACCAGAGAGGGAGACCAGAGAGGGAGACCAGAGAGGGAGACCAGAGAGGGAGACCAGAGAGGGAGACCAGAGAGGGAGACCAGAGAGGGAGACCAGAGAGGGAGACCAGAGAGGGAGACCAGAGAGGGAGACCAGAGAGGGAGAGACCAGAGAGGGAGAGACCAGAGAGGGAGAGACCAGAGAGGGAGAGACCAGAGAGGGAGAGACCAGAGAGAGAGAGACCAGAGAGGGAGAGACGACCGAGAGGGAGAGACCAGAGAGGGAGAGACCAGAGAGGGAGAGACCAGAGAGGGAGAGACCAGGAGGAGAGAGAGAGGGAGAGACCAGAGAGGGAGAGACCAGAGAGGGAGAGACCAGAGAGGGAGAGACCAGAGAGGGAGAGACCAGAGAGGGAGAGACAGAGGAGAGAGAGACCAGAGAGAGAGAGACCAGAGAGAGAGAGACCAGAGAGAGAGAGACCAGAGAGAGAGAGACCAGAGAGACCAGAGAGAGAGTAAACTATGAACTCTGTGGAGTATTGTGATGTCACATATACTGACTGTAAACCTGTGTTCCAGACCTGTTCAGCCTCTTTGCCTCTGACCCCAGTGGATACGCCTCCAGAGAGGACATGGAGGCCGTGCTGCAGGCTCTGGACGGAGAGGTGCCCTTGGCTCTCAGACAGTGCTTCTCAGAGGTAACCCCTGACCCCTGAATCCTTGTTGTATAATTTGAATTGCTCTTTCTCAGCTCTCTCTGTCTCTGCTCTCTCTGCTCTCTCTCTCTCTGCTCTTTCTCTCTGCTCTCTCTTTCTGCTCTTTCTCTCTGCTCTCTCTTTCTGCTCTTTCTCTCTGCTCTCTCTTTCTGCTCTTTCTCTCTGCTCTCTCTCTGCTTGCTCTCTCTCTGCTCTCTCTCTGCTCTCTCTCTCTCTGCTCTCTCTCTCTGCTTGCTCTCTTTCTGCTCTCTCTCTGCTCACTCTCTCTGCTCTCTCTCTCTCTGCTCTCTCTCTTTCTGCTCTCTCTCTGGTCCATCTCTGCTCTCTGCTCGCTCTCTCTGCTCTCTCTCACTGCTCTCTCTCTTTCTCTTTGCGCTCTCTGCTCTCTCTCTTTATGGTCACTCTCTGGTCTCTGGTCTCTCTCTGGTAACTCATGTTGGTGTGCTATATAAATAACCTTGCTGGTGGTGTTCTCAGGGGGATAAGGTGAACTTTGAGAGGTTTCGCTGGTGGCTGCAGCAGAACACTGAGGCCTTCACTTTCTCTCGATGGCTTCTGTCCGGAGGAGTCTGTGTGACTCTGACAGACGACAGCGACACGCCCACCTTCTACCAGACACTGGCCGGGGTCACACACTGTAAGAGACGCACACACACACACACACACACTGTAGAAGACAGACACACACAGACGACAATGACCACCATATGGAAGTGTTTCACCTCTTAAGAACACAAGTGGACTTTTCTCTAAGGTCTCTCTCTGGTGTCTCTCTGGTCTCTCTCTCTGGTCTCTCTGGTCTCTGGTCTCTCTCTCTCATCTCACTCTGGTCTCTCTCTGGTCTTTTTCTGGCCTTTCTCTGGTCTCTCTCTTTGGTCTCTCTCTCTGGTCTCTTTTTCTGGTCTCTTTCTGGTCTCTGTCTGCTCTTTGCCCTCACTCTGCCCTCACTTTGGTCTCTACCTGGTCACTCTCTTTTCTGTCTCTGGTCTCTCTAGTCACATTAGCCACCTGTTCTGCTGTTGTGCTTTGAAAGTTGCGTCCCCCAGCTTTGATATGACATGAGAAACCTCTGAACAGTAGCTCATACACAGGTACAGTTTTAGCTCTGTTCTATTTGTCTAATTAAGGCCATACGGCGCGGATCTGTAATCTCCGTTATCCTCTTATGTGTGAGCGAGAGTGAACAGTGCTCTGCTTTCTGACTGCTGTCACTGAGGCGTCTGCGCTACGGCAAAAACATGGACAAAAACCCCTGCTTTCACTGGCTTCTCTCCAGATCCGGAGCCAATTAAATCCACCTCGGCTCATCTAACGGACTGTTGTTGACTTCTACTGCGAGAAATGGACCAGAAAGCACTGACGGAATACGTTTTTTCAAGATTTTTTAGCTAATGTGAACTCTATGGACTCTTACCTCGGGAATGTTAATGGAATTTTGAATGACTTTTGAGTTAAACAGACTCTCTTTCTCAGGTCTCTCTCTCTGGTCTCTTTTTGGTCTCTCTTTGGTCTCTCTTTGGTCTCTCTGCCTGGTCTCTCTCTGGTCTTTCTGCTTGGTCTCTTGGTCCATAAACAATCGTGTGGAGTATTTTTGACTTTTACCTCAAGAAAATTGACAAATATATGTTTTTGGAGCCTTCTAATGGATCGTCTTTACCATTTTTTATATCAAGGGACTCCAGATTCAATCGATCAAATAGAAGGGTTTCAATTATTATATGGTGCCTCTGGTTTTAATACAATGCAGGAAAGACCTTTTTGTGTTTTCTCCCGACGCTGGCAAAAAGTTCAGGCTCAAAATCAGAAATGAGAGTGGAGGATTGATAGTGACATGTAATAGCAAGTAAATGAACAGGTTTTTCATGTAAATAAGACTAAAACCTGGTCATTCTAAGCCTCCATGCCTCAGTATTTGCTCAGTATTAGTAGCTGGATGCGTAGATAAGGGTGAGGAGTTGGATTTTAGTGGTTCTGGAGAGCGACAGAAGGACTATGGTGCTCAGTAGCAGCAGCGGTGGGAGATGCGGCCTGGAGAATGGTATGGTTCTTCTGCTGCCATCCGGACAGAGTGGCTCCTTTAGGTGGGTATGAAACTGCCAGGCAAACTCTGCACCCGTCGCTGTAACAAGGGCCTCGCGGTTTTGTTTTGTGTGGCTAGAATCATATAAACGTGAATAGCAACAGTTACCTTTATTTAGAATCCCTGGTTTCTCTTTCTGGTCTATATCTGGTCTCTCCGGATCTCTTTCCGGTCTCTTTCTGTGGGTTCACTCTTGTTTCTCAATGTGGCCTCTGGTCTCTCTCTCTGGTCTCTCTCTCTGGTCTCTCTCTCTGGTCTCTGTCTCTGGTCTCTCTCTGGTCTCTCTCTCTGGTCTCGGTCTCTGGTCTCTCTCTCTGGTCTCTGGTCTCTGGTCTCTGGTCTCTGTCTTTGGTCTCTGTCTCTGGTCTCGGTCTCTGGTCTCTGGTCTCTGGTCTCTGGTCTCTGGTCTCTGGTCTCTGGTCTCTGGTCTCTGTCTTTGGTCTCTGTCTCTGGTCTCGGTCTCTGGTCTCTGGTCTCTGGTCTCTGGTCTCTGGTCTCTGGTCTCTGGTCTCTGTCTCTGGTCTAGCTCTCTCGCTGGTCTCTGGTCTGGTCTTTGGCATTGTCTCTGTTCAGTCTGAAAAAGATGATATAAAGGCCAAAAGCAGTGACAGAAACAAACCATTTTAGAATCGCTAGAGTAGAGGCCTGGCTTTTATCACAGTAAAGTTTTATTGTTGTTGTCTGAAAGTTACACAACCCAGCTTTACATGTGCATAAAGTTTCAGTGATTAGTGTTGAAACTGTGATAAAGAACATATTAAGTTTAAGTCTTTGTTAGTTCCTGATACTTTAGTCCATGTGTCGTTCTCTGTGCAACGGACCCCACGACTCCGTATGAATCCTATTAGCCAAAGCTCAGATTAGCATTAGCATGCTAAAGGCTAAAGGTGTGGCTAACTGACACCAGTCCAAGGCTGTATGTTGACGGACAGTGCCAACCCGCTACCTTTCCTTCGTAGGGCTCTGGTCTAAAAGTCATGTCACAGTAACAATTTAATTCCCGATATAAATAGCTACAAATCTTCAAAATGGCACAACTTTATTAAAATATACTTTAAAAATATATACAAAGTAGCGGCTTATAGTGCTCAAAACAGTTTACTTCTATCAGTAGTTTTCTCATGCATGTATTTCTGGACAGCCCTGTCTCACCTCTCTCTCTCCTCTCTCTTCTCTCTCTTTTGTCTGTGGCACCAGAGAAAGACCTAGAGAAAATCACTAGTACTTGAATCTCAAAAGGGTGATGTTGTGATGGAGAAGCCTGTAGTTGACCTCTGACCTGTGCCCTCTGTCCCCAGTGGAGGAGTGCGACATCATCGACCTGGAGAAGAGGTACTGGCTGCTGAAGGCTCAGTCCAGAACCGGACGCTTTGATCTAGAAACGTTTGTGCCTCTAGTTTCTCCACCAATACACAACTCCCTGAGTGAAGGTAACACACACACACACGGACGCACACACGGACGCACACAAGGACGCACACAGGGACGCACACACAGACATGCACAGCTTTAACATGTGTAACCATGTGCAGGTCTGTTCCATGCCTTTGATGAGAACCGGGACAATCACATTGACTTTAAGGAGATCTCTTGTGGACTGTCAGCCTGCTGCAGAGGACCTGAGGCCGAGAGACAGAAGTGTAAGACTCACACTTTAGACCTGCTTCAGTCTCTGCCTCAGTCTCTGCCTCAGTCTCTGCCTCAGTCTCTGCTTCAGTCTCTGCCTCAGTCTCTGCCTCACTCTCTGCCTCAGTCTCTGCCTCAGTCTCTGCCTCAGTCTCTGCCTCAGTCTCTGCCTCAGTCTCTGTCTCAGTCTCTGCCTCAGTCTCTGCCTCAGTCTCTGCCTCAGTCTCTGTCTCAGTCTCTGCCTCAGTCTCTGCCTCAGTCTCTGTCTCAGTCTCTGCCTCAGTCTCTGCCTCAGTCTCTGCTTCAGTCTCTGCTTCAGTCTCTGCCTCAGTCTCTGCCTCAGTCTCTGCCTCAGTCTCTGCCTCAGTCTCTGCCTCAGTCTCTGCCTCAGTCTCTGTCTCAGTCTCTGCCTCAGTCTTTGCCTCAGTCTCTGTCTCAGTCTCTGCCTCAGTCTCTGCCTCAGTCTCTGTCTCAGTCTCTGCCTCAGTCTCTGTCTCAGTCTCTGCCTCAGTCTCTGCCTCAGTCTCTGCTTCAGTCTCTGCCTCAGTCTCTGCCTCAGTCTCTGCCTCAGTCTCTGCCTCAGTCTCTGCCTCAGTCTCTGCCTCAGCCTCTGCCTCAGTCTCTGCTTCAGTCTCTGCTTCAGTCTCTGCCTCAGTCTCTGTCTCTGCCTCAGTCTTTGCCTCAGTCTCTGCCTCAGTCTCTGCTTCAGTCTCTGCCTCAGTCTCTGCTTCAGTCTCTGCTTCAGTCTCTGCTTCAGTCTCTGCCTCACTCTCTGCCTCAGTCTCTGCCTCAGTCTCTGCCTCAGTCTCTGCCTCAGTCTCTGCCTCAGTCCTGGGTCTCCACATGTGTATAATGTGTCCCTCTGTCTTCAGTCTGTTTCAAAGTCTTCGACGTGGACAGAGATGGGGTCCTGTCCCGGGACGAGCTCCATGAGATGGTGGTGGCTCTGCTGGAGGTCTGGAGGGACAACCGCACCGACTCTCTACCTGTGAGTTCCTTATTCTGTTCTGGTTCAGATCCAGGTTCAGATCCAGGAGCACAGAGTCTAACAGAGTCTTCTTTCTCTCAGGAGTTACAGAGCAGCGTGTCCGACATCGTGGAGAGTATTCTGAAGATGCACGATACCACAAAGGTATGGTCTGCTTTAGACCTGGTTAAAACCTGGTTCAAACCTGGTTAAAACCTGCTTTAGACCTGCTTTAGTCCTGCTTTAGACCTGCTTTAGTCCTGCTTTAGTCCTGCTTTAGTCCTGCTTTAGTCCTGCTTTAGACCTGCTTTAGACCTGCTTTAGTCCTGCTTTAGACCTGCTTTAGTCCTGCTTTAGTCCTGCTTTAGTCCTGCTTTAGTCCTGCTTTAGTCCTGCTTTAGACCTGCTTTAGACCTGCTTTAGACTCCAGCCTGGTGTATGTGAATATGAGGGAAAGCAGCGAATATTACTGAAACTGTTTAAAATAACACTAATGATGATAAATGTAAAATGATCGTATGATTTGAGTTTCCCATCCTGCTCCACAGATGGGTCACCTGACATTAGAGGATTACCAAATATGGAGTGTGAAAAGTGCCCTGGCCAACGAGTTCCTCAACCTGCTGTTCCAGGTGAACTTCAGACTCAAGATGATGGTTTCATATTTCAGTCCCTCAAAGCTGCACAGAAAACTATCCTTAAGATAAACTGATATGTAGTTGTTTATTGTGTCTGGTTTTGAGGAAGAATGTCACTTACAGCTCACAAGCACGGAGAGAGACACACACAGAGAGAGAGAGAGAGAGAGAGAGAGAGAGAGAGAGAGAGAGAGACACACAGAGAGAGAGACAGAGAGAGACAGAGACAGAGAGACGGAGAGACGGAGAGAGAGAGAGAGAGAGAGACAGAGAGAGAGAGACACACACAGAGAGAGAGAGAGAGACACACACAGAGAGAGAGACCCACACAGAGAGAGAGACCCACACAGAGAGAGAGACACACACAGAGAGAGAGAGACACACAGAGAGAGACACAGAGAGAGAGAGACACACAGAGGGCGAGAGAGAGGGAAAGAGACACAGAGAGTGAGACAGACCGAGAGACACACAAACAGACACATGCACTAGTAACTACAGGTGAAATTATCTAAATATGTTCTTGTCTCTCCTAAAATGTGTGTGTTCTGTGTTCAGGTTTGTCACATCGTCCTGGGTTTGAGACCGGCCACTCCTGAAGAAGAGGGTCAGATCATCAGGTTGGTGTTTTAGAATCCTCTCTGACAGCGTTGGGCCCAGTTCAGTCTCTGCCTCAGTCTCTGCCTCAGTCTTTGCTTCAGTCTCTGCTTCAGTCTCTGCCTCAGTCTCTGCCTCAGTCTCTTCCTCAGTCTCTGCCTCAGTCTCTGTCTCTGCCTCAGTCTCTGCTTCAGTCTCTGCTTCAGTCTCTGCTTCAGTCTCTGCCTCAGTCTCTGCCTCAGTCTCTGCCTCAGTCTCTGCCTCAGTCTCTGCCTCAGTCTCTGCTTCAGTCTCTGCCTCAGTCTCTGTCTCTGCCTCAGTCTCTGCTTCAGTCTCTGCTTCAGTCTCTGCTTCAGTCTCTGCTTCAGTCTCTGCCTCAGTCTCTGCTTCAGTCTCTGCCTCAGTCTCTGCTTCAGTCTCTGCCTCAGTCTCTGCCTCAGTCTCTGCCTCAGTCTCTGCTTCAGTCTCTGCTTCAGTCTCTGCTTCAGTCTCTGCCTCAGTCTCTGCCTCAGTCTCTGTTTCAGACCTCTCTATGTGTCTCTCTGCAGGGGTTGGCTGGAGCGGGAGAGCAGACACGGGCTTCAGCAGGGACAGAACTGGTTCTTGATCTCCATGCAGTGGTGGCAGCAGTGGAAGGACTACGTCAAATATGTGAGTAATGAGAGAAGAATGGATCTATATTTAACACACTTCTGATGCTGTTTAAACTCTGCTGTCGTATGTCACCAGGAGCAGAAGGGTATCGTTGTGGAGCAGCCCTCTGTCCTGTCGTCCCTCCGCTCCTCAGCGCCCCCTGTCTGTGCAGAGGCAGACTGCAGAGGAGCCTGGAGTCCTCAGAGCTCCTTGAGTCCAGATGAGAGGAGTCCAGACACTCTGAGCAGCGCGTCTGAGGCCACCGAGACCGGTCAGTGGATTTAGGCTAATCTAGTCTGTCACTGCTACTACTGCTACTACTACTACTACTACTACTACTGCTACTACTAGTACTGCTACTACTGCTACTGCTACTACTACTGCTGCTACTACTGCTACTACTGCTACTACTGCTACTGCTACTACCGCTACTGCTACTACTGCTGCTACTACTGCTACTACTACTGCTACTACTGCTACTACTACTACTGCTACTACTACTACTGCTACTGCTGCTACTGCTAATACTGCTACTACTACTACTACTACTACTACTGCTACTACTAGTACTGCTACTACTGCTACTGCTACTACTACTGCTGCTACTACTGCTACTACTGCTACTACTGCTACTGCTACTACCGCTACTGCTACTACTGCTGCTACTACTGCTACTACTACTGCTACTACTGCTACTACTACTACTGCTACTACTACTACTGCTACTGCTGCTACTGCTAATACTGCTACTACTACTACTACTACTACTACTGCTACTACTGCTACTACTACTGCTACTACTGCTACTACTGCTACTACTACTACTGCTACTGCTACTACTACTACTACTGCTAGATGCTAATTATTAGCATCTATTATTACTCAATTGACCCATCTCTCTCTTTCTCTCTCCTTCTCTCCCTCCCTCTTTCTCCCACTCTCCCCCCTCAGCTCTGGCTCCTCTCCCTTCCCCCTCCTCAGACAGCTGTTTCTCTCGCGCTCACCCGTCCTCAGAGAACCCTCAGTGTTTCTCTGGTCAGAACGGACACCTGCCTCAGCTCTGTCCTCAGAGACCAGCGGCCATCGACAACCAGCCACTGGTCAACATGGACCCCATCAAGGTACGGCCTTAAAGCTCAGGGACCTAACATTCACACCACAACCATTGGACTGTGTAAGAGGGAGAGAGAGCGAGGCCAGAGGGAGAGAGAGCGAGGCCAGAGGGAGAGAGAGCGAGGCCAGAGGGAGAGAGAGCGAGGCCAGAGGGAGAGAGAGCGAGACCAGAGGGAGAGAGAGCGAGGCCAGAGGGAGAGAGAGCGAGGCCAAAGACTTAACTTAATCTCTGGTGTCTCTTTCTGGTGTCTCTCTCTCTCTGTTCTCTCTCTTTGTGAAAACAAAACTGTTTTAAGCCAGAGACAAGTGACATGAATTGTATTCTTGTATGACACTTTTGTCTCTGCTTCAGGCTCCAACGCTGACCATGGAGGGTGGCCGTCTGAAGCGCTCTCTGCAGCTGGTTCCAGGTCGAGACTTTGAGATCGTCCCTGAACCAGTGTGGAGAGCTCTGTATCACTGGTACGGAGCCAACCTCAGCCTCCCACGACCTGTAAGTACCGGAGACCAGAGGGAGACCAGAGGGAGACCAGAGGGAGACCAGAGGGAGACCAGAGGGAGACGAGAGACCAGAGACGGAGAGACCAGAGACGGAGAGACCAGAGACGGAGAGACCAGAGACGGAGAGACCAGAGACGGAGAGACCAGAGACGGAGAGACCAGAGACGGAGAGACCAGAGACGGAGAGACCAGAGACGGAGAGACCAGAGACGGAGAGACCAGAGACGGAGAGACCAGAGACGGACCAGAAAGGGGAGTGACCAGAAAGAGATACCGGATAAAGAGACTTTAAATCTGTAAATCAAAAAGACTGGGTCGCAATGCGGTTGGATGCCGAGTCTTTCTGACACACATCAGCCCATGGAAGACTGTGGTACATTGCTTTAGATGAGGGTCTCAGTCCAAACCCCTCACCCTAACCCTCGGTGTTTACAGGTGATCCTGGAGAGCCGCACTAAGGCTGCAGAGCTGGAGCTGTTCCCTCGCTTTCTGCTCTTCCTTCGCCAGCAGCCGGCCACTCGCACTCCTCAGTCCAACATCTGGGTCAACATGGGTATGAGCAGCCTGAGAATGTTCCCTCCACATTTACCACCACCCAGAGGTAACGGAAGCCTGCAGCAAGACCAGAAACCGCCTCCAATCAGCTCTGAATCAGCTGAAATAATCCACCCAGGCCAGGCACTTCAGCTGTACCAGACACACAGGGGAGAGGATTTCTGCAACAGTCTGACATTTTGACATTTGTTACAACGGGTTTTTCCATTACAGACACCAGAGAACCAGAGATTATGGTTCAGAATCTTATCTTTTGTGTAAGAAAGTTCGGTTTTCTCTCTGGTCTCTATCTTTGGCCCATCTCTTTTCTCTCTCTTTCTGGTTTCTCGCTCTATAGTCTCTTGTCTCTCGCTGATCTTTCTGATCTCTCTGGTCTTTCTCTCTAGTCTCTCTCTCTGGTCTCTCTCTTCTCCCTCTGGTTTCTATCTGGTTTCTGTCGCTCTTAGGCCTCTCTCTCTCTGGTCTCTCTCCGGTCTCTCTCTCTCTGGTTTCTCTCTTAGGCCTCTCTCTCTCTGGTCTCTCTCTCTAGTTTCTCTCTCTCTAGTTTCTCTCTTAGGCCTCTTTCTGGTCTCTCTCTTAAGCCTTGCTCTCTCCTGTCTCTCTCTCTCTGGTCTCTCTCTCTGGTCTCTCTCTCTCTAGTCTGGCTCTGGTTCTGGTTCTACTTAATCCTGAGATCCCTAACTTTCAAACCACAAAAGATTGAACTCTAAAACAGTTCTGTCTCAGATTATAAATGTACATGTTTATTCTCCCCTTCACACTTCAGATTCAGATTCAGATTCATTTATTTGCCATTTGCAGTAAAACCACATTGGAAAAACTGTGCAAGACTACCCCGGTGTGCACCAGACAGAGGAGACGACACACACCAGAGCTCTTGCCACGGCGCCATCTTTACGGCGCCATGCGACAAACAGTAGAATAAACAGCAGAGAGCAATAACATACAGTATCACAGACAGTTGGATAGACACATTGTGCTTTGTATAAAGCACGGATTTTTTCTCGGGATGAAGCACCTCCTACAGCCGGCCCAATGTGGCTGTCAGAGGGGGGCGGGGTCAGGGAGGGGGGTGAGTCGGAAACACAGTGAGGAGTGGAGGGGAGGGAGGGAGCAAGATGGATAGAGAGGGAGGCGGGGGAGGCGGGGGAGACGGGATCCGAGCTGGAGACTGAAGTGTGAGATTGTTGTAGATGGGGACCTTGTTATTATGGCCTTGGCCCGAGGAATGTGAGATAAGAGTGGAGAGAAGACACAGACACAGCAGGAGAAACACATCGCCTCAGGGGGACAATATTAAATGCAATGTCAGGCAGATATTCTATTAAATCCAATTAAACCGAATTCGGGCGTTCTGCTCTCCCAAAATTTCATCCACTGAGCGGCGCTGTGATCAAAAAATGACACCGTTTGTTGCCCAGTTCACTTCCGGTTGATTTCATACAATGGCGAATATGGCTCACAAAAACAACAAACGATTGACAGTGCCTGAATTGCGAGGTTGAAGCGAAAGTCAGCCATTGACAAAGGCTTGATGGTTGGAGCAGTATTTTTGGACTTAAAAAAGGCATTTGACGTTCTAGACCATGATCTCCTTGTGCTCAAACTATCTGGACTAAACTTTGAAGAACCAGCACTGCAGTGGTTCAAGACATATCTGGAACAGAGACAACAGTGTGTAATAATCAATAACGAAAAGTCATCCTTTTTAACATTAACATCAGGAGTCCCGCAGGGATCAATATTGGGCCCACTTCTCTTTACACTTTACATTAATGACTTACCAAACGCATGCCCAGGAGCAGGTATCCAACTGTATGCAGACGATGCAGTTGTATATGTGAGTGGCAAAACAATTGAAACCATTACTGCACAGCTACAGCACCATCTAGAGGCTGTAGCAGAATGGTTTCAAAATTCTGGTCTTTCTTTAAATGTCAGTAAAACAAAATCTGTCTGTTTTTCATCTAGAACACGTCCCACTGAGAACCTACCCCTAACAATTGACAGGCAACACATTGAGCAAGTGAGAGAATTCAAATATTTAGGCCTAATTCTGGACTCTCACTTGCAATTTGACAGTCACATTAACAAGATTGTAAAAAGGACTAAATCAAGTTTGTATAGTTTCAGACTAATCAGAGATTGTTTACCTTTCAACGCAGCCAATATCTTTCTACACGCCATGATTTTTTCTCAGATAAGTTACTGTATCACCTGCTGGTCCCAGGCCACAGCCTCTTCCATCAAACCAGTAAGAATGCTCTACAACAGAGCCATAAAAATACTGGACAAAAAGCCAATAAGAACACACCATTGCCAGGTGTTGCAGAGACTACATTTTCTTAGTTTTGATAATTTTATTAAATTTTGTAATTGTAAATTATTGTACAAATGTTTGCACAGTCGAGCCCCTGCTGTCCTGAGTGCTCTCTTAGTTCCTCTGAGATCCGTCACACGGGGCTCCTCTAACGGGAATGTGAAAGTGCCCCTCAGGAGAACCACATTCGGACAGTCGGTCTTCTCGGTCCAGGGGGCAAAGCTCTGGAACTCTTTAAGCCCTCAGCTAAAACTGAACTCTGACTGGGCTGGTTTTAAACATGAACTAAAGCGATTTCTTAAAACAAACCAGGTGTGTGAGCATCAATGAGTTGGAGAACATCTGCTTTTATATAATGTGAATTTTATAATGTATAATGTGTTTTAATTGTGTTAAAAGCCCTCCTAGGGACGGACATTGCAAACTAGCCTTGGCTATAAATGTTGTAGTGTTTCACATGTTGATTGTGTTCACTTGTCCCTATCAAATAAATCAATAAGGGTATTTGCAGTGTGGGAAAATGAAAGGAGGAATTGTTGTTGCTAGTTCAACGAGCGGATGGTGTTTATGAAGATTTAGAAGAAGATGACAGCGAGCAGAGTGAACGAAAACGGCTGTGTGTGCGAGTGACAGATGGTAACAATGAGAATGAAGTTCAGCTAAGAGGGAAGAATGTGAATTGGACGGATGATTTGCGCGATATGCCACTAGTTAGAGACGGGAATGTATTTGCATACAGAAAATGACGAAAACACTCAACCATTTAGAGAAAATGCGCCGGGCAGAGAGAACCGGAAGTTGCGAAGGCAAGTGTTACCCATAATGCAACGCAAAATTCAGTCGCTCCCCCGCCCATCGGATGGAATTTTGGGAGAGCAGAACGCCCGAATTGCGGCGCCCTCAGACCCCGTACACAGGGGCAGATCCAAGCCGGGTCAGAGAGTTCAAGCCTGACAAACAATGTCATTCAATCTCAACTCCAGAGTCTTATGTCCATCGAGTGAACGAGCTGCGAGGTCTTTAACCAACTGTTCCACCAAAACCACTCTTCTTTGACCAGACACGGCACTCTCAACCACGACGCGGCTAAGCTCCAGACCACTTTGCACACATCTCTACACCAAAGTGTAGACATAGCAGCAGCAGTACCATGTGTGTGTCATCACAGCTGCAGCCTATAGTGTCTCGTCTGAGCCCAGTGTGGACTAAACCTCTGATCAAAGTCCTCAGAGATCCATCTGATTCCAACGCTTCTCTATCTCCGCAGCCTGAACATCTCACTGATTCTTTCTCTCCTGTGTGTGAGTGGGCTGTGCGAGTGTGACATCACCACTGTGTGACATCACCACTGTGTGACATCACCACTGTGTTAGCCTTAATGAGGAAGAGGCCGATTTGAACATTAGATTGGAATATTAGCTAGCTGGAGACAATTTACTTATGTGGGCATTTGTTCTGCTAGCTTGGCCTCTGATTGGTCTGTCTTTAAATGGTGAGTGTGTTGAGACGGCTAGCTCTGTAACCGTTTTTCTCTCTCTGGTCTCTCTCTCTCTCTCTCTGGTCTCTCTTGTCTGTCTTTTCCCTGGTCTTTCTCTGTCTCTTTCTGGTCTGCTTGGTTTATCTGGTTTTTCTCTCTGATCTTTCTGTCAGGCCTCTCTCGCTTTCTCTATTATCTCTCTCTGCACTCCCTCCCTCTCTGCTCTCTCTCTCTCTCTCTCTGTCTCTCTCTCTCTGCTCTCTCTGGTGTCTCTCTCTGTCTCTGTGTCTCTCTCTCTCTGGTCTCTGGTCTCTCTCTCTTGCCTCTGTCTCTGCTCTCTCTGGTGTCTCTCTGGTCTCCCTCTTTGCTCTCTGATTTTGTGAGTGAATGCAAAGGCTGTGTGGATAGAACCAAACTCCAAATCAAAACCAATTATTCAATATTTTTGATGATTTGATCAGAAATCACTAATGTGTGATTTAACAGAACTAATGTGATTGGTCTGAAGATCCTGCTGCTTCCTTACACCTCTAATCAAAACCAACCAAACCAGAGGGGGAGAGGCCAGACCAGAGGGGGAGAGGCCAGACCAGAGGGGGAGAGGCCAGACCAGAGGGGGAGAGGCCAGACCAGAGGGGGAGAGACCAGACCAGAGGGGGGGGAGAGGGAGACCAGAGGGGGAGAGACCAGACCAGAGGGGGAGAGACCAGACCAGAGGGGGAGAGACCAGACCAGAGGGGGAGAGACCAGACCAGAGGGGGAGAGACCAGACCAGAGGGGGAGAGACCAGACCAGAGGGGGAGAGACCAGACCAGAGGGGGAGAGACCAGACCAGAGGGGGAGAGACCAGACCAGAGGGGGAGAGACCAGACCAGAGGGGGAGAGACCAGACCAGAGGGGGAGAGACCAGACCAGAGGGGGAGAGACCAGACCAGAGGGGGAGAGACCAGACCAGAGGGGGAGAGACCAGACCAGAGGGGGAGAGACCAGACCAGAGGGGGAGAGACCAGACCAGAGGGGAGAGACCAGACCAGAGGGGGAGAGACCAGACCAGAGGGGGAGAGACCAGACCAGAGGGGGAGAGACCAGACCAGAAGGGGAGAGACCAGACCAGAAGAGCTGTTTTAACTGTATCTTTTTGTACCTTGTTTGTAGGAAACGTCCCGTCTCCCAATGCTCCCCTGAAGAGGGCGCTAGCGTACAGCGGCTGCTTCAGTCGCATGGGGACCATCAAAGACATCCACCTTTACCTGTCCCAGAGACTGAGGATCAAGGAGGAGGACATGAGGCTATGGCTCTACAACAGTGAGGTGAGGAGAGACCAGAGAGAGACCAGAGAGAGACCAGAGAGAGACCAGAGAGAGACCAGAGAGAGACCAGAGAGAGACCAGAGAGAGACCAGAGAGAGACCAGAGAGAGACCAGAGAGAGACCAGAGAGAGACCAGAGAGAGACCAGAGAGAGACCAGAGAGAGACCAGAGAGAGACCAGAGAGAGACCAGAGAGAGACCAGAGATTGAATTCATAATCTCTGAAACATGGACCAAGTCTACATTCTTGCCTGTGTGTAAACTTTAAAGAACATCCATCCATCCATCCATTTTCTTCCGCTTTATCCGTTGCCGGGTCGCGGGGGCAGCAGTCTAAGCAGAGACGCCCAGACTTCCCTATCCACACACACTTCCTCCAGCTCGTCCGGGGGGATCCCAAGGCGTTCCCAGGCCAGCTGAGAGACATAGTCTCTCCAGCGTGTCCTAGGTCTTCCGCGGGGCCTCCTCCCGGTGGGACGTGCCCGGAACACCTCCCCAGGGAGGCGTCCAGGAGGCATCCGGAACAGATGCCCGAGCCACCTCAACTGGTTCCTCTCGACGTGGAGAAGCAGCGGCTCTACTCCAAGCTCCTCCCGTGTGACTGAGCTCCTCACCCTATCTCTAAGGGAGCGCCCAGCCACTCTGCGGAGGAAGCTCATTTCGACCGCTTGTATCCGCGATCTCGTTCTTTCGGTCATTACCCAAAGCTCATGACCATAGGTGAGGGAGGGAACGAAGATTGACCGGTAAATTGAGAGCTTTGCCTTTCGGCTCAGCTCCCTCTTTACCACAACGGTCCGATACAGCGACCGCATCACTGCGCACGCTGCACCGATCCGCCTGTCAATCTCACGCTCCATCCTCCCCTCACTCGTGAACAAGACCCCGAGATACTTGAACTCCTCCACTTGAGGAAGGACCTCTCCAACCACCTGAAGAGGGCAGGGCACCTTTTTCCGGTCGAGCACCATGGCCTTGGATTTGGAGGTGCTGATTCTCATCCCAGCCGCTTCACACTCGGCTGCAAACCGTCCCAGTGCATGCTGCAGGTCCTGGTTCGTTGGAGCCAACAGGACAACATCGTCCGCAAACAGCAGAGATGAAATCCTGTGGTCCCCGAACCGGACCCCCTCCGACCCCTGGCTGCGCCTAGATATTCTGTCCATAAATACAGTGAACAGAACCGGTGACAAAGGGCAGCCCTGTCGGAGGCCAACATTCACCGGGAACAGGTCTGACTTACTGCCGGCAATGCGAACACAGCTCTGGCTCTGGTCATACAGGGACCGGATGGCCCTCAGCAGAGGACCCCCGACCCCGTACTCCCGGAGAACCCCCCAAAGGACACCCCGGGGAACACAGTCGAACGCCTTCTCCAAATCCACAAAGCACATGTGGACAGGTTGGGCGAACTCCCATGAACCCTCGAGTATCCGATGGAGAGTATAGAGCTGGTCCAGTGTTCCGCGACCGGGACGAAAACCACACTGCTCCTCCTGGATCCGAGATTCGACCATCGGCCGTAGCCTCCTCTCCAGTACCTTGGAGTAGACCTTACCGGGGAGGCTGAGGAGTGTGATCCCACGATAATTGGAACACACCCTCCGGTCCCCCTTCTTGTAGAGAGGGACCACCACCCCGGTCTGCCACTCCATTGGCACCGCCCCCGATCGCCACGCGATGTTGCAGAGACGTGTCAGCCAAGACAGTCCTACAACATCCAGAGACTTTAGATAATCAGGGCGGATCTCATCCACACCCGGAGCCTTGCCACCATGGAGGCTACCAACCACCTTGGTGACCTCAGCCAGGGAGATGGATGTATCCGCCCCAACATCCTCAGCCTCTGCCTCTGTAACAGAGGACGTGACGGGGGGATTGAGGAGAACCTCAAAGTATTCCTTCCACCGCCCGACAATATCCCCCGTCGAGGTCAGCAGCTCTCCACCCGCACCGTACACGGTGTTGGCAAAGAACTGCTTCCCCCTCCTGAGGCGCCGGACGGTTTGCCAGAATTTCTTTGAGGCCGACCGATAGTCATGCTCCATGGACTCTCCGAACTCCTCCCAGTCCCGGGTTTTTGCCTCTGCAACAGCCCGGGCCGCGGCACGCTTGGCCTGCCGGTACTGGACAGCTGCCTCAGGAGTCCCCCGAACCATCATGGCTCGATAGGACTCCTTCTTCAGCCTGACAGCATCCCTTACTGCCGGTGTCCACCACCGGGTTCGGGGGTTGCCGCCGGGACCAGCACCAGAGACCTTGCGACCACAGCTACGAGCCGCCGCATCGGCGATTGAGGCAGAGAACATGGTCCACTCGGACTCCATGTCCCCCTCCTCCACCGGGACCTGGGAGAAGCTCTCCCGGAGGTGTGAGTTGAAAGTCCGTTCTGACAGGGGGCTCAGCGAGACGTTCCCAGCAGACCCTCACTATACGCTTGGGTCTGCCAGGTCTGACCGGCTTCTTCCCCTGCCAGCGGATCCAACTCACGACCAGGTGATGATCGGTTGACAGCTCCGCCCCTCTCTTTACCCGAGTGTCCGAGACACGCGGTCGAAGGTCAGATGATACGACTACAAAGTCGATCATCGACCTCCGGCCTAGGGTGTCCTGGTGCCACGTGCACTGGTGGACACCCTTGTGCTCGAACATGGTGTTCGTGATGGACAAACTGTGACTGGCGCAGAAGTCCAACAACTGAACACCGCTCGGGTTCAGATCAGGGGGGCCGCTCTTTCCAATCACCCCTCTCCAAGTGTCACTGGCGTTTCCCACAAGGGCGTTGAAGTCCCCCAGGAGAATAACGGAGTCCCCGGGCGGTGCACCGTCCAGTACCCCTCCCAAGGACTCCAAGAAGGCCGGGTACTCTGCACTGCCGTTAGGCCCGTAGGCCGTCACAACAGTGAGAGACTTGTCCCCCACCCGGAGGCGGAGGGACGCGACCCTCTCATTCACCGGGGAGAACTCCAACACGTGGCGGCTGAGATGGGGGGCAATGAGAATGGCCACCCCAGCTCGCCGCCTCTCCCCGCGAGAAACACCAGAAAAGTGGAGCGTCCAACCCCTCTCAAGGAGTTGGGTTCCAGAGCCCAAGCTGTGTGTGGAGGTGAGGCCGACTATCTCTAGTCGGTATCGCTCAACCTCCCCCACAAGCTCGGGCTCCTTCCCCCCCAGTGAGGTGACGTTCCACGTCCCAAGAGCCAGATGTTGTGTGTGCGGACTGGGTCGTCGAGGTCTCCGCCTTCGACTGCTGCCCAGTCCTCTCTGCACCGCGCCACCACGGACCCCTCTGCAGGTGGTGGGCCCACAGGAGGGACTGCCCACGTCGTCCATTCGGGCTGAGCCCGGCCGGGCCCCGTGGGCTAAGGCCCGGCCACCAGGCGCTCGCCTACGAGCCCCGACCCCAGGCCTGGCTCCAGGGTGGGGCCCCGGCTGCGCCATGCCGGGCGACGTCACTGTTTTTGTATGAGTGCTGTTCTTTAAAGAACATCTTCATATTTAATCTTCACAGAATTACCTGACGCTGCTCGACGATGAAGACCACACTCTGGAAAGTCTGAAGATCTACGACGAACAGCAGCTTGTCATCGAAGGTTTGGACAGGTCTTCACTTTGACCATTATGAGTGTTTGAAGCTAGAGACTAAAGGTGTGTGTCTGTGTTTGTCTGTCTGTCTGTCTCTGGTCTCTGTCTGTCTCTCTCTACCCCTCTCTGTGTCTTTCTGGTCTCTGCCTCTGTCTGTGTGCGTGTGTTTCTCCAGTGCGCAACAAGGACATGAGCTGGCCAGAAGAGATGTCGTTCATTGCCAACAGCAGCAAAATGGATCGAACCAAAGGTGAGGTCTCTCTTTCTCCATGTTTGGTGTCTCTGTCCATGGTTCTGGTGGTGTGTGAATATTGTCTTTGTAAATCCAAATATGAACAATAAGAACTGGCCAATCAGGCGTCTCCCATCCCTTCCGCACTGGTTGGAGTTTCCATCACAATGTCATTTTGTACTTGGCTTTTAACTCACCTTTTGACCTCGTTAGTATTTCAGTTTTTAATCCGTTGTCCCTCAAATCCGATCAAAACAGTATTGTACAGATTTTAAGCTGTTGTTTAAACGACTCCAGGTCAAAGCGGAGGCAGAACGTATTAATAAAGTTTTTTAAAAAACTAATTGAATGGGTTTGAGAGACTAGAGCGAGAGAGACTAGAGCGAGAGAGAGAGAGAGAGAGAGAGAGAGAGAGAGAGAGAGAGAGCGATCAGAGAGGGGGAGACCAGAGACCGGGAGACAGACCAGAAATTAAATATATGTTTGTTCTGGTCCCTCAGTGCCCACAGAGAAAGGAGCCACTGGTCTCAGTAACTTGGGAAACACCTGCTTCATGAACTCCAGCATCCAGTGTGTGAGCAACACCAAACCTCTCACCGACTACTTCATCTCTGGGACTCATCTGTACGAGCTGAACAGGTGAGAGACCAGAGACCAGAGACCAGAGACCAGAGACCAGAGACCAGAGACCAGAGACCAGAGACCAGAGACCAGAGACCAGAGACCAGAGACCAGAGACCAGAGACCAGAGACCAGAGACCAGAGACCAGAGACCAGAGACCAGAGACCAGAGACCAGAGACCAGAGACCAGGGACCAGGGACCAGACCTGTGTAACCCTTGTTGTGTCTTCAGGATGAACCCGATCGGGATGCGTGGACACATGGCCAAGTGTTACGGAGACCTGGTGATGGAACTGTGGAGCGGAACACAGAAGAATGTAGCTCCGCTCAAACTGAGGGTAAGAAAAAACCAGAGAGAGGGCCCAGAGAGAGAGACCAGAGAAAGAGAGAGAGAGAGAGAGAGAGAGAGAGAGAGAGAGAGAGAGACCAGAGAGAGAGAGACCAGAGAGAGAGAGACCAGAGAGAGAGAGAGAGAGAGAGAGAGAGAGAGAGAGAGACCAGAGAGAGAGAGACCAGAGAGAGAGAGACCAGAGAGAGAGAGAGACCAGAGAGAGAGAGACCAGAGAGAGAGAGAGAGAGAGAGAGAGAGAGAGAGAGAGAGAGAGAGAGAGAGAGAGAGAGCAATCCCGGAACCTCCCTAGACGTAGAAAACAGGTCATCGGGGCCGTCCGACGCATTACGTCTTGGATCTAGCAATACAAGTGTCAGAAATTCAAGGGCGGTAGTGTTTGCGTGGGGACCATGGTGACAGTTCCCCACCAAGTATTTGGTGAGGAAAATAGTCCCACCAAAATGACATGATGTCCCGTGACCCGGGACGGTCCGGGACACCATGTTTCCGTTTTGTGCAACGTGCGCCTCCTCCTCGCTCCAGAGCATCGCAGCAGCAGCAGCACGTGGACCCGTTCCGTTTCTGGCAGTGATTGGCTGTATTCTCCAGCGCCAATCGAAGCACTGAGCAACTGTTTAATTTTCAAAGTTAGCCAGCGTGAGCAAGGTTTTTTTTCGTTCCCTGTAGCGTTGTAGCACGTGAGTATCAGAGGAAAGTACTGTAGATCCACTTACTTTCAAAGATTTCGTATTTCTAATCTGTCAGCGCACTGTTTAATGTTTCCGAGGGGAGCTCACACGGCATACAGAGGACAGGAAAAGAACTGGCTCCAATAAAGAAACAGGTTGGTTTGAAAGGCTGAGGAATACTTATTGTGCTCTTACTATCCAAAATGTATAGTGGGTGTGTTGTGTGATCAGGGATAAATCTAGGGATGAAAATATTCCACGGATCCACGCGTTAAACCTTTATCGCGATAATGAAATTTCTGTGAATGTGTGACAGCGGGCACTTGCTGTTATTGGCTCTTAGGCACATTCAAGCAATGCACTCGAATGTGCCCAAAAAAACGTCCTGGTGCAGCTGCTGCCGCTTTGTAATGACAGCCGCGGCGCTCAGTGAAAGCACAGCTCTAACATGGTACGAGCTCGGACCATAGCAGACAGAACCATGTGTGCATAACTTGGTCTCCCTCGTATCTCCCGCGTTTTCCCTGTGTCTATGAATGTCTCTCCCCTGTCTCTTCCAAAGCGCAACCAGCGCTCCCGAAATTAAAGCTCGGATACCTAAATTTTCCATTGCGTTAACGTTGCATGTGGTTGTGCGAGCCAAAACACACCCACAGGCATTTAGTTTTTATTTGCATACTTGAGAGCCCTGTGAGTCATTACTTGCCTTTTTGGGTTGAGAAGGGTATAAAATAAAAGAAAAATATAGGAAAATCCAACACTGTTACTTATGGCCAAACTCTTGTTAACCATTGTATTGAGAATTACTATGTAACTTTTGACATTGGCCGAGTTATAAATGATTCTGCAGTTCATGTATATGAATTCTGTTTTTGATTGTCTTTACCTTCTTATATAATTTAGAAAAAATGCCACCTCCTCAAAAAAAGATAAAATTATCAGGGAGAGATTAATAGTTACCTAATGTAACTTAAGTTCTACGAATAGGTGCGTAGTCCCTTAGGACTTCGCTAGTGGGATATCACTCGTGACCCCCAGGTCACACGCCAGAGAGATCAAAATAATTTGCTCCAATCACCAGCCACCCTCCTCTATAAATGCCCCTGCACAAGGCCGCACCCCCTCTTGAACTCTGCCAAGCCGGGCTGGCCTGATGGGCTCGTAGCTAAGGGACTACGCACCTATTCGTAGAACTTAAGTTACATTAGGTAACTATTAATTCTACGTCATGGTGCTACGTCCCTTAGGACTTCGCTAGTGGGACACAACGCGGAGGCCGTAGGAACATGTACTCCCAGCAGGCCAGCGAAGGGTGATTGGAGCTCCGCCCGAGCAAGACCCTCACACAGTGAGAGGACTCAGGGCAGAAGAAACAATGCGTGTTACAGGGCCACTCCTACCAAGGATACCCCCACGTAACACAGATGTAGGTCATCCGTAGTCACAGGACGCCTCTCCCAAGGGCTCCTGACGTGGACTACCTGACCGACCAAACACACATATATGTACCGCACCTGTAGGATGCCTCTCCCAAGAGCTCCTGAACCAGGGCGGAAAGTAAACCGAAGGCCCCCTCAGGAGGGACCTAACGGTCTAACTCAGTCCGCTGCACTCAGCACGGAATGGGCCACCGACCGGTCCGACACATCCAAAAGATAAGACCGGACGAAAGAAGAGGACGACGCCCAAGAAGCCGCACTGCAGACGTCCTCGACCGACACCCCCCTGAGAAGGGCCGTAGAGGCCGCCATCCCACGCGTGGAATGCGACCTGAAGCCCACCGGGGGGGCCAGACCTTGCGTCTGATACGCCCGCCGCACAGCCGTGGCGACCCAGTGCGCCAGCCGCTGAGCCGACAGCGGGGCGCCCCTGTTCTTGGGGCCCAGACACACAAACAGCTGACCACCCAACCTGAATGACGACGTCATGGCCATTCTGACAGGACACAGAAGGTGCCGCCGCTCCTCCTCGGGGGAGGCATGCGGTGGCGGATAGAAAGCCCTAATCCTGATGACTCTCGACCTAAAGGCCGACGTGATGACCTTGGGGAGAAAAGCCGGATTGGGCCACAATACCACCATGCTGTCGCCCTCTCCAAAGGACAGGCAAGACGCATGGACAGAGAGCGCACACAAGTCGCCCGCCCTCTTAGCAGACGCCAACGCCAACAAGAGGGCCGTCTTAAAGCGACACACTCGGGACTCGCCTCCGCCGCCGGTTCAAAAGGCGGACCCGATAGCCCCCTAAGGACCACCCTGAGGTCCCAAACCGGGGGCGTTCTCTGGAGCGGGGGCCTCCTCCTGCGTGCCCCCCGCAGAAAACGTTTAACCAACGGATGAGAGCGGGCTGTGAACCCCCCAAATCCGTCGTGACCCGAAGTAATGGCTGCCGCGAACACCGCCAAGGTGGCAACAGCCCTCCCCTTGTCAAAGAGCTCCTGTAGGAATCCCAGAACCCCCTCCAGCGGGCAACACCTGGGATCCCAGGAACGAAACCGCACCAGTCGCTGAAGAGCCTCCACCTCGTGGCGTAGGCCCTCACAGTGGACGGCGCCCTCGCCCCCTGAGTGGTCTCCACCACCGCAGGGGGAAGACCCAGGTCTACGAGGTTCCGCCTCTCAGCCTCCAAACCCAGAGCCTGCGGCCGATTATCGGGCGTGAAAACAGGGCTCCTCCCCCCTGGACTAGAACCCCCGGCTCGTCCGGGAGGGCCCAGGGCTCCATCACCGCCATGCCCCTCAGGAAGGGGAACCACCGGGCATGCGGACTGTCCGCGCCACCAGGATCACAGACCTCCTCTCCTGTTCGATCCTCCGCAGCAGGACCGGCAGGAGACGCACTGGTGGAAAAAGCGTACAGCAGGCCCCCTGGCCAGGGGTACTGAGCCAGAGCGTCCACGCCTAAGGGCGGCTCGTCCGCGGCCCTTGAGGCGAACCAGGACGGGCACTGTGCGTTTTCTGCACTGGCGAAAAGGTTGACCAATGGACGGCCGAACCTCCGCCAGATCTCCGCAGCTACCCGTGGGGCCAGGCCCCACTCGTCCTGGAGTGGGCCCCCCCCCCCTGGACATCCTGTCGGCCCCCACGTTCCGGACCCCCGGGACGTGGCGCGCCCTGAGAGACAGGAGGTGAAGCGCCGCCCACAGCAGCGTCACCGTCGCCATGCGATGGAGAGCGGGGGACCTGGTGCCCCCCTGCCTGTTCAGATAGGAGACCACTGTGGTGTTGTCTGAGCGCACCATCACGTGTCTCCCCTGCAGCTGAGGAGCAAAGTGCAGCAGTACCCTGTGCACTGCCTCCATCTCCAGCAGGTTGATGTGACGGCTGAGTCCGACCAGCAGCCTCCTACAGAGCTCTGGCCGAGGACCCCGCCCCATCCTTCGGGCGACGCGTCCGTGAACACCTCCACGTGAGACACGGCGCAGGCCAGAGTCACTCCGTCCCGCAATAGACCCGGAGTGAGCCAGAACCTGATGTTCGATGCTGCCACTTGGGGAACCCAGATCAGCCTCCCCCCGTCCCGGGAGGGGTGAAGCCTGAGGCGTGAGAACCACCTCTGAAAATTCCTCATGTGGAGAAGGCCTAGCCGCACCACAGCATGAGCCGCCGCCATCATTCCCAGCAGGGACCTGAGGCGCCGAGCGGGGACTCTGGGGCCCGCCAGAACCTCCCTGGGCAGACGGGTAGTGTTCATTCGTCTGTCCACGGACAATGCAGCACGGAATGTCACAGAGTCTAACTGCAGACCGAGATAAATCATGCGTTGAGCTGGCTGCAGCTTGCATTTCTCCCTGTTTACCACAAACCCCAGACGCTGTATGTGGGACAGGACCCAGTGCGTATGACTCACGGCCACTTCCCTGGATGAGGCCAGAATTAACCCGTCGTCTATGTAGGTTAAAATTCTTACCCCTGCGCGTCTGAGCGGCTCCAGTGCTGCCTCCACGCACTTGGAAAAAGTGCGAGGCGCGAGTGCGTGGCCCAAGGGGAGACGGCAGTAACCGTAATTCCTCTCTCCCACTGCGAAGCGCAGAACCTCCTGTGTTCCGGCACTATCGGCACGTGGAAGTACGCATCTGTCAGGTCAATGGAGGATATCCAATCTCCCTGCCTGACACACTCGAGGAGCTGCTTTGTGGGCAGCATCCGAAACTGCCGTTTGGAAATGCACTCGTTCAACACGCGCAGATCCAAAACGGGACGCACCCCGCTTGACTTCTTTGGCACTAAGAAGTAAGGGGAGTACAGCCCCCTGGTGGCGTCCTGCGGGTCTACCTCTACTGCTGCGCCTCGACTCAGCAGGGAGGAGAGCTCCGCTTGCAGTGCCTCTAATGATCCCCGTACCTGAGAGCGTGCTGCCCGTACGCCTCGGAATGGTGGTGGCTTCCGGGAGAATTGCAGTGCGCAACCCCTGCGCAATGTTTTCTCCAGCCACAGATCCGTCAGCAACCTTGCTCCCTCCAGATGCTGTAGAAGTCTGTGAGGGGCGGAACGGGAGCTGGAACACGAGACGTCACGGCCCCGCCCTCTCCTGGTGTTCCTAGCAGGGAGGGGGGGTGGACGAAAGGGCCGGGGGGGCCCCCTGCGTCACACCGTGAGCGCCGGGGGCGGTCACGTGTCCTGCAGGCCCGACGTCATAAGTACGGGACTGCTCATCCCACGTGAGTCGGCTGCTGTGCCCCCCCCTGGCTCTTGCCTCATGGAGGGGGGGGCGAGCCCCTGGAGTGGGAGACCCCGTGTTAGCCTTGTAGCTCAGAGATGCTAACACGCGTTCGGCCGAAGCACACACATCATTACTCACCAGATCCCTCCGCCTGACCTCTCTCTGGGAGGGCATAGCATGAACCAGAGAACCGGAGCTCGTAGCTCGCGTAGCGCACTGCACACCCTGCTCTGGGGGCTGCAGGCCTAGCGAAGCAACGTTATGTGCTCGGGAAGTAACACAATCAGAATTCACATTATTTGACATGTTACATACCCCCAAATGAGACTCAGAAACGAGTAATGATGAAATGCCGGTCGGCCTTTATTGAAGGAAAACTTTCCACCCCGACCTCCTCTGCCATAGGGAGGTCGGCGGTGGGTGCGTTGCTCCCGCGAGCCACCCATGAGTCTGTCTGGACCCGGGGGCCTCGTCGAGGGGGGACGATGGACAACCGAGCGCGGATACGGGTCAGGATGCCTCCCGGGCAAACGCTCTCGACCTCTGTCCCGGCTCCGTGATGGCTGGTGGGCCTCG